CACGGCCGCCTTGCATGAATACGATATGACATGAAGCCCATCGTCTGATTTTCGAGTCCCGCGCAGTGGGTGCGGTCCGCAAATGACAGGTCACAGAACTCCACCCGAGGCAAGGAAGCTGACAAAGGAAAGAATGTCGACTCCCATACTGTAATCGCAATTGTAATCCGCGTATGGCGGCACTCCATCAAATGTTGACGAGGGACCTTGATAGATGGACTAGGTGTTGCTCTTGGAGATCTGGCCACGAGGTCCTCTTAGGGCCAGTGATACGCGAATATGACAGCTGCCCTCCCGCGCGGGTGGGTGCCCGAGACCCGCCACGGGTCCCTTGCATTCGTTTCACCTGTCCTTTTGGACGTCCACTGTTCAAAGACGAAACTTCAGACGGCCCTTGTGTGTGCTGACATGCTGACATGCTGCCGATGATGCCGCGACTCTCGATTCGCCTCTCGGTGTCGAGCAGTGCCGCGCATGCCGTCGGCCCGTGACTTCCCTTGAAGTTCCAGCGACAGGGGGATGGCCTAAGGAAGATGAAGACCCAGCAGCATGGTGGACGAACGGGGCGGGTTACTGCCGTGGTGTAACGCCCACGGGTTTGAGGGAAGGATTCCGAGCAAAGATAACAAAGATACTCTTACGAAAGCCGAGAAATCGTGGTGTCATTCGATATCTGATACTGCTCGAGGATTGCCGGTCCTGGCCGTGATCCGAAGCAGCGCTTCAATCGCCTGAGACAAACGCAGTCGAGGTGAGACTCGCCGCCCCTTGTCTCGCAAGTCGTACCACAGCCAGCGACGGCTGTCCAGACTCGACACTCAACTATCGATTCTCAGAGTCAATAATCGAGCTGCAATGACTTGCATAATCACAGACACAGCGGGCGGAAGGAGCCGACCGTACCAGAGATGCGATATGAGGATCAGACGTTGCCATCAAAGAGACCTGCCCAAGGTGGGATAGAATGCGATGTGGATAATAGACTCTTGCCACAGCAGTGCAGCCACACTGTTCACAACTCTGATGCTCGTACTGCGTGCCGCCAAGACGATAATGCAGTGGAGAGTCGACGAAGCGAAGGGGACCAGCCACAGCCTGAAACGCGCTATCGGCCTCATCTCCGCGCCTCCACCGCGTGCGCCCTTCCACCACTCAGCGCTCACCTGGCACCGACAATCGATGTGACCGTCTGTCAATAGAGTCGCTTTAGGCTTTGTATAGCGGCATTCGATGCTTCGACGAATGTTCCATTACCACTGCATTGGGTCTGTCCTCCGTCACTATCGCCGTCTGATATTCATTGCCACAGCCCAAATCTCGCACAATGTCAGTGCTGGCGTCAATTCCAAATCTTCCGCCGCCAGGAACCCGCTTCCACGTTCGAGAATAACACAGCCCATCAACTTGGAACCTCTACAAACATCCGCACGTATCCCAGAGTCAGTGCGAAGTCTGAAGAGTCAGTGGCGCTAATAATAGCCTTTCTGCTGGGGCTGTCTTGACAGAATCGTGCCCACTTCGCGATGTTTGACTCGCTTCGACAGCACCGGTCGTGTCGGTTGCTGTAATCATCCTGATCCCATCTTCATCTGACACACAGATCGCTTCAGATATCGAGGTCGAGTCAGTTGCTATCCACTGTCAGGAAATAGACTCCTTGGATCATGGATGGACAAACGGCAATGCCAAATCCTGGGGAAGACCCGAGAAATTCTTTAGCGCACCAAGCGCAAAGTTACGTTCATTTGCCGATTCAGGAAGGTATCACTCAATTGCCTCGTGGGCCTTGTGGCAAGGAAAGGATCATCTTCTACCCGAGAGCTATTGATTTATGGTTCAACGCCTGTCTCTCTTTTGGACCCTCATGGACTGTGAAGTTGGACTTGGTGCTGAGGTTGATCTCCAGCATGAAAAAGCAACGAGAGACCCAGCCAGAGATCACACGTGCAACCCGGTTGGAGTCATGATTGACGATGGATGGTGGACCGGCCAGTGCAGCCACACAAAAGACGCAGAGAGGCCCGTGGATACCCTCGAGCTCGTTCCTACAGTAGCGCGGACGGTGGACTCGGTCCGAGTCTTTAGCACACGTGCTAAAAACATGCTAAACCCTTCTGAGCACAAGCGTTGCCGTCTTCCAAGGCAGTGATCTCGATCTATTCCGCGAACGGCAGGATGTTAGCCGTCCGACCCGCGGTTCAAGCAAAGAAGAGGAGACGTGGGACCCGGAATCTTGGTTGAGCTGGATGCTAATCCCCAAGGTCCCTCCAAGCTCGTGGACACTGAACTGAGGACTCTGGAGTCTGAAGATTCAAGAGTCCAATTTTCTTCTTCACGGCTTGAACAGGCATGATTTGCGGCATATTGCGGCAATCCACGGTCCGATGGCTACTCCGATATCTCCAGGATTTCCCTCGACGGTCGGGAACTTCCGCGATAGGCCTCAGAGGCCAAGAGTCCCAAAATTTGTGGACAGGCAGTCCTGAGTCCGCAGATAACGACATGATACGCAATACGCAAGCCATGGCTGACATCCCGCGAATCTCTGCAAACGTATGCGAACCTTGTCAATGCGCCGCCAATGCGCCGCCACCGATCGGCTTTGTCAATTTGTGGCAAGACAGCGTCAGATGAAACAACAAATAACAAAAAACTCCGACTTGACAGCTGTCTCTATTCAGTATGTCTCCGAATAGCCAATAGGGCCAGCCCTTGAAGTGCCGGTGAGTCGTTGCTTTTTCCTTCCTCCAGCCAAACCCGAACGCCAAAGGATCGGTGATAGCCTGATAGGTGATAACAAAATTCGCAGTGTCAATAAAACCTCACTGGACCCAGGGCTGCGGTGGCCATGAACTCTATCTCCAAAGGATCCAGTCACGCTGCGCGCAGAGACTCCGCAGAGATCGCAATTTGCCATCTTGCCATGGACTCGAGCCAAAACCCATCCGTCCAATCGCAAAACTACAGCAACTCCGCCAGTGCAGAGGTGTTCACGAGGGATTCGGAGCTGGACCGCGTCCGGGACGCCCCATTTGCTTGTCATCAACCGCGTGGGTCACCGAGTCAGCGTGACTATGCATGTCGCACGGAGCAGCGTAGTCCCTGTGTGGGATTTCTGCACGGGGATATGTGCATGCTCAAGAATTTGTGCCGCGGACCACGATCGACGAGCCCGGACCACCGTCCAGGCTTGGATCTTCAATCTGTGCCTGTGAAGATCGACCGATGTAACTGCTTAGGCACGATCTCGAGTCCCTTCCAGCCCGTGAGAATGAGATGATGAGCAGTGATGTACAGGTGCTTTGTTTCGGCTTCTCGAGTCATTTTGCTCGTAGGGCGCTGCAGGCTGCGAGTCGGTCACTATCACGGTGAAGCTAAGACTGGCATAACGTGCCCTCGTCGAATCGCAAGGAACCAAGGATGAGTCGATGATCAAACATGACCGGGAGAGTTCTGCCGCAGCCATGGTTCGCGTTCGCCAACCGACCTCGGGAGCGCTACAGCGCTTTCTGAAACAGTGACAGATACGTGCGCTGTCCACTGCTGTCCACGGTCCGTTGTAGCCTGGCAGGACCTTGGCGGCTGGCATGATCCATGGTTCATCAACTCGCACCAAAATTAAGACAGCAGTGCGGGGAGCAGCTATTCAAACTGTATGACTCGGTCCTCGCTATTGCGCGCGATTTTGACGCCAGAATCACGACTAGCCGCTAGCGAGGGTTTCGGTGTATACAAAGGTATGTTCTTGACGCCATCGCACGATTCGGACGTCCCATTTGAGCGGCTGTGGAATTCCCGTAAGTGATCCTCTGTTGATGTCGTCGAATTTATTTACTCATGATTTAGGTATTCCCGGCCTGCGCATCGCGCCGCTGATGCAGTCATTTCTGTAGCAGCCTTTTTTGTCCCGGTCTTGGACAAGCGACGTTTCCCAACAACATTATACTCCCCAAGCCCTTTCTTGCTGTAGGGTTAGGAACTTGGATCAATAGCTCAATAGGAGTTCCTGACTCATTATAATGCCAAACAAGTATTCTCTATTGAGTCTATGAATCATCTAAATGGTAGCAGAACGGTGGAGAAACCGTTCGGTGAGGTTCAATTCGCACTGTACGCAAAAATATATATGTGAAGCATTTATGGTGTCTAACAAAGTCACCCACAACAATACGCAATTAAATTAGTTAGATACACTCTCCAGACTACTAAAAGCTTTACCACGATTGAAGAACAGATACGAATTACTCGGAGGAGGTTGAGACCACTAGATACCCATCACGCAGACCTGATTGCTCTAGGTTTCCCCACTGTTCTCTGCACAACAAAATACCACTGGATGCAAACATGCCTCTCCTGAATGGAGCCCTTCCATGTTATTTTATTTAGAGCAGTTACTGTAACATTCTGGGCACGGCTGAAGAGGGCACGCAAGCTAGCGGTGTCCCTCTTCTTTCGATCATACCCAAAAGGGAGACCAAGACCAAGACTGAGACCAATAAGCACGGTGCAACAACCATCCATTGACTCGTTTATTCCAGAAAGCTATTCTGCCTGGGAGACTCGGCGCTCATTCTAGTAATAGGATTGCAAGAAAGATACAGACGCATTGCGGTGATTGGCCGAGGACAGAAGAATGGTTGGAAAACAACCTGTGTTGTATGGGATGTATTAAAGGACATGGAGTCTCTATTGTTCAGAGTACACTCCCACTATCTCTCTCTAGCAAAAGTAGTCTTTGGCACTCGGTCCCTCATTGTATCGCAGAGATAATTCATCGTCTGGCGGAAGAAGGTACGACCAATGCTGTCTGCTCATTGGAAAGCCTGCATTAAACCTCTTCGTTCAACCGCCATCTATGCTCAAATCTATCACCACGCTACCTAAATATCAAGAAGACCCCGGCAAGGAGCAGGCTGCGCAGTATACAAATGAATGCGAGACGGAAGCCAGCCACAAGCGAAATGAGGCCCAACCCCCTAGGTATACATCTAGCCACCACCCTACTTCTCTCTATCCCCAAACAATCTCCAGATATACTTCCTCTGCGCATCCACCACAGCACGCGCCACCGGGACCTGCGGCTCAACCAGAAACATCCCATGATACGACCCCGGCCAAACATGGAGCTCTGCCGTGCCGCCGCTCTGCCAGATGCGCGACGCATACGCAACCGCCTCGTCCCGAAAAACTTCGCACTCGCCGACATCGATGAATGCTGGCGGCAGCCCGGACAAGTCCGTTGCTCTTGCGGGTGCCATTAGCTCGCTCACGGTAGTCTCCCCACCCCGACCAAGCACGTAATCCCAGGCTTCTCTATGCATAGCACCCGACCAAGCGACACCCCGCTCAAACTGTCTTGCTGAGACCGTGTCGTTCCGATCATCGAGCATAGGCATCGAGAGCATCTGCGCCCGGATTTCTGGGTACCCGCCAATAAGGGCGAGAGTGCATGCTGCCGCGGCGGGCGCAGCGCCGCCCGAACTCCCGTGCACTAGGATCTGTGAGACGTCAATCCCCAGTTCGTCGGCGTGGTCGGCCAGATATTCAAGCCCCGCGTAGCAGTCTACCGCTGCGGCGGGGGCGCGGTGCTCCGGGGCAAGGCAGTACTCGACGCCCACGTAGACGGCGTCGATGTTGCCTTTTAGGAAGAAACTGATTGGTAGGTCTATGCCCAGGAAGCGGTTTACTGCTATCTGACCGCCGCCGTGGACATAATAGAGAACGGGCCGGCTGTGGCTTTTGGTGGATGAGTTCCTGGATTGGAAGATTGACAGCGTAACGCTCGGCTTGCTGGGGATTGAGCCTGGTGCTGTGTGCTCGGTGTGTATGAGGGAAGAAAACTTCTAGAAGATGTCGTCTGCGGTTGTGCCTTGTGTTAGGCAGCGTATGGTCTTGACGAAGTCGGTGGTTCCGGTATCAAAGCTGGCCTCGAAACTGGTCGGGTATGCGAGTGCCGGATCGAACCGGGGTCGGGGGATAGAAGACGGCGGGGCAAGGTCTTCCTCTAGAGACGGTTGGGTGTGTTTGCCTGTTAAGATGTTTGACATGGTGTTGACTGTGGTGTTGTTGGTTGGGTTGAGGTGGTAGGGCGAAGAAGGGAGATGAGTGTCCACCCTCAGTGTAACAGTCGGGTACAGTGACAAGTGCGCAAATGGACTGGATTGTAAACTGAATATATTAGGTTGGAAATAACGGGGAGAGGGAGAATGTTTGTCACCCCGTGCAGGTGCTTGTCTCTTCCTATCCACTCATCTGCAAAGCCGAACAGCCGGCATTCACTCCATCTCAGCATCTTTTCCGATAATCCGGATGGTTCACCCTGTCTGGTCGTTTTAGCCGCGCTTGGTATATGCTTTCATAGTTTAAGTCCGGAAGCTTCCCCCTCTAAGCCTTTTAGAGGGTACATGGCTTACACTACGGCAGTCGTTGCGTAAAAGGCCATAATGGCATCCGATCTGGAGCAGCCTGTCTGTCACATCAACGCCATGGATGTCTCGTATATTATCGTTCATCTGAAAGTCGTGCTCGCTCTGAATCGACGAGCCTTCGTGGCCCAGTATCCTCCTCATCTGGTGCGTATTTGTCAACGAGATAGTACAAGCCATTGTAGCCCTAGTCAGATCCACAAAGTCAGCTTCATGTGCAAGAACGGAGGAAGTACAGAGGAAGGTATATACTTATATGCTTACATATGCCGAATAGCAGTCCCTGAGCCCAGATGATTGACCGAGTGAAGCACATGATAGTAAGCCGCGTATCCCACTCCTCTGCGGATCAATTCGGGGAAAAATGTCGCAATCCTGTGCGCGAAAGGATACTGTCTAGCTGCGTTCCCACGAGACAGCCTGTGGCGTGTACCCCTGGCAATTCATGGTATGGAAGCCGAACATCCCCGTGGGCGAGACGCTCTGGCGGTGTACCCTGCGAGGTTCTCGCAGAGTTAACGAGGTTCAGGCCGCTGTATATCACCGTTCTCCATGCCCACGAACTCCGGGGGGAAGAAAGCACCCCTGGCTGGCGCTGCTAGATCCGATCCCGGGCGTACGGTTTCGGGACGAGGTCTGGCATTGTCTTGTATCGCTCGGACTGGGTGCTGTACTCGCCTTGGACTGTGGCTGGTCTGCTTTCCGACGCTGCGCTTTTCAAAGAGTAGGGCCTTGAGGTTTTGTTCGGGAATTGGCGCTTAGTCGGGATGTGGCGGTCATGCTGAGGTGCCGCACGGTTCGGCTGAGATGAGTTTCGAGGCCGGTAGGAGGTGCGTATGGATGGCATGGTCCATGTGGAGAGACTTGATGGCGTTGGGAACTGGGGCTTGGAAAATCATGGCGGATCGATTGGCATAGTGAGGCGTAAGAGGAAGATTTGGCCAGGGGTGCTGGGATACGGTAGGTAAGGTTTGGATGGATGTCGACAAAGAAAGCTTCCACCACTCCGCCTGCTTCCTAGTTCACGCTCACGAAACCCTGCAAGTTGCATTTTTTGTGCTTCTCCTCTGTCCATCCAACTGCTGGCAATCGGCATTACACCATGAGCATCAGTCTACCCTGTTTGCTCCCCGTCGAGAAGAAGCCGCGAGCCATGACGACGCCCAACTCTTCGACCACCATGCCTGCGAGTGCTGCTCCAGAGGCATACACTCTTCATACATTATGCTTTCCGTGGGCTTTGCAACCATCACCTCGCCTTTAACATCTATGCTCTACCTCTCGCCCTCGCCAATCTCGGCAATGCACTGAACAAACATAAGTATGGTGTTCTTCTTGTCGTTCTGCCGGAGACAACGGCCCTGTTGGAGATGGGATTGACCTGAGCAGGATTAGGCTGTGGCATCGGAGGTGGTTGAAAGCCATGCCCCGGCCGCGAGACTCGAACGAGAAGGACAGGGACCCTCCCACTCACCCTGGAAAGACCACATCCAGGTCTTCATCCTGCCTTTCCGAATTCCCACAATCCCCGACGCCCTCCTCTGCGCCTGGATACACGGCTCCTTCTACGCAGTCGACTATATACTTGCTGGATGCTGAAAGCGTAAGTTGGTTCTTTACCAGCCTTGGGATCTGGAGTGCGTGTTGTGGGCAGGCGCCTGTTTGAGGGATTAGGGGGTTCAGAACGAGATGGAGAGGGAAAAGAGGCGGGACTCAAAACGCCCTGGAGAATAAAAACGGACTGCTAGAGGGGTAGCAGGATTCTTTTGAGTCTGAGGTGAATGAAACCCGCCGAAACGATCTCTGGAGATTGGAAATGGGCCGCGGCTGTGCCCAGACAATCCATCGTCGACTAAGTGAGCCTGGCGCCTCCATTCCTAACTTGAGGCCAGAGAGCCAAGATGGACACGTGCCATCGGTGAATGACTTCAGGTATGTTTGGTGGACCCTACTGGTAATCAATCCAGATGCACTAATTCACTTACTAGCCACCTAGTGAATGCCCAATGGCGCACGGATAGCCAGGGTCCAGGACTCCGTACCTTACCGTATAAATCACTGTGTTGATCAATAAAATGGACATCTTCCCTCCCTCAAAACCCACCTTGTCTAGGAAAAGCTCGAGATGCGTCTGCCTCTAACACTGCCTCTGGGCGCCGTGGCCAAAAAAGCCTTCTCCAAACTCAAGTCCATCCTCAAGCTTCGCGCCTCGCGAATCTTCCTCTCCAGCCTACTCCTCTGGATCCTCCTTTACACCCACTGCCGAAATCAATACTGGCGTGACCCGCACTCCGCCTTCTTCCAGGACTCGCACGTCTACGATCTGGACTACAGCCTGCACCGGGAGCGCGAAAGCTGGCACTTCATCGCGCGGTACAATGCGGCGAGCAACCCGCCCGAGTACACGGACGGCAGAAGCGAGGCACCCACAGTCTGCGCCGCTATGGTAACGGTGCGGCGCGAGCACGACACGTACTTCGAGGCATCGGTGGGCTCGTTGCTGGAGGGGTTAAGTGAGAAAGAGCGGAGGGCGCTGCGTCTCACTGTTCTCTTCGCTGATACGGACCCGGCGGTACATCCTAGCTGGGGAATGACGTGGGTAGATCGGCTTGTTGATCAGGCGGGAGGGTATGTTGTGTCCGAGGAACAGCTGGAGCATTTGCGGGTACTGGAGCGGGAGAGGAATTTCTATGAGAAGGGGGTTTTGTCAGTTCCTTGCCATATTTCCTAGCTCGCCCTAGCTCGCTGGGACGGAAACTGACTGTGTATAGTGACTACCTCTACGCGCTACGGGCATGTCAGGAAGTCAAAGCCCCTTACACCGTTATCTTCGAAGACGACATCATCCTCGCGACGGGGTGGTTCGCGAAGACGCTGAAGAGCCTGGCGGAGATCAACCACCTGCAGGACCAAAGCCGAGGCCAAGACCAAGCTGAGAAGAAGCCATGGCTATACCTGCGCCTCTTCTACACCGAAACCTCCCTTGGCTGGAACGACTCCGACGCCGCATACCGACACATGCCGATGATCTTCTTGACCCTCATGGCCTCGACATTCTGCGTCCTATTACTCCTCCGCCGCCTGCGCTTTCCGCTCCTGCACCTCCACCTCGACACCCTTAGTATCGCGGTGCTCTCGCTGCTCTGTGTCCCGGCCTTCACGGCACTGATCTACATGGTCGGGAAATACAACCTCATGCCGCTCCGCGGTGTGGTGGAGATGAACAAGTTTGGGTGCTGCACGCAGGGACTACTCTTTCCGGCGGATCAGGTCGATGGGCTGATTACGTACCTGGAGGAAAGGGTTCATGGGCAGACGGACTCGCTGATCGAAGAGTATGCGGATTTAAATGGGCTGAGTAGGTATGCGGTTGCGCCGCCGGTGCTGCAGCATGTGGGGTTGAAGTCTAGCAGGGACAATACAGATTTGAACACGCAGAGTACGTGGGCGTTTTGGTTCGAGGCGAATGAGCCGGGGAGGTTGAGGAAGGAGCATGCGGACTTACTCGAAGATGAGGATGTGCGGGAGATGTTGGGGACTTAGACTATGGTATTTGAAGCTCTCCAATTTTAATGTACAATCTGGGGCAACGCCCATACTGCATGATAACCCTTCATCGGTATGCAAACGCGGAGCCAGGAAAATTAGCCACACTTGAAGTCTATAACACCCGCCCTGGCGTTCATCAGAACAGCAACTATCAAGCCCTACAAGCCTACCATGCCACTGCATTAGTACCCGCAGCATTCAGTAGCTTAATGCAAGCTCCATGCTGAGATTGCCCTGTTTTGGGAGCTGTCTAACTGGCATATAGTTCTAGGACCAACTAGTCACATGACCGGAAGCAGTCGAGCCAAGCTAGGGATGATCCGCCTTTGCATAGACCGGATGGCTTCTCCCCCATTCATTCAAGCTGCACTCCCCTCACGTTTCTCATCCAGAAGTCATCTAAGCAATGTCAGTAGCTTTGGAGAAACCACTGATTCTCCCCAACGACAAGGCGGACGCCGAAAAATGGAATCGGGACCTGATGGAAGCCTTCCGGTCTGCTTTGGAGAAGGACCCCGCAACCGACCTTCTATCAGTCGCCGGGAAGCGATACCTTGCTGCGCATCGAATCGCCCAGTCTGCGGGTCTGTCTGAGGCAGGACAGCTTAATCTCGACACCGTCTACGGTCTTCAAGATAAGATCTTGTCCCAACCCGAAATCAACCTGCGAGAACATATCCCATCCGACTATGATCGCCGATATAAATGGGCCAAGCCAAAGAAAAACGACAAGGCTGCGGAGAAGGAGGCAGTTCCCCCGCCCAAGCGCTCAGAGCCGGAAGACTGGGTTCGTTGGAAGCTGGAGCCCATCAACACCGCTTCAGTCACCTACCCTCTCTCTGCTCAGGCCTCCGCGCTTTTCGGGCAGAGTTCTTTTGCGGACGGAGCATCCCTTGCACAATCACTGAAAGACCTGATTTTGAAGTCCGAACGACTATTCGAACTCAGCATCAGGACAGGTCTCGTCGTTAGGTGCAGTGAAGAGCTCGCGATCAAGACATTTCCCAAAATTAGAGGTTTTACTGAATACCACAACCTTCAATATCTGGCTGAGCACGCCCCCAACCTTCCTGTCCCTAAACCCCATGGCTTGATTATGCTCGGCAATATTGGTGCTATGTTCATGTCCTATGTCCCGGGCGTTGCTCTCGACAAGGCATGGCCAAAATTATCCCATGAAGCGAAGATATCCATACAGAAACAGCTAGACGACGTCTTCTCTCGTCTCCGAAGCCTACGTCAAGACGACGGACCGGAACTTGGAGGCGTTCGCGGGGAAGGAGTAAAAGACTATCGGATTACGGAAATTTTCGCATACAAGGGCATAAAGACCGCCAGAGGATTTGACGAACTACAATTCTCTGCGAAGCACCGGGCTAGCCCCTCTTATGTGAAGTTGCTTCGATCTTTCCTGGAAGAGGAGAATCGGACTTTGCGAGGGTCTGTATTTACCCACGGCGACTTGAAGAAATCGAACATTATGGTGCAGCAGGAACCCGAAAACGCTGATACGTACGTGGTAACCGGAATCATTGACTGGGAAGACAGTGGCTTCTATCCCGAGTACTACGAGTGCACTACCTTGTCGAACGGACAAAGTATCATGTCAGACGATGATTGGTATCTCTACGCACCGCACTGCATATCGCCTCTACGGTTCCCTGTCCGTTGGCTAGTTGACCGGCTCTGGGGTAATCTTTTATGGAGTTGGAGGACGGATATAGTCCGATGAATGAATCAATGTGCGGTAATGACTGTCTGACGCCAATACAAAAACAAAATCTCCATACCCGTCCCTTTCACTTCCTCCATCTTTTCGCAACGGCTGCTAGCCCAACACAGTTCCTACTGCCACGATTCGCGTTTCGCAATTACCGCATTCTTGTTCGCCATGTAATCACCGTCTGTTGGATCAAGAATAAAAAGTCTTTCCAAGCTCTTCAAAACGTCTAGGACATAGTCCTGGCAGCTGTAATCAGCCTCCTCGTTGCGAATGGGTGTATCGTATCCGATATTCTTGATAGTCTCAATTTTGGCCGCGTCGACTTCGCAAAGGGGGCAGAGCTCAATGAGAGAAGTCGAGATTCGTGCATCCGACGGTTTTTCGTACGTTAGGAAAGTACCGCTGGCGAGCACCGAGCACGTGGATAATCGTCTTGTCATCCTCGGCCTCCGCGTCGATAAAGATACTCCAGTGCATGATGCCGGGGTTGTCGTAGATTGCAACGAAGATGGGAACTTTGCGGGTAGACATGGTGGGATAGGAATCACGGAGGCGGATTGCGTCCAGCAGATAATCGAAGAAAACTCTCGTATCGTTTGTATTTTAAAGATGAGACTGCGCAGCGCGGGGACAGGTTGCGCTCAGCTGATAATCGAAGGAGACTTTCGTACTGTATGCTGAATAAAGGGAGACTGCGAGAGTCGGGCGTGTTTTTATAACAGAAATCGCAGAAGGATTCAAAATCGTAGGCGCCGCCCAGTCTCTTCCATTGGTGTCCAGGGCACTCGAGGAAAGCGAAACCGGCCAGTCGGTAACCAGTGGATGGCTTCGGAATCAGGACACTGTTTCAGCAGGCGCTGAGTAGGAGGCTAGGTGTATGTTTAGTTTTGGTGCCTCGCTGGGTAATGAGGTAGAGGGAGATGTGTTACGCCCCGGGTCAAGGCTGAGGCACAGATAGTGCTTCAGACAGCGCCGGCACACCAATCAAAGAATTACTGGAACACTGAGATGAAGGTTGGGCTCAAGATGACAGCAGGAGGTCCGAGCATCCGGGCATTCGATGTCCAGCATCTTCGGATCACCATGGCACAATCAATGAAAGCCAGGTCTATTTTCGATCGAATAGATTATTCTACCTATAAGAATCTAGGCAGCCTACTAGATTCGTCTTCTTCGTCATGTAAAGCTTCCAGCACAGGCTGCAATGAGCTCAGGCGCATTTGTAGTTCGTAACAGCGGCCCTGGCATTCATCAAAAGCGCAACAATCAAACCATACAAGTCTGCCATTTATTCCACCGTGTAAGCCCACATCACTTCCCATACCCCATTCATCAGATCAGAGTTACTAACCTAGCACCTCAGCAAAGATCAAAACAAGGATCATGCCGACATAGAGCCTCGGTTGCTGCGCCGTTCCTCTAACGCCTGCATCGCCAACTATCCCGATTGCAAACCTGGCATGCCATACCTCGATCAGAATCCTTCACCGAACAACCTTGAGACTTGGAGGCCGATATTCGGTATTAAATGAGATAAACGTACCCAGCAGCCAACCCACAAAGCCCAACCGCTAAACTAGCACCTAGCTAAAGCAGACTCGTGTACAGAGCGACCTCCTGCGCCAGATTGTCTGCAACCAGGACCGAGACCACCAGGCCGTAAATGCCCAGGATGCCGGCCATGACGATGGGGACGATGTCTAAGCGTGTCAGCTGCTGAGTCTTTTTGAGGGGCTTAGAAGACGGTAAGTAGGAATGATACTTTTGACAATCAGGTCCGGCCGCATGACGCCCGATGAGCAGACACCCACCCCAGCCTTTGCGGTCCCGTATGCGGCACCGAAGGTCGTGAATACGATGGCGCTTGTGCACCCGAGGACCCCGAAGAGCGGCTGGCAGGTGAACGAACAGTTAGGACTGACGTGATTGGGTTATCATATGGACCTCAGGACTCACGCCATAGCTGGGACTGTTGCCTCGTTAGCTAGGTACCATGCTTATCCAGGCTCAAGGGCTTTCAGCATTGGGGGTCCTCACCAGAATTCCGATTGCATCTTTTTCTTCCGTTCTTTCCTCCTGGCGGAGCTAGGTCAAGTAGAAGAGATGGAGGGGCAGTTTGAGTCTGGGGCAGGAGAATTAATATTAACTGATGCCCTGGGTGGAGACTAGGCAGCAAGCCAGGGAGCTTTCTATCACTCGCCGACTACAGGCCAAGACGAACTGGAGTCATAAGTCCCTTTGCCCATCGGCTTCGGGCGTGTCGGGCCTGCGCCGTCAATGTACATCGCAAAAGAGCTCGGGCTCCTGAGTTCAGAGTCCGTCACCGTGCTCTCTTGCCGTCAGTGGTACATGTGCAGGGGTACAGAGTACCTCGTCCATGCAAGTGTCCAGCCCTCTATTCCTGAATCCTGAATAGGCAGGACCATTTCGCTCCCGAGGTCCAGGGTCCCACGTCATCGACCACGCTTGCAATTAGCGACGCCCCGGCTCCTGTCAGTGCAGCAGATCGTGATTCCTATAGGATCGAGGCAGAGCGGACGTGAGACACGCCACATCGGTCGGTATCTTCCGCCCACTCGATGAGAATCGTGGTTGCCTACCCTTGCTAGGGTCTGATAGATCAACCACCCTAGGGTGCCCGGCATAAGGGGAAAGTTAGGCGAGCGCCAGTAAATCTGGGGAGGTGACAGTGAGAGCTCAAACAACCTTGGATTGCAGTTGAAGATACACCCCTGTAGTAAAGGCCATTCAAGCTCTCGAGTCCCATCCACAGCTTCCATTCTGCCCACCACGACCCTGAAGCGAACTGACTCACTGGCCTACCATAGCTTCGGGATAGTAGTAGTACCCCTACTCCCACGATTCGCGCTTCGCGACAACCACCTCCTTATTCACCACATACCCCTCGTCCTTCCCATCAACAACGCCCTCCCTTTCCAGGTTACTCAAGACATCCAATACATAGTCCTGGCAGCTATAATCAGCCTCCTCATTGCGGATGCGTGTCGCGTACGCGATCTCCTTGACGGCCTCAATCTTGTCCGCGGCGATCATGCACAGCGGACAGAGCTCAATGAGGGAGGTTAGCTTCCTTGGATCTGACGGGGTCTGGAGAGAGGGGAAGTAGCGGCCGCGTGCACCGAGGATCTGCATGGTTGTTTTGGCGGCTTCGTTCGGGGCGTCGATGAAGAGGGCCCAGTGCTTTATGCCGGGGTTGGAGGTGATGGCGAGGGAGAGCGGGGTGCGGGGCTCGGCATCGGCATCGGCAGCCATGAAGTGATGTCGGACGCAGAGCAGAAGGCTGGCTTCGTTTAGAAGGTGTAGGAGAGACTTGTATTGGGGAGGTGGGATTGCGCGGTGCGGAGGCTGGCTGGGTTTATTGTGTTAGCAGCTGCACCTAGGTGCTGTCTATGTATAGCCTTACTCAGATGTGAGCAGGGCACTCGAGGGAAACACACCTGGTTGGCTGGCTATCAGAAGATAGGTGCTAGGTATAACTTCAACGCTATTTTATCAGGCGCTGAGGAGGAAGTTGGGTGGTTGAAGTCGGGGTTGTGGTTCCCACGGGGAGAGTTGGGTAGAGACAAATGGCGGATGCATGCAAGGCTAGGTACCCGTACAGTAGGTAAAGTCACGGGGCGGCGCTTGCTTACTTACCATGAATCCGGTAGTAGGCAAACGATTACATTTGAGCTAAGTGTGATGCTGCAATTCTATTAGCCTCTTAGAGGAGGGTGAATTATATGACGTATACCAAGTGATTGCTTGTACTTGTGCCCTAATTGGTTTCTACACATACATCTCAAAGACGGAACAGTGGCGGAAGCATGGTCGAATGGGATTGAGATAGCCCAATCTCTCACCCATTCAAGATATCTCTTATGTATGTGTAGAGTGATCTCATGATATTCACATCAACGGCTCATCCCCATATCTCTCTCTAAACATGGCAAGCGCTCGAATAGGGAACGAGTAGATGTAGCTATGGTACAGGAGCTCACTGCGTCACCGTTAGATAGGATAACTCAAGGAAGATCTGCCGCTTGGGAACCAACATACCAAGTAACAATCCCACACCCAACAGCCTTTTCCTGCGGCCACTCGCCGTTCGCTCGTTGCCGACTTATCATCAGCCTGATTCCCTCGCGGATCGGCGCTGCGTCGGGGAATCCGGCGTGCATCAGGGCGAGACAAGCCCATGCAGTCTGCACTGTATGTGAGGCGTCCGCCTGGACGTATTTGTCTTCGATAATTGACTGTAACGAGAGGAAATTAGGTTAATTTGAATGTAGGTAGGGCTAGAAGGTAACGCACCTGCATTGTCTCTCCCCACCCCCCATCAGCCTGCTGCTGCTTGACGAGAAAATCGCAACCGCGTTGAACGGCGCTGTTGCTATCATAAGTTAGTCCGACGCATGCCAGGGCTTCCAGGGCAAAGAACGCCCCGTAAGTACAGGCAATTCCCCACGAGGCCATCCAGCTACCATCTGAACGCTGCTGGCTCAGGATGTATGCCACGCCGCGGTTGATCGTCCGAGTCACATCTTTGCGCCGATAGTGGGGGTTCCGTTGGCGATAGAGCACCAGTGCCATAATGCACGAAGAGGTGCATTCCGTATAGTCGTATTCAACCATCACCTTGCCAAATATCTCGGTGCCATTCACGTATTCTAGTAGGGGACTGCCCCGGATGGGCTCGAAGCTGCTGTACCCGCCGCTGGGGTTCTGAATCATGATCAGATTGTCTACGCCTAGCTGGAGGTGGTGTTCGCTGCTGAGGCGAGGGAACGTGCTGTCTCTTTCAACCAGGAGAATTGCCTTAAGGGCTTCGGCGGTGCAGTCGGAGCACGCGAGGCCGTGGTAATGGATCGAAAAGGGCCAGCCTCCCAGCCGGGAAGAGAAGTGGCAGGGCGAGTCTTTGGCAAAGTCGGTGGTGTGCTGCTGCTCAACGAGGAACTTGTATGCGGCGTGCAGAGCTGGTTGCAGCTCTGGGGAGTTGGCGAGATTGGCTTCGGCGTAGGCCTGCATCGCGAAGGCTGTCTCCCAAGTGTGTCCGCCGTGGATGCTCATCACCTGCATCCCGCGCGGGCTCATCCAGAGATACTCATGGCTGGCATTTTGGACGCGGCGGAGGCCCTCAGAGTCCGGGCCCTCTTTGGAGTAGAAGGCGATCATGTTGAGGAAGCAGTCTACACTGACGCTAGCAACGGAGTTGTTTGCTTTCTCCGACTCTTCAATAATGCTCCAAACTCGCTCCAGCCCTCGTTTGAGAAGAGACTCTGACCGAAACCAGGGAATCCAGATGTTTTGTAGAAGCCAATTGAGCAGGATCAGCGGCCAGGGCTTGCGCAGCTCCCGGGACCGCTGCAGCGTGGCTTCTCGATAGGCCACAAAGTTCACCTGCTCGTAAGGCTGGACGAAGATCTCTCCGCGGATCTGGTCTAGCAGTGGATTCGATGGGATGGCGAATTGCTTTGTAGACAAATAGCTCATGGCCAGGTAGACTTGCCTTGGGATAATATACCATTTCCAAGGTGAGATGGGCATCCACTCCGGCAGAAGCCACATCTCCACGGGGTATGGATCCGTGCCCTCCCACTTATACAGACCCAAAAGTGCAAGCCAGAATTTAGCCCAAGACGGGAGATGTACTGCCCCGCCCATGTCCCGCAGACAGGCCCTCGCCTTAGCCAGGGCCTTTTCGTTTGGTGGTAGTCCTATCAAGCGCAGAGCCACGTAGACAAGAACAGTCCCCATGAGCGTGGTGTCTTCGCCGCAGTAAGTCGGCCATCCGCCGTCTGGATTCTGGGCATTTAGTATCAAGTCCACGAGCTCGATTGCGCATGCTTCGTCGATGGTTGCTTGCGTAATGTACCATGCAATTATCAGCATCGGGGTGACAAAGAAAATGCAGCTTAAGTCGGCAGCCCAGCAGCCGAGCTCTTTCACTTGGACCTGACTATGGTAGAGGGCTCCGCCGAGAATGGCATCCGAGGGTTTCTCTGCGGGTGTGCGCTCTGCAGCCAACTGTTCCATGTTAGTAAGTAGTACCCAATATAGCTAGGATGGCGGATGTACTGTTGGCAAGCCAAGATAGAACTTGGAGGCCGGGTCTTGAGGGTATTCAGCCCTTTCTTGATCAGATCTCAGATACTTCCACTTCAACCGGGCCAACCCTTCCTCCACCGTCAACCGCCACCCGTCGAGACCGGTTTTCTGCGTCGAAAAGGGGCCATTGCCATCCTGAAAGGGCTTCACAGGATCTCTGACTTTCAGAGCATATTGGATGGTCATGGTGCTCGTAGTCGGGGTTGATGTTCCGACCTTGACGACACAAGTTCCGTGGGAATGAATGGCAAGCCGATCGGGGACCTAGGATGGCTTTTGAGACACTCGGGCAGAGCTCAATACATTAGTCATGAACAGGTCTCACAAGAGATCGCCGCTATCGAAACCCATCGAGTGTAACTCCCCGCACAGTATATTGTGTGTTCATCCGGGCCTGGCAGTCCCCTTGCTTCAGGGAGCAAGGGACGCAAGTAGTGGTGGCATCCCAGGCTGGTTTATGCGGCTCCCTTGCTGTCTCACAAATGGGGCGGTTCCTTTTCTAACCAATCCATCTGAGTGACAATGCGACAAGTATTTGGAATTCACTAGTCGGTGACCTCGGGGAACTAGTCCTGAATCCGATCTCAGTGGTTAGCGAGCTAGGGATTGATCCATGCAGATGATAACTAGCTGAATCATAAGAAGGACCATTCCTTCAACTTTGAGATGCCTCGTAAGCGAGTAACCATGTGGACAGCGCCTATCCAGTTGCCCTCAATGGGAGCGGGGATGGCTCTGGCCATCTCCATCATTCTTTTCTCAATCGTTCTGCGTCTCTGTACCGACTCTCAAAGCTTTCCACACATCCCACTGGTGAAGACCACGAAGAAGCGACTTTGGCTGTCGGAGTATCTTGGTTACTTTTTAGATGCAGACGAGATACTGTGCCAGGCGTACAACAAAGTAAGCGCCTTGTTCTCATTCGAGACAGTCCATTGACAAGCCGCGCAGTACTCTAAGCATGGACGCACCTGCCAGCTTCCGAGCAACGCGTTTGGCACCTCGATCATTCTCCCAAGCAGAGACATGCCGTGGCTACTAGCCCAACCACTCTATCTCCTCAACTTTTATGAGTGGGCAATGCAGTCGATGCAGGCGAGATGGACCCTCGGACACTCACGCTATATTACCGACAACCACACCCGTCACATTCAGCATGTTGCCATTCGTGTCGCCGCCAGCACCATGATGCCCCAGTACCAGGATGAACTGGAGCGCAGCATTGACCGTGTCTTGGGCAATGACCACAAGACCTGGAAGGCCATCAACCCAGCACAGGCAATGGATTCAATCCTTTTGCAGTCCTCCTTGCGTTACATTGTCGGATCTCCTCTCTGTACGACGACCTTGTCCCTACCCATGCCAACGCTGACTGTGCTCGTTAGGCGCCAACGAAGCATTCCTCCGGTGGTCGCGGATCTTTATCCGGATCATATTTCCAACAAGCGAGATCCTGCGTGTGGTCCCTAGTATCATGCGCCCGCTCATCGGCCACGCCCTTTCAATACCTTGTTGGATGGTTCTCCGGAAGCTGGAGAGCATCCTCGGCCCGACATTTGACGAGCGTCTGCGTTTGCTCGCCTTGCAGTCAGAGGAATCATTCACGGGCCTGCCCCAGGACTTCCTGCAGCAGCTTATGCGATCGCTCTACGAGCGCAACAGCCCCGATCTCAACATCCACTTCGTCACCATCCAAGTCCTCCTCTTCTCAGTCGCCGCCACATTCAGCACCTCTCTCCTCGCATCACACGTCTTTTATGACATCCTCGCGTCTGATCCCGAGTACAACACGGTCGCCGAGATCAAAGCCGAACTCAAAGCAGTCTTCCGGGACCGAGGTCCAACCAGAAAGCAACGCTGGACTCGACTAGAAGCCGAAAAACTACGCAAGCTCGACAGCATCCTGCGCGAGTGCCTCCGAATCAACAACCTCTCCGGCCAAAGCATGCCACGGAAAGTGATGACGAGCGGACTGCGAACACCCGACGGCTACGAGATCCCCAAAGGTGCGACCGTCTCGCTGCTCGCACGAGGCCCACAGATGGACGCCGACATCTACCCAGACCCGCACAAGTTTGTTCCCTTCCGGCACCTGCAGTTGAAGAAGCGGCTTGTTGACACGGGCCCTGAGTTTCTGCCCTTTGGGCACCAGTCTGGCTCATGCCCAGGCCGTTTTCTGCTGGCTGTTGAGCTGAAGATGCTGGTTGCGTATCTTGTTCGGCACTATGAGCTAGAATTGCCGGGAGGGAAGCGGCCAGAGGGGACTCGGTTTGGTGAGTTTCTGTTGCCGCCGCTGAAGGGGGCTATCAGAGTCAGAAGAAAGGAGGCTCTATGAGAGTTATCTTTGTCATAAACGTTTCCTTCTGGAGACATTGCCTGCGTATTTGCTTTATCTCTCATTACCTCAACTCACTTCAGGGACCTCTCGCTCGGCAGGTGATGTAGAGAACTGAAACAAATCGGACCTTTGGTCTATGGTAGATGCAAGTGCAATAAGAAGTCATCGTTTCTACCTGCAGCAAATCACGTGGGTCGTTTCTACCTACCTCCTGGAGTCCTACCGGTACCCCTCTTTCTTCCTACAGAGCACCACTCCAAACCTTCTGGCCTTCGCAGCCGAACCACACTTAAAGATCTGAATCTAGGTCTTGACACTACCATAATATTCATCCCATTCCGAACTATCAGGAAAGCACACAATGCTAGGACGGCTCAAGAGAGTCCTGGGGCGGCGGGGCAAAGAGGAAGCCACAACTGCGGCACCAACCACTTCCGCTTCTGTGGAAAATGCGAGCGAGGGAAGTGAATCAGGCAGAGTAGAGGATAATATTCACAGCGCAAGCGATTATTGGAAGATGGCGAATAACCAGTTAAGCGAGGCCGAAAGAGTTACTCTGTCAACAGTTCTCCCAGAGACACCGACTCACCCTCACAACAGTCATTTACGGACGAAGGAAATACTGGGCCGGGTCCTCGAAGCAACTGAAGAGCAGTACAAGGAGTACCTGGAAAGCCGGACCACCATCCGAACAACAGCGCACAGGATCCTGAACTCCGCACTGTCTTTTCAGGATATAGTCAGTACCGTCGTTCGATTCGATCCAACCGGCCATGCTTCGCACGCCTGGGCGATCGTATCCCTCGGGTTAACGGTACGTTTCTGTTCATCTGCGCAGCTCGCCAGCCAAACTAAGAATCTAGATGGCTAAAAACCACGCAGACCTGCGGAATGCTCTTTTCGATTCTTCAGCATACCTGGCGGATGTTTTAACCCGCTGCGCCTTTATCGAAGAGCATCTTTATCGGGAGAGTGACACAGCGGTACCGCCAAATATCGAAAAGGGACGATCAATTGTCCGGGTTTATGCAGCAATACTGCGCTATGCGGCCGAGGTGCGCAGGGTCCAAGAGTTCAACACAGGGAGAGACGTAATGGAAAGTATTACAGCCATAACGGATAAGCCACTCATACAGCTCAAGTCGGCAATTAAGGAAGAGGAATTAAATCTGCAGCTCTGGCTGCTTTTAGACCAGCACCTGCATCGCAAAGCCGAGGCAGATGCCATACTTGGTCATATTGACGAATTGATAGCGGCTGTCGAGGAGGTAGGCAAAGTAGTTGCCATGCTCAATTTGCCTTTTGTTGACTGTGCATGTTTCGACTCCTTCGAAGATCAACATGAAGATGAATGCCTTCTTGGAACACGGACAGAACTGCTTCAGCAGATAAAGTCCTGGGGCAACTCAAGGGATACAAGCATATTCTGGTTGGCTGGCATGGCAGGAACGGGCAAGTCCACTGTTGCAAGGACAGTGGCCCGATGCTTTATGGAGGGAGGCATCCTCGGGGCAAGCTTCTTCTTCAAAAGGGGTGATGGGGATCGCGGCTCAGCAGCAAGGTTTTTTCCAACAGTTGTCAAGCAATTGGCTGCCCGTATTCCGCAGACAATCCCCGGGATTCAAAAAGCCATAGAGAACGACCCTACAGTTGCAACGAAGTCGCTTCGGGAGCAGTTTGACAAACTTCTGCTGCAGCCATTACTTGCCGTGAGTGGGCCACAAGCGGCAACTCCTATCGTAATTGTCGTCGACGCCCTGGATGAGTGCTCACGGGAGGAAGACATAGAGGTCATCCTCGAGCTGTTACCCAAGGTCCCAAAGATGATTCAATTCTTTATAACAGCCCGGCCCGACTCAGCGATCCGCTTCGGCTTCGATCAATTTGATCAGAGCGATTACAAAAAAACCATCCTTCAAAATATCGGCGATGATGTGATAAAACGAGACATTACCGTATATCTTCGGGAAGAATTCTCTAAATTGAGGCAGAAGCGCCGGCGTGCTCTTCCCCCGGATTGGCCTGGAGAAGAGAGAATTGAGGCTCTAGCAACAATGGCCGCTCCCCTTTTCATATTCGCGGCAACTGTGTGTCGCTTTGTGGCTGATAGAAGATTCAATCCAGAGAAGCGGTTGGAAGAGTTCCTTGCAGAACCCTCAGGGTCTAAGATGGATAAGACATACCGTCCAGTGCTGAATCAACTTTTCGCCGACAACGAAAGCGACATGGAGCTGCTGGTCGACGAGTTTCAGAAAATCATTGGCGTGATTGTTCTTCTTGCTGCTCCACTCTCATTAAGTGCCCTTGCACAGCTCCTCAAGATACCAGAAGGAGATATCAGCACTCGATTAGATTCATTCCATTCAGTACTCAGCATACCTGATGATCCACACTTACCAATCCAGGCGCTGCATTTGTCCTTCCATGACTACCTCGTCGACGGGCGCACAGGAGCCCAGGAAGCCACCTCTCAATTCTGGGTAGACAAAAAAGAGAAGCACGGCCTGATAGCCAGGCATTGTCTAACACTCATGAATTGTTCGCTTAGAAAGAATATTTGCAGGTTGCCAAGTTATGGAACACTCCGAGAGGAAATTGAGCGTGCTTCTATCACAAGCTTTCTTCCAGATGCGCTCCGGTACGCTTGTCGCTACTGGGCTTATCATCTAATCCAGAGCTCAGCATCGGCAAGGGACTCGGAGCAGATCCTGCCCTTTCTAGAGAAGCACTTTCTTCATTGGTTAGAGTCGATGAGCATCCTGGGAATGACGCCGGAGGCCATTAATGCTGTCACYGCGTTGCTAGAACTACTGGATGTGAGTATTCTGCCTGTCCGAGCGCACGGCAAAACAGGCGGCTGAGACGTCACTTATAGGCTTCACCCAAAAACGCGGTATTCCTCTTTCTCTCGGATGCCAGACGGTTTATGCTCAAAAATGCGCGCATTGCCGAGAGAGCACCACTGCAGCTGTACTGCTCCGGCCTGATTTTCGCCCCGCAACAAGCCCTAATTCGAATGCTCTTCAAGGACAATATCCCTTACTGGATCTCGCGGCTACCAAGTGTCGAAGAGAACTGGAGCCCTGAGCTCCAGACCTTTGAAGGCCATTCTCACGCGGTCAATTGCGTGAGATTTGCTCCGGATGCGAAAACAATGGCTTCTGCTTCTGGCGACGGTACAATCAAGCTTTGGAGCACGACGGCGGGTCTGAAGCGGACGCTGGAGGGCCACCGAGACTCAGTTGTCGACTTTGCGTTTTCGCCAGATGGGAAGACAATAGCGTCGGCATCTCTTGACGGTACGATCAAAATCTGGTGCAGCACGGGGGACTTACACAAAACACTGGATTTACGTGATGAGCAAGTCGAGGATGTTTGTTTCTCGCACGAAGGAAGAGTGGTCCATTCTGCACACTACGATTGTGAGGAAAGCATTTGGTCCGTTGTGAATGCGAAGGACGGCGTAACACGAGACGACCGTTGGGTCAATAGGCTTGTGTTCTCGTCTAATGGAAAGCTAGTAGTTTCCGGCTGCAGTGACGGCAGCATACAGTTGTTGGACTGCAATGGGAACTTGCAGCACTCGCTAAAAGGCCACAGCAAGTCGGTTAACTCAGTTGCGATATCTCCCGACAGCAAGCTAGTCGTTTCGGGATCAGCAGATTATACCGTCAAACTCTGGAGCACCACCGGAACTTGGAGGCGTACTATTCAGAATGATGATGGGGAGGTGAACTTAGTGACCTTTTCTCCTGATGGCGGCATTATTGTGTGCACTTCCGAGTACGGGGCGGCCAAGTTCTGGGATACCAAAGGAGATCTGCAGTGCACCCTTGGCGGGATGGCAAAGAAGATCGAATGCGTGGCATTCTCTCCCAATGGCACCCTGGCTGCAACAGGGTTTAGAGACGGTACAGTGAGCCTGTGGCATACAGACAAGTGGGCTCTACACTGTACCCTCAGCGGCCACGACTTGGTAAGGTGGTTGGAATTCTCTCCCGACGGGCAACAGCTGGTTGCGGTGTCTTGGAAAACGGCAAAGGTCTGGCAGTTGAACTCGGACACCAGAGCACCACAGAACACGACGTTGAAAGGACATTCCGGGCATATCAATTGTGCTGTCTTCTCACCCGACAGCAAACTCGTAGCTTCTGGATTGGGCGACGGCACGGTGAAGATCTGGGACGCCACCATCGCCAATTCCGATTCCGAATACAATCAAGCCGCACATACGGACGCCGTGGGAAGGGTGCTATTCTCACCAAATGGGAAACAAGTCGCATCGGGCTCATCTGACATCCGGCTCTGGGACGCGGATACAGGTCGTCTGCAACATATCCTCTCACACGTCAGAAGGGGGAACACAGACTTGCTCTATTCCTCGAATAGCACATTGTTAATCTATAATGGCGCGTTTTCTGAAGGGCCTGAAATCTGGAATACGTCGACCGGCGCTTTGGTATATACCAGCTTCCCGGGTGAACCCTCCGACACAATTTACGGGGTGCAATTCTCCCCCGATGCTAATCTCGTGGCCTATCGCTTGCGGGACGCGTTTGAACTCAGACACACATCTTCGCAGGAACTGGCTTACTCGGTGAAAGCCACCAGGGATCTCTACTCTCACGCATTGCTTATTTTCTCGCCCTCTAACGCGTTGGTTGCGACATATTCCGCATTCCCTTATCCCTACACTGAACAAACAGGGACGGAAGCAGAAAAAAGTGTCAAAACCCTGGCAAACTGGCGCGGGGATCGAAATATCTCCATCCTCAATGCCACAACCGGAGCCATCCAAAGCGTCATAAGTGGCCATGCAGATCTAGCCAAGACTGTCACGTTCTCGCCCGATGACCGTTTCGTGGCGTCTACGTCCGCGGATAGGACAGTGAAACTCTGGCAGACTGCGACGGGGGGGTTGGAAGACTGTTTCCAACACTCGATGCTCGTCACCGCCGTGGCATTCTCACCGGATACCCGAACTCTCGCTTCGAGCTCCAGCGACAACACAATAAGGCTCTGGGATACCGCTTCCGGAACATTACGATATACCTTTCCCGGTGCGGAGGGTGTCGACGGCCTCTCCTTCTCAGAGGATGGGAGGTACCTGCAAACCGATCTTGGCTCAATTGACATCGAGGCGTCGAAGGCGAAAGGGGCATGTGTGTTCCGTCCTAAAATGGTCTCCGTAGAGGGCTGCGAGTGGGTTTGCCTCAATGGCGAGAAGGCGCTCTGGCTTCCGCATGAATATCGCGGAGCTATTGCTGTGCGAGATGCGAGGGTGGTTATTGGGCATGCAACTGGGGCTCTTACGTTCATGGAGTTTTACTTTGGCACTGACACCGCAGAGGCGTGCTGTGGCCCTAAGTATTGACAGATTGTTAGGGATAGGTTGTTACAAGAGATACTACTAAGATAGCTGGTTCTTTGGCTAGGCCGAGGAGCAACTGGATGCGCTTGGGCTCCTAGAACTGGCGAGCCTTGGTTTTCGCAGAGGGAGATGCTGCCAGGAGCAGGCTGTCATGAATGAGAAGAGTGCTAGGTAGTGACGATGTCGGTGGCAGTGCGACGAAGTAGACCAGACGTGCTTCGCATGCAACTTGCTAGATCAAGTAGAGGCATCCATACGTATCGGCTTCTGCCCTCCTACTTTCGGCCCCGTACAGCTTCTCAGGAGTATAGATTTGTTCTGAGACACGAGGGCAGAAACTATAACAGTATTTTCTGTCGAGACTGAGCCTGCGCTCAGAGCCTTACGGTGAGGTCCTTGGGTCTTCTCGCCGCTAGGCTAACATGTTCTGTAGACCTGGCACAACATGTCAGCACGCTGAGAACCTATCTCAGACCCCATCTATCCTCTACGGTAGATGCAAGTCCAATAGAAAGTACCTGCAGGAAATCACGTGGGTTTACCTCAGAGTCCTACCCCTCTTCCTGCCAACATGTCTGTACTTCGCACCAGAAGTTCACTTTGTCTTGTCTTCGGAAACTCTGGACTCTCCTGGACCACTTACCAAGGCTTTCCCAGCGACTTCAGATACAAGATATCAGATCTTCCCGCGCGTTAGCTGGAAGCCATGGTCGTACAATTCTGCGACGGTTGTGGGAACCTTCTCGATGACCTTCCTGGTGAAGTGTTACAGTGTGAGCTGTGTGGAAGGACCGCGAAAAGTAATTCCCTTTTCCATTCAGTTATATTTACTGCAGGTGTCTAATTCCTTCGGCTCAAATAGACACAGCACTCACTCATAAGCAGACGACGTCAACATCTGAAAATTTTCCGTCAAGGCTTAGGAACAAACTCAGGTCATATACTCAGGAAGTGACGAAAGAGACTGTGGACTCGGGTCCCCGCGTTGAGATGGATTGTGCCAAATGCCCGTCCAAAGAGGTGACCTATGCTCAAGTGCAATTGAGGAGTGCGGATGAGGGAAGCACCATATTCTATACCTGTCTGAAGTGTGGACACAGGTAGGGAAGCTCCATGATTTCTTGTCTTGGCTCATAAGCTGACATTGATGAATTAGGTGGCAGGAGGATAACTAGGAGAATTCGGTTGCCATAACGAAAGTGAGAGGTTATGGCTAATGAATTATGATATTATCGAGATGAAGGCCGATTCCTGGTTTGATAAGAGAATATGGCAATCCCGATTCTCGGATTATTTTGGCGGACATGGTCTGGTCGAGAGCTTTTATCAGAGTTTGATGTGTTCTGTTGGAAGCGACGTAGGGCTGGCATTGAGCATGCTGGTAATAGACCCTGCTAGGTAACTACTACTACAACAAAGTAGGCGTATTCGTGGGGAGTCACTGCTCCAACCCCCGCTCTTGCTGCGTACATCTCTCTCTCGTGCTTCCACATTTATGGGGGATGCGTCGAGCAACATGCTTCAATCAGCGAAGAACCGCACAGTAAGCTACATCCCAGCCAATCGACCCCACGACACCAAGCTCCGCGCAACCCTCCTCGCATTCCTGGAATGGCTCCCCCAAGCAGCAAAAGAGTCCATCGCCAAAGATATCATTAGAGCAGAGACAGACGAGGCCTTATAGGAGGTTTATTAAAACTTAGTTACGGGGCTACTTGCTCCGAGTAAGAAACACGCCACCTGCCACCAATACCAGTATATTAATAATCCTTTAGTGAAGGCGCGAAGCACCAGGAACTCGGTAGTCTCGTCACCGCATCCGCGTCACTTCAACAGCGAGATAGTGGCACCTCAGAGCCGGGATGACGCGTTCAGACAAGGCTGCCTGCGTCGGGATAGCAATTGGTGTGTCGCTTGCCAATCCATGAGTGCGGACGCCTGGAAGGATCTTGGTCGTCCAGAGGGTGTCAAGGCAACTCTGGTAGAAGGTGCCCATATCATACCGTTTTCCTATGCATTATAAAACAAGAACACGGTATGTTTTCCCCTATGCTGCGGACCTGGTCTCAAAATTCCACCCCATGCTAAGATGTTTGATTAATATAGGCCGCGCCAAACAGCACAGCCGATACTTGGGAAGTACTCTATCGGTGCTTCCCGGCCGTTCAAAAGATGGGTATGGAAGTCGCGGCAATCAACAAGCTATTCAATGGTCTCACATTGGAACGCAATCTCCACTCAATGTTCGGAAGTTTCGAAATCGCGTTCGTGGCCACGGTTTGTCTTGTCCCCGCCACCCCTTTCTTTAGGTATGTTCCATCCCGTCTTCCTGTTGCTAATAATTCGACCTCATATAGGAGACTGAGAACAAATACAAAGTCAAAGCCTACCCTGATCGTCCCCCCGACATTCGCAACCTAATTCCGAGCGACTTGCTAGTGGAGTTCACCCAGGCTCAGGCCACTCCCTCACCCAGATCTCCTCGACTGTCATTACTGCCTGTGTGAGATTCTGCATGCGTCCGGAATGGGGGAGGACATCGACGAAAAGCTGCAGGAATAGAAGGATCTCAAGGGGTCCGCCGGACCTGGGCACCTCAAGGAAGACGGCACGACCGATGTGGCGAGTCTCATTAGGGTTGCGTTGTGGGAGCATGGTGCAAGGTAAGCAGGGATACCCTGTTCTACATATACATCTATCCTACGGTATGAGTCCAAATGTTCGTACTCCATCTGGCATTCTACAGCTATCCTATCGCTACCTATACCGCTACCACTGCCGCTAGCTACAACCAGGCTATCCTCCCTCATCTATCCACCTAGAAAACAGCAACAGCCAGCCACCCAGACTCCGACCCCAGTCCCTTCCCTCGAGATCGATCCAAGACGCCCCCAATCCACCTTTACGTCCACACCGAGTTCCAAGTCCACCTCTATGTCCAAAGTCCAAAAATCCAGAAAGTCCAAGTCCATATCACACGTATCCAGTCCCAAGTCCAAAGAGATCCAGATCCCCCACTCACTCCATCGAGCGAGGGAGAGCAAACGTTAGGCAGTCTCACTGCCATTCCGCATCTCCTCCAACGGCCTGACATCCTGATCTTGATTTTTCCTAGCCGCCCGCCGTCTATAAAACACTCTCTTCGCCCACTTCCACGCCTCAACGCCCATGAAAAACAGCACGGCTTCAACAAACACAATGCCCCATTCCCAGCTGATACCGGTGTGCTTGAACACGACTGTGTTCAGCACGGGGATATACAGGATCGGAAAGGTAGTGATCCAGCCGGCCATGATAGACCAGAAGAGGAACTTGTTGCGCCAGACGTCGTACATCCACTGCGTGAAGTATTTCTTGGAGTCCGGCTGCATGCGGAAGAACGACAGGCGGAGATTCACCATCTCCCACGCCAGGAAGAGCGCGAACCACGTGAGACACACGAATGTTGTTGCGCGCGCGCGGAAGACTAGATCGCAGGCTTCTGAGTACTCCCTGTTACAGCCTGACGCGAGATTTCCGTCGCCGAAGCCCCACATGCGCAGGGAGAATGCAGAGAGGCAGAGCGCTGCGGTCCAGAGGCCATAGACGACGATGTCGACGATGATTTCCCAGGTGAAGATGCCCTGTTTGGCTTGTGGTGGTCGGTCCATGATATCTGGTGCTGCGACTTCCATGCCGAGACCCATGTCCGGCATGCCGGACGTGATCATGATGATCCAGAGGATTTCGACAGGCGCGAGCGGGAACACGGATTTGCCGTCGAGGTCTTTGAAGGCCAGGCCGATGAGCAGCGTGCATGCTTGTGCGATGTTCTCCGACAGCAAATGCAGCACGAACTTTTGGATGTTGTCGAAGATGCGTCGGCCTTCTTCGACGGCGTTGAGGATTGATGCGAAGTTGTCGTCGGTGAGAATGATGTCTGACGCGTCCTTCGCAACATCCGACCCGGCTTGGCCCATGGCGATGCCGACGTCTGCGTGTTTAAGGGAGGGGGAGTCATTGACTCCATCGCCGGTCATAGCTGCGAATCGACCGCGTCGGTGGAGGGCGTTGATCATGCGCACTTTTGTCTGCGGGGCACAGCGAGCAATTACCAAGGGGAGGGTCGGGAGGTCATCAATTTCCTCCTCAGACAGTCGGTCGAACTGGGCGGCCGTCATGACCATGGCTTCTGCTACATCTGCTCCCAGCACTGACATGTCTGCCGGGAGGATGCCGACCTGTTGGGCAATCGCTTTGGCGGTCCCTGGATGGTCGCCGGTCACCATGTGCACCGTGATGCCTGCTCTATAGCAAGCGGCAATTGAACCCGCGGTTTCAGGGCGCGGCGGATCATATAATCCGATGAGGCCGAGGAAGCAGAGGTTCTTTTCAACTTCGTCACGGTTGATATCAGATCCTTCAAGAACTCGGCTTTGCTCGTTGTACGGCCGATGTGCCAGTGCCAGCACACGTAAGCCCAACTTGGCAAGCTCCTCCATGTTCTGGAAGATCTTGTTGCGCATCTCGTCAGTCAAGGTAACAGGAGTTGACGCTTCGTCCCAGATAACAGTGCTGCAGGCGTCAACGATTCTCTCAACCGCACCCTTAGTAAAGACCATGCTGTGCTCTCCCTCTTGAGTCACTTTGCTGAATATGACAGACATCCTCTTCACGGTTGAATCGAACGGAAACTCTGCCTTTTGGTGCCACACAGCCTTCGAGCCCTTGGTCCACCGGTCTCGGTTCCAGTTGAAACGAGAGGCAAACACTTCGATAGCAATCTCCGTTGGCTCGCCTCGTGCCCGCCAGTCTCCTTCCTCGGATTTGAACACGTGAGACAGGTTCGCCATGGATGCAACGTCGAGGAAGTCTTCAAGTGCATGGTTGCCCTCCACCAAACCTTCGACATTCTCAGCCGCGGGGCCCTCTTTCTCGTCGTCAAAGTCCATGGGTGACAGCGGGGTAAAAGTGACATCGCCAACAGTTGGGTTGAAAGGCTCGTTCGAGCTGCCCACTGAGTAGGTTCCTCGCGAAGGTATCCAGGCCTTCTTCACCACCATCTTACCCTGAGTCAAGGTACCGGTCTTATCAGAGCAAATATTCGTCACCGCTCCGAGCGCCTCCAGCGAGTCCAACTTGCGAACAATCACGTTTCGTTCAACCATGCGCTTGGTCCCGACGGCCATGGTGATCGTGAGAACAACCACCAAGCAAGCAGGAATCATACTCAGACCGGTCCCAACAGCGTACAAGATAACCTCATTATCGTCCGAGAAAAGGTTCGCGGCCATGACAATGATGGCAAAGAGAACCGCAACACCAAACAGCAGAATGGCAAGTTTCGACAGCTTCCGCTGCAACGGAGTGCCCACATTGACTCCGAGGAAGCGGCCAACTGCGTCGGTTCCAGTCAACGTCCATGCCTGGAGGTACCAGCGTTTCTTGGTCTCGCCCTCAGGGCCACGCTTGACCGGACGGCGTTTACTGTTGGTAGCGCGTAGGGCGGCTGCGATAGAACCTATCTCTGTAGCCATGCCGGTGTTGACCACCACACCACGGGCACGGCCACGAGTGACAGTGCTCGAACTGTAAGCGAGGTTCAGCCGGTCTCCAGGGCCGGTCTCTTCCTTGAACGTAGAGTCGCATTCCTTTTGCACGGGTAGAGATTCACCAGTGAGAAGGGCTTCGTCGGTCTCAAAGTTGACAGCTTCGACCAATCTAACCAAGTCAGAAACTTTTTCTTCTTTACTACGCCGTTTGGCAATGATATAAGGCAACTCACCGGATATCCGCAGGGACGGTATCACCAGTCCTCAACTCAACCATATCACCGGGTACAATATCCGCCGACGGAACCGAAAAGGTCTCCCCGTCTCTCGAAACAGTCCCAGTAGGCGAACTCAACGAATGCAGCGACTCCATGGTCTTCTCAGCAGCATATTCCTGGAAAAAGCCGACGACAATATTCAAGGCAATAACCGCAGCAATCACACCACCCTCAATCCACGACTGAATCCCGAAACTGACCGCCATGGCCAGAATCAGCACCTGCAACGACGAATTGGATCAGACTCTGGGAGTTCTTGTACAAGGAGCGGGAAGGGGATAGAGTAAAGTGGGCCGCTTAACTAGCATCATTGCGTTGGCCACCTGGCGCACGAGGATCTTGACCACGGAGACACCCTCGCCTTCATCCAGCTGGTTGGGGCCGTACTGCTGGAGACGGCGGGCTGCCTCGTCCTTGGTCAAGCCCTCGTCGACATTGGTCCCGAGTTCTCGCAGGACGTCGTCGAATGGGAGGCAGTATGCCGGCAGGCTTAGGGCAGCATGGCCGGGCTGGATCCCTCCAGGGTCGGCATTCTTTTCGCGAGCCATTACCAAGTGAGCTGAGAAGCTAAAAGATTGTCTCAGACGACGAATAGACCGCAGAGCCAAGCGAACTCTCTGTAATTGATCAAGGTTGGTGAGCAAGGAAGACGGGTAAGGGGACTTCCTCAGATTTTAAGTGCCCAAGGGGGAGCATTGATAGACCGATCCACTGCCTGCGCGATGATGGCACTTCCCCTCCACCATGATAAAAATTCTCCGCTCCAGATAGTAACGATTGGTAGAGACGAGGTAATCAGCTTGGCGCCCAGGCCGACAACCTTGGCCGCGATCTTGGCTGGGCTGGTGAGGTGGGATGGCGCGTTGCGGGTGTCCATGAATCAACACCAAATAGGAAGGTGAACCCAGAGGGCACGGGCCAAATCACAGATGAAGTTTGATAAATGACCTTCGGGTTTCTCAGCAATGGTTTCTCGTCAATGGTTGGGCAACTTTCCAGTATGAAACCCCCAGCACCTCTCGCTTTTGCAACCTTCTTTCCTGTCTCTTAACTGAACGAAACCTCGATGCCGTTCTTATCCGAGTCGCATCCCAGCCTTACCCACACTTGCCTCCGCGGCCAGCCCCAGATCGCACGAGCACGTGTCTGCCTGCTCAAGGTGGTTGGTGAGCGGACTCTTGGCGGCTTGCCCGCTCTTCTTGGCGCGTTCTGGAAAAGTCCACTGAATCTCAGATCAGTACGCTTATGCAGTCTAACGCAGCATTTGGAGACAAGTGCGCTTGGCAGTCAGGATTAGAACGCCGTGGCAAACCAACCCCGGTCTCTTCCGTCCGGTTTGAGCCATCGAATCAGCTTTTCTAAACATGGGTTGCACTACATACACCCCCCAGATGACTAGGTGTACCCCCCCGGGCCGCGCCTAACATAAGTAAAGCTATATTAGGAAATATTTTAATTAAAAAGGCGCCTGGTAACTACGTACACCCCCCCCCCTTAGCCTTATTAAAATATTTAATAAAAGGCCTTTAACGCGCTAGTACATAGTTTTTTATAAAAAATTATATATAAATAAAAGTACCTAAAAGTAAATTAATTTTAAAGTTATTTAAAAGTTTATTTATATAAAAAAAAAAAGTAAAAAGGTTTTTAACGCGCGGGTACTTAGTTTTGTATAAAAAATTATATATAAATTAATATACTTTTAAAAAACTAAAATATATATTTATAACACGCTCTTTTTACTATAATAATTAATTTTTTTAATTACTTGCTTTAAAAATAACTCTAGATTTTTTAAAAATATAATAAAATATAGCTAAATTTAATTTTTTTTTTTAATTTAGGCTAAAATTTTTTAAAAATAACTTAAAAACTACTATAAGTGCTTTAATATATTCTTTTTTATAGCCTTTTTTATAGCCTTAATTCTTAATACTATTTTTAGCTACTAACTTAGTATTTAATAAATTTTTAATAATAATAATGCTATTCACGGCTACTAGTATTTTTTTTATTACCTTTACTTTTATTACCTTTCTTACCTTTTTTATTACTTACTTATTTTACTAGCTAACCTTTTTAATATATATTTTTATAACTTTATAGTAAGATAAATCACAGGTAAAGTTTTTTTTTTTAATATTTTTATTTTTTTTAGCTAGCAGGCCTTATACCTTTATTAGGTTTTATATTATAATATAAAAATTAATTTAAAAAAGTTTATGGCTTTTAAAAAGGTATTATTACTAGTAAAACTAATATAAAAATAATAATAAAGATTTTTGCTAGTAAGCTAGTATTATATAAATATAAAAAATTTTAATAGTTTTTTTTAGTATTTCTATATACTATTTTATTAAAGGTTTTTTTTTTACAGGCGGGAAATAGTATTTTTAAAATATAATAACCTTTTATAATACATGTATAAAGATCTTGCTAAGTATAAAGTAAAATAAGGGGGTTATAAAAAATAAAAAATAGGTAATTTTTTTTTTTAAAGTATTATATAAACCTATAAATAATAATAAATTATTATATTTTTTATTTAATAAATAGTTACTAGTAAATTATTTATAAATATATTATTTTTTTTAGTGTAATATAAGACCCCTTATTTTAAAATATAGTAATTTAATTAAAGTATTAAATTTTACTAGTATAGCAGGTTAAAAAGCAGTGCTTAATATTTTTTTTAAGCTATTAATTCTTAATATAATCTATAAGATTATGCTAATTATACTTTTTATACTAAGTGTAAACTTAAAGCTAGTTATTTTAAAAGGCCTTTTTTAATACTTAATAAAAATACCTTACTAAATAAAGCTTTATTAAAGCTTATTTATTATTTACCTTTTAAAATAAAGTATATTAATTAATAAAATTAAGCAGCTTTAATATAGCCTTAGCTTATATTTTAGTAGTAATTTTTTTTTTACCCTAGCTATAATATTATTTATAATATACTATTAATAAAGTACATGCTTTAATAAAAAAAACATGTTATTAAGGGTATTTAAAAGCGCTATATTATAATTAATTAAAATAATTAAAGGCTTATTTATTTTAGTACTAGACCCGGAGGGCTTAATAAAGTAATAAAGATAGATACTTTTAATATTATTTAATGCCCATGTATATAACTTTTTATTTTTTTTACTTAAAAAGGTAAAGCTAATATAAAATATCTTGTTTATAGCTATTATTTTAATAATATTTAGTAGTAAAAGGCCGTACTTGTTTATTTTATATATATAATTTATAAAAAGAATAAACAGGAATTACTTTAATAGCTTAATAATTTATTTATATATAAAAAAAAGGTAGTATAGCTTACTATTTATTAAGTAATAATAATTAAATATTTATATTATAAAATTATTAAAAAATATAAATAGCACTTATACAAGTGTTTTACTAGCAAGCTAATACTTAAAAAAAGTATATTAATAATTTTAAATATTTTTTAACTAAATAAGGCATCTAGAAATCTTATAATATAAATAGCTTAAAATAATATATATTAAAGTATTAAGCTTAACTACTTAATTAATTTACACCTAGTATTAAAGTATTTATTATTATTAATATTATATTTAAGTACTAGGTAATATAAGCCTATAATTATAGCTTATATTATAAGTTTAAAAGTACTAATAACTATTATTTACGTGAAGGCGTACTATATAATAAAATAGGTAGCCTAGCTTTTTAATAAAAATAAACTAATACTTAAAAATATCCCTATTTTTATTATTTTTTTTTACTACATTTAGAGCTATAAAGCCCTTTATAATAAAGGCCTTTATTATATTTAAAGTTATAAAAAGCTTTAGCGCAGAGCCCTTTGCAACTATATTTTCTTAATTTTTTATTATTTTTAGTGTTATAAAGGGCTTTATAATTATAAAAGGCTTTATACTAAAGCTTTTTATAACTTTAAATATAATAAAGGCCTTTACTATAAAGCCCTTTATAGCTATATTTTTTTAAGCTAGCTAATAATATACCTTAAGTATATAATAGTTTTTAAGGCCATATTAAAGTATTACTTTTTTTACCTTTAATTAAAAAATAATAATAAAATAAAAATTATTTTTTATATATTATTAAATAAAGTATAGCGCGGTTTTTTTATTAAAATAGGAATTATTAGGTAAAAAAGGTAGGAGTTTAGCACTAGTAATAAGCTTATTAATATTAGTTAATAAATTAAGGGTATTTTAGACTTTTTTATTAAAATTAAAATTATAAGATTTTACTACTATAGCAGGTTTTATAGCTATAATAGGTTACTTAGGTTAAAAATTTATATTAAAAGGGAAAAAAAATATATAAATATTTATCGCGCAGGAGTTCTAAAGTTTTAAAAATTAAAAGTTTTAAATAGCTTTACCTTTACTAGTTAATTTACCGGGCGGAGGTTGCGCCGCGGCGGCGTGGAGGAGTATTATTATTTTATTACTAAAGGGGGGGGGTGTACGTAGTTACCGGGCGCCTTCCTAATCGGGACGTCTTACTTGGGTGTTGCTTACGTTAGATACGGCCTAGGGGGGTAGATCTAGTCATCTGGGGGGTGTACGGAGTGACACCCTCTAAACATCCCCTTAGGGCACAATAACCAATCTAAGCAAGTTGACCATCAGTCTTTCGCTCGTGACAGAAAGCAAACCTAAAATAGATAATAGTCGATTCTGTACATGATTGCAGGCTATATACTGTAGCAAACATAGTCCAGGCTAATCTTCAGACATATATAGATGAAAACGCCCAAATGCATAGTGTTTTGATATTCCTACACGCCAAAGAGATACTCTTGAAATAAATGAATAGACATGGCGAGCTTTATCGGTATCTTGCGCTGAGACTAGCAAAGGCGTCAGGGCTGTGCCGTCCACTTTGCAAGCCGTTGATATCCACGCTTTGCTGGCTCATATGGCCTCGCATGAACCCGGTATTGGCAGGGGGGTTGTATGGGTTCACATTCGTGCCGTACATAGACGGCTGGGTTGGGACCTGGGCTGGGTTTTGTGCTCCTGGTGCAGTTGCAACGCCTAAGAATGGATTCTGGCTTCCAACCGCCTGGGGGGCAATAGCTTGATTCGCCATTTGATTCTGCCCCTGGCCAGCGGGTACACCTCCAAATACTGCCTGGGGCTGCTGCACTGCCTGTTGTTCTGGAATAGCAGGAGGAGGCGCAGAGAAGCTGTACAAAGCAAGAATACTGTTCTTGTCAACTCGCCCTGTAGGATGCGGGGCAAACGGTTGCGCAGATTGTTGATATCCAAATGGAGACTGAGATGGAGGCTGAGTAGCATAACCACTTAGTTGGGCGTTAGGAGCAGTCATGGTTGGTTGGAAAGGGTTGAATTGACCCTGGCCGGGTTGCGAAGCTTGCAATCCGAGCTGTGGTTGCGGCTGCTGGGGTTGCTGTGCCTGTGACTGCGGTTGCTGTTGGAAGGGAGAAGGCTGTCCAAATGGTGATGATGAGGATGATAAGGAGGGCATAGTGCTCGCATGCTGCAGTGTAGGCGGGAAACCAACTCCAGCGCCCGTTGAAACGGCCGGGTTTTGGGTCTGGAATGCTGTTTGCGGTTGCGGCGCGGGGACTTGATTGAAGAATGGGTTTGTTTGGGTTGAGTAAGGATTCTGCGGAGGGGTGTTCAGACTAGGCTGTGCAGGGGCCTGAACCCCAGTCTGAAAGAATGGGTTGTTTCCGTTATCGAGCGGCTGTGGGGACGCAGCAAAGCCGGCTGGGGATGGAGCGAATGGAGAAGCAAGAGGCTGGGTGTATGTTGGGAGTGAGTTTTGCCTGTGCGGATAACCCCCAGTGGAGTGAGGGAACAGAGGTTGTGCCACTTGGAGGTTCTGAAATGACTGCTCGAGAGATTGGATGGGTTGCGGCTGGGGCGGAGCCTGCGGTTGCGGAGTAGATATGTCAAAGGGATTATAGCTCGACCCGTTTAGCTGCGACGGTTGCGCTGGCTGCGTCGGCTGTTTGGCATCTAATTGATCAAAAGGATTGACGGATGCACCCATTCCAGTTGTTGTGGCGGCCGGTGTCCTGACTTGCGGTATTTGCCTGCCTTCTCCCAGCCTCCTCAGGGTCTCAACTGTCTTGTCCAAATTTCCGTCCAATTCCCGGAGAGCGGTAGTGTTCCTGCGCTCATTTGTAAAGCCCATCTCCTTCAACTTTGCGAGCTTAGCATCAAACGATGAACGGCGCGTATCGCTGGTGGGCGAGTCTGGACCATGACTGCTAGCAGAGTGGCGGTTGAGGTTCACAGCGGACGAGGCAGACCGAAGACCGAACCCGAACGGGCGGGCAGGTTTCGGAGGCAACGGCGGAGGTGTGCCCTCTGGTGACCTTGTATAGCTTGGATCATGTCGGCTTGGTGGCTTTGGCTTTCCATCCTCCAAGGTCCTTGTCTGATATTTCTGCCGGATGAACCGCTCCATGCATGCGTCGGACTCGTCGATATCGGTAGGGACCGGTGGTTGGACGTTCCTGGGGTTGTAAATCTTGTTCACGAGGATGTTCCCATGGCATTTCATATTCTAGCGATCATCTCCATTAGCCGTGACCTCGACACAGATTGTTCGAGTAGCTCACATCAACTTGGTCTGAGGCCCAACTGTCCATACTCAGCGATTTAACCTTTGATATGTGGGTTCCCATCTTCCTGTGCAGGGCCGCACATCGCATGCATAGGAAAATACCTATCTATATAGCCCGCATTAGTTGTCTCCCGGTCTCGGTTCGTAATCGGTAGGTACGTACATTCCAACTAGCCCATCCTGTATGATGCGATAAGTGGTTAGCTGGGGTTGGACTGGGATATAATGAACCGCTCATACCTGGATTCATCGCTGAGCAGTCGGCACACCGGTCATTGCCGGGAACCGACCGGATGAGATCCTGCAACGCACGCTCATTGCGCAGTTGCTGGCGTTTACTGATGCCAGCAACCATGGTCGGTTGTTGCGGAGGCTATTGAGGCAGAATAGGGAGCGCGGCGCGGCCGGGTGAATCCCACAGGGCGGAGTTATCGAGATAGTGGCGGGGATAAGAGAATGTACAGTATTAACGAGTGGATAAGCAGCACATAATGACCATAACGTGTGCTGTCATAAGTCTATTAAGGTATATGCAAGCAAGGGATGATGAAAGGAAGATGAAGAAGCGTGGGCTGTAAAAGGAGAGAGCAGCCAGGAGCTGTGGAGGTGGGGAAGCCGCCGCCATATTACTGAGCAGGTCTGGAAGGCTCCGAGCGTCCGAGCTGACTTTTGGGCATGCAGGCCAGGTTTACAGGCATTAATATCCTTGTTTCGTCACTCAACTGACAGCCATGGCCATGGCTCGAGCTTGATTCTTTTGACTTTGAAAGTCAAGAATTGGGAAGACAGCACAGAAGACGTGCTTTGGCAACTCTAGGAGCAAATATAGGCCCTGTCAATATATAAGAAGCCTTGGCTCCATATTTATCACCTCTCAAGGGTCTAGGGATATGCATGCTACATACACATATGCTCCTGTTTACGGCCCATGCCACTGCTGGAACTTGTTCACTATCAGACAACTGTACAACAGGTGTTGGTTGATAGTAGGGATGTTAAAATGTCGACATCTTCTCCACTGTGTCAATCTGTCGACAATGTCCATGTTTTTTATGTCAACCCGTATTGACACGCACGTGACTAGGTGGGTAAGGCTAGTCCTAAAATAGCTTAAAACTACCTAAAATTTCCCCGCCTGGCCTAGTAGCTTACAAGCTCACAAAAATAGCTCTCTTTAGGGGAAGTGGGGCGCCGATCGGACATGTCCGACCCGAGTTTGTCACCCCGTTGACGGACATACCGGTGGACATATACGACATGACATTTGTCAAATAACATCCCTAGTTGATAGATGATAGGCATGGTGCGACCACTAAAGCCGCAATCCGACATGTTCCTCAGCCGCACCCTGAGAATCTGCCAGCCTCTCCTAAGAGGTCTGCTCACGCTCCAGGAATCAAACTACAATACGGAAATAATAGTTGCGGTGATGTGTGAGTAACAGGCGACTTCAGCCACCACTGCACCAACGCCTCCGAAGAAACGCAGCGCGGCAGCGAAGCCATAACAATCCCATTGCTCATGCCAGAAGCTTAATCTCGTTCGCCAATATGACCTACCATCCTATGGACATAACCTAGAAAGTTACAGGATTTGGAGGTTGATTATGCGTTCTGAGGTATGAAATGTGTGAAGAAAAAAGGAAAAAGATGCGTGCAATTTTTTGGCGGATAAGATATACCGCTGGTTGTGTCACGTGCTAATATACTGCCTGAGGCAAAAGTTTTGGCCTGGCAACGAGTGCTGCAAGTACAGTGTTGAAAACGTATAAACTAATCTTTTCCTGACCATGCAAGTATAGCTATGTAGCCTACCTCTACTGTCAGTGCATTTGTTAGCCACTAGCTCAAGCGGGAATTAAGCATTCCGTACAGAAAGTTGCTAAACTAGAGACCGATTAGCAAAATATATGTTGGAATGTGTTAAAAACTCGTCGCGATGTTGGATTGAATTGTCCGCCACATTCCCTGCAAAGCCTTACCTGCTTAAACAAGCATGCGCTTTATTATCAGGCTCCAACACTCTCCTCTCAGGGAAATTTGTGGCAGAACGCTGGTTCGACTCGCATACTACGGCCCTGCCAAATCACATGACACAATAAGCGAGGTACCTGTCACGTGCCACAACGCTAACGACAAACTCTGTTTTCCTTCTCGCTCGGCAGTTTCAACTTCTCCCTTCAACAATCTCTGGGTTGCCAGCATCACGACTTCGCACCTCGATGCGGATCGCACTCTTGATGATGAGTAGCGTTCGTGTCGCTCAGATCAGATGTATTATCCGACAATGAGCATAGCTCAGGAACCACACAGTGAGCGTCTAGCCTGACAGTGGCATAGAGGCGTACTTTTTTTTAGTTCGTTCAGTGGAAGATCAAAACCAAACAGTTTTTAGCAGAGCTGCGTCTACTCCACCCTGGTGTTCGCTCTATCGAACAGCAGGACTATTTTTACGACGGACATTCTGATAGAAATGCAATTTCTTCTCTTACATCCTGTGCAAGCTGCGTAGATTCTCAAGTTCAGGCAGTCAGGCTGCCTGATGGCCAAGCGAGACATTATGCAAGATAGGAGCGAGCATTCTGCTTCTGTTCTGCTTGCTCTGCATAATGTCTCGCTTCGCCTTCAAGAAGATGATAATTGCCTTCTGTTCCTGATGAACAGGCCAAACTTCGGCAGCTAGACCTGCCGGATGAATAAGATCGACTGCGGAGAAGACTCGGAATTTCCCGCGGCCAACGCTGCTGACCAAAGAGGAGGACGCTGTTATTAAGCCTGAAACAGAGCCCCATCACTCCAGCACCTCGGCAACGTTGGATGTAGATACTCCGTACTTCCAAGTCGAAGAACAACATTCTTAATCATCATGGATTGCAGATTTTTATACCGAGTTTTCATGAATAATTTGTTCCACGGCCACTGAAGCCATCCATGGGTCACCAACGGCCTGATCGCCACGCATGTCTGCCCTCTCCAACCGTCAGCCCGCCCACCCCTGCAATCCATCGGGGAACCAGATGCGGAGAGAGTGTTTGGAGCCAATCTTGACTTCTTCTGCTGACTCAATTCGAAGGTCTGGGTCCAGAGCTCACCAATGTGGCACCGTTGATTGGTGAGCGGCACTTCGATGGCCTTCTAAGTTCTGGGGTCACCCTTTATAAGGCTTGTTTGTCTATTTGTATCCCTGCCAATTCCGATCCTCTCCTTTTCTTATCATCTCCCTCGTCTCTCCTTCTTCCCCCTCCATTCTTTTTCTTTTTTTCACAACTATCTGCATTTTCACCATGGCACCTGCAGCTCGCTCCGCGTCCCGCGCTTTCTTGCGCTCCTCCTTCAGACCAGCTGTCCGCAGCTCCCGCTTCGCCCTTCCCACTCAAGGCTTCCGCGCGGCTTCTCGCCGCGGCTATGCCACGGAGGCTAGCTCCGGCAAGTCCTCCAACACCCTCCTGTGGGCTGGTGTTGCTCTCGCAGGTGGCGCCGGTGCATACTTCTACTTCCAGGGCGGCGATGCCTCCGTCAGCACCAAGGTCTTCACCCCTACACAGGCCGACTTCCAGAAGGTCTACGACGCCATTGCCGATAAGCTCGCCAACGAGACCGACTACGATGATGGCAGCTACGGACCCGTACGTCCCCATTCCTTTTCAGTACCAGTACACTTGATTCAAATCTAACAATCGTCTGTATAGGTCCTCGTCCGTCTAGCCTGGCACGCAAGCGGCACCTATGACGCAGCGACCGGCACGGGCGGTAGCAATGGCGCCACGATGCGCTTCGCCCCCGAATCCGACCACGGCGCCAACGCCGGCCTCAAGTACGCCCGCGACTTCCTCGAGCCCATCAAGGCCAAGTTCCCCTGGATCACCTACTCCGACCTCTGGACACTCGCCGGTGCCTGCGCGATCCAAGAGCTCGGCGGCCCTGCCATCCCCTGGCGCCCTGGCCGCCAGGACAAGGACGTCTCTGGCTGCACACCTGACGGCCGTCTCCCCGACGCCTCCAAGGCGCAGGACCACATCCGCGCGATCTTCGGACGCATGGGCTTCGACGACCGCGAGATGGTTGCTTTGATTGGCGCGCACGCACTGGGCCGCGCACACACCGACCGCTCTGGTTTCGACGGGCCCTGGAACTTCAGCCCTACTGTCTTCACCAACGAGTTCTTCCGCCTACTTGTTGAGGAGAAGTGGCAGCAGCGCAAGTGGAACGGACCCAAGCAGTTCACGGACAACACCACCAAGACGCTGATGATGTTCCCGTCTGACCTTGCGCTCGTCAAGGACAAGGAGTTCAAGAAGCACGTTGAGCGGTACGCTAAGGACAGCGATGTCTTCTTCAAGGAGTTCTCCGAGGTCTTTGTCAAGCTGCTTGAGCTTGGCGTGCCTTTTGCCAGCAAGGCTGAAGACCGATACGTCTTCAAGACCTCTGAGTAAATGTCTCTTCTACTTTGAAATTGCTTTCTTTTGCTCTTAAGTTGTTTAGCCTGGGGTACTTTGGCATACTCCTTAATCTGCCTTTGTCATGTTTTCTTGATATCCGACATTTGCGTCACCCTGGATGTTTCTGGCTTTTCCTTTTCCATGTACTAGACTGTACTACTCTGGGATAGATTCTCTAGTAGAGTTGCAATACGTCAAGATTTCTTACTGTCATTAACCCGTACTAGATCTCCAGAGCAACAAGACTTGGCGCTTTTTCGTATAGAAAATTAGACCATATATAAGAATGCCCTTTGAAACCATTGTTCCCTTTTTGATAAAGCATTTTTGTTAAGGAGGCGAAATGTTGGTATCTACTGGCTGACTGGAGCTTATCCTCCCAGGCTCCCACTGCCGCTCCGGAGGTCAAGATCTCCCCGCAAATATTTTCCCAGCAGCACCAACCTCCAGCTTCCACCAACCCCGGTCAGACAGGCCTCATTCATTCCTTCAAAATCACGCGTCCTACAAGCGAGCATCTAGCTTAAGATTCACGCGATACCAACACCATATCGCTGATCCGACCGCAAACCGAACCCCCGCGCGCATACCAAAAAAAAATGACTCGACCCTCACCCCCCACGAACCCATCCATCTACGAAATCCTCAACCTCCCGTTCCCATGCACGAGCCTCACAAAGCAACAGCTGAAAATCGCCTATCACAAGGCCCTCCTAAAACACCACCCGGACAAAGCGCCCGCCGTCGCGAACTTGAAGGAGAACCTAAACCTCCCCGGCTACGACACCCCACAACCCGCAACCGAGAGAAAGGGATTCACAATCGACGCGATAACATCCGCATACAAGACGCTCTCCGATCCCATCCAACGCGCCGAATACGATCGCGCTCTGAGGCTCGATCGGAGTCGGTTGGGCGGCGGTGATAAGGGTGGGAATGGGACGGTTTTCCACACGGGGCTGGAGGTTGTTGATCTTGAGGATCTGGATTGTGATGAGGAGGGTGAGGAGGGGGAAGCTGTTTGGTATAGGAGTTGTCGGTGCGGTGATGAACGGGGTTTCCTTGTTTCCGAGGGCGATCTGGAGAGGGAGGTTGAGTCGGGTGAGATTGTTGTGGGCTGTCGCGGGTGTAGTCTCTACATGAAGGTTTTGTTTGCGGTGCAGGATGATGAGGAGGGGGCTGGTGAAACGAGGGCTTGATTGGGAGGCTTAAGGATACCTTTTTTCCTGGCTGTTGCGAGTCGTGAGTTGGAGCTACGTGCCGACTAGGCGCCAGCCTCAAGCGTAGTCGTGAGTGGTCGACTCAAGGCGCGTATTAGAGAGCGGCATCTAGTTGCCTAGGTACCTACGGTACCTCAAGATGACCGCTGGGCTGGTCTTCGATCTCCGACACATATACCTCCACCGAGGCTCTACCCATCAACGCCATTATTGCGATAACCACTAATCCTCATGGCCTCACGAACCGAAGCAAGAACGCGAACAATCTACCTCATGACCTCGCGGTCTTCCTCAAGACAACGCGCGCATTTCGCGATCTTTGTCCCCTCGACTGCCTCCTCCACCTCCACCAGTATCCAAATGGGTACGGATACCAGCACCGACGTTGGCAACCGAAGCGGCACTCTAATCAACGTCATCGGCGCGCCCATGCTCGGCTTCATGCACGAGTTTAGGCGGCAATATATCCCGGCCTTGCACAGCACGGAGCCCTTCAAGATGTACCCACTTAGTGAGGTCGACGAGGCGCATATTGTTGGCCGGCAGCCTGAAACCCAGGCAGGGGAAGACCAAGGAGAGGGCGTATATCAGACGGATACGACTCCGACCAACGCCCTTGAGACCGCAGCATGTCAGATCCCGGCGCCAGGAGTCAGTGAGAACTTTCTGGCGCCTGTTAATAATGTACGTCGCTCTCAAACCTTGTGATCTACCTATCCATTCTCCCAAATAGATGGCCCTGGAAAACAGCTCATAACCAAATCACGCTCCATACTACATCTACCGGTGCTGACTTTTCATTTTTTTTTTTTTTGCTTAGACAACAAACAGACGCTGCCAAGAATGGACAACAGACTACATCCGCCATCTCGTAAACAAGGGGTATCTCGACGCAGAGGCACTCGAAATCGTCCAGTCAAAACGCGATCCACCAAATCATGGAATTGGATTGCTGCCCGTGTCTGGTCCTGCATCTGGGCGCGCAAGTTAGCAGCAGTTTAAGCAACCCCGCCAGGGAGGCCTCAGGCGCATGTGGTTGCCGCTTTAAGGGCGGGTAGGATTGGAGTCAGGTGATCCACGTCACCCTACATATACTTAGGGTACAGCATCAATGCAGATTCTGCGCTGGATAGCGCTCAGTCCCGAATACATTTCTCTACTCCGTATCATGTCGAGGTTAATATTGCCAACAGTATCTAATTCTGATGAAAGGCGCCAACTAATATCACTCATCTTTCATCTGTGACTAGTCATTAGGAATCAGAGAGTACCGGTATGCATGGTGCAAATGCAGTTGCGAACAATTGGACATATGCAGGTTGGACACTGGACATGTCATGGACCATGCTTTTTTCTCCCTCAGCCTGAGCAGCTCCAGCTCCAGTCTCAGACGCTGACTTACCCTCGCAAAACGCGGTCCGTTTGAACTATCGCCAGCCAGGCTGGGATACGAATCAGAAATTAACCTCAGTTGAAAGAGAACCTTTGTTCATCTAAACGCAAACGCCACGTATTGATAGTATAGTAGAAAGTACTATGGTATGGCCCGTCTCATTGCCTCACGGTCTCACCTACTAATGGTATTTATTCTAGTAGGCAAGGGCAAGAAAGAGTAAGACCGGAAGCAGACCTCGGGACTCTCGGAGCTGCTTGCCTGATAGACGGAACTGGCTTATACGTCACTTGTTTTCCTAGAAGACCAGAAAGTTGAAAGCAGCCCTGAAAAGGTGCCAATTGAAGGMTGATCTCTTATGAAGGTGGATGCGTGAGCCTCGTAAATACTGTACCTATGCTAACGCCACCAGACTTGAACACGATCCTGTGCTCCAAGCAGCAAATTGACATATCCCCCAGGGCGCACTGTAAGGTTTCTCTTCCTCCACTCTCGAACCTTGACAGCAGAGTGAAGCACATTGCAGGAAACAATCACCAATCCACGAATCACCATACGACAGATCCGTCATCGGCCAGGTCAGCAATGCTCCTATTTGCTTTTTTCGCCCGCTTCTTTTACCCAGAGTCAGTTGGCTTTCACCTACTTACTCCGTACTCCTAGTCTGTACGACTCATGGTTCCGGCGATGCCGTGTAAACCGGGGGAATGGGGGAAACGAGCAGGCATCCGGATCCTTCGACTCGCTCACGACTCACGAGTCACTGGGCACCTGCAGTTGGCACGGATCCCTCGAACGCATTTACCTACCTAGACTATCCCTCAGCCGGAGGAATACGGCGCAAACCCTAAGTGGGTGAGTGCATCCGTATCGAGCACAGCTGCTTTTATCCCTTGGATAATACAGCACAGCGGAGATGCCTGAAATCTTTATCCCGTCGTTAAGAGCGTCATGATGCCTCTCTGGACCGGTGAGAGCGAGGCTGAGCTGGGCTGGCGAGAATTTTGGCGAGACGCCCGCCCTTTCACCGGGCCACCGGCATAGGTCTCCTTATTCGACCGGTCAGTCTGATATCAAACTTGAGAACTGGCCCAATAATGGGATGACCAGTGCTCGACTGCTTTGTGTGTTCTCGGATGTTGCGTTTGTGACGCGCCACGATGGGGGGCAAACCCCTGGTTGGAACTTGGGGGCTTACTCTGGGCGGCTGAATGAAGGCCGAAAAGGCCAATCAGGAAGGGTCGATCCGGCCTGCGCCTTATGACCACCATTTTGGGGAATGCAGGTTACCTAACGTTGGACGCCGAGTTCGCCCTTGTGCTGCCTGTGTCTACTATCTTATAATCTTATATGCTGTCTTGTGCCCGTGGGAGGCGCTCAGCACAATCAGCACGAAATGGTCGCATTTCCATGATGTGACATTATCCTTGCATCAAGAAATGAAAACAGTTCGTCGAAGTGAAGGGACAGAACAAAATAAAGGTATGTTTCTCGAAGACCAAGAAGACAGCGACAGACATCAAGGGCTAACATTGCATGCCAGGCCTTCCACCCAGTCCCCAGGCGACTCATTACCCTCTGCCTTTTACCTTCCACCGCGTTCCTCTTCTACTTGTTGCTCGCCTTCTCGCCACCCAAGTTCTATCTGTCCTTTGAACATATAACAAAACGTGTTGATAGGGAATGGATGGTGAACCTGGTTGTCGTGCCAGGAATATAAACGCCTCATGGTTTCGTTAGTGTCATCTGCTAGAGGATGCCGCCCAAGTGTCGTTGACGGAGCAATGCTGCCGATCCTGACACGTTCAATGCAAGCATCTACCTCACCTGGGCCTCCATATTCATGGCAGCACAAGCTAACCGTTTTTCAATAGAAAGAAAAGAATGACATAGTGAAGAAAATATCATGGAGTCGATCAGGGCAAAAGCACCGAGGTATCACTGACGGATATTACGCTTCGCCCTGATACGTTCGGTGAGCTTCCTGGTTATCTTTTGGAAGCCTGTGACTCTATCAGTCAAGTTCAACAGCGGTTCACAGATAGTATTTCTCACTGCTGTCACCGGTGCCCTGACGGGCAACCCCTCCGAACGAACGACTGCCGTCGAGAACAGTGTTGGGGGTCGTCTGACTTGTCGGGAAATGCTCGTGCACTGTGGCCATATATTTAGTCACTGTATTTGGTCAAGACCGCACGCAGTGAAGGGAGGCTCACGCAAGTTTTTACCCCTTTCATTGATGAATCTCTCACAGTTTTCCTTGAGCTTGGGTATGTCTTGCGTGACCCAGTCTGGATGACACTGCTGGAAGTCAAGCAGCATGTGTGCGAGGCCCCAGAGAAGGCTCATCCGATGACGCCCCTGATGCTCTTTCGGAACCCATCCCCTTGCTTCCTGCGGAAGAAATCGCTTGTTCTCATAGTGTGGATCGTCTCGAGGGATATTATTATCGATGTAGTCCAGAAGGTACTTCTGCATCGCTGTAAAGGTTTGGTTCATACTGTCGCCTGCTAGGTCCGTGGGTTGACGGAGATGGTCTGAGGCCATGAACTGTTAAGGAGGTAGTCAGTAACAATGCTATGACCAATATCTCAGCTGTTACAGCAGGTATAGGTTGTATCTTGCAGGCAGTTTGGAGAAATGGCCATACCAATCCCTGGAATGGACGTGAACTAACCTTGAGCACCACCAGTGCCAGCAGCTTTCTGGAGTTCGGCGTAGCCACTAAGACGACAGCGTTGGAATTTGAGGCTTGTGGGCGTAGGTTGTGCTAGCCAGTGATCACCAACCCTGAGGTCGAACTACGAGAACACCGGACACCCTGAGCAACAACCGGAGTATCAGTAGGACAACGGTCAGGATCAACCGTTGGCGTCTCTCGGTCTCGAGAAAGGTAGGGAAAGAACGGTGGTTTTCAATTCCACCCCGGGATCGGATTTGGGTAAGGCGGGATCAGAAATTCTCAGAACCTGCCTAAACCTTGATAAAACCGGAGACAATGTGTTGAAAGAGTCAATGAGCGAGTGGATACAAAAGAATGGGACTTGTTGAAGTGAATAATGAGTGCAAGGTTGCGAGAGGGAGAACTTGTGAGGGAGACGGAGAAAAAGGGACGAGGGAGCGTAAGCTCAGCCAGGCTCCCAAACCGGGACGGTTCTTCAGCCAGAACTCTCGAATTAGTCGCTTGGCTCGGCCGTCCAGTCCGCTGGGCTGTAGCAATAGCAGTCAAGCGGATCTGAAAGCAAAAGATCTCGGGCTCCGATGTGATATCACGAATGGGGGTTGATGCTCCGCCTAGTCTACTTCCTTCAGCACGTTCTTGTCTTCCAGGGAGAAAAACCCATCGAGCTGGAGGCAGGCTCCGGATTAGAACGCACAGCGGCAGGTTCCTTTCCGGGCCATGAGCCAATGAGCCCTGGATGCTTGGATTTGTACGGCTTACTCCTGCCTCGAACGGTGCGCTGGATGACATCAAGCTACTCCGTATACTGCAGGGGCTCGTTTTCTTGCACCGACCTGCTCGACAGACACCTGAGACGCAGCTTGCAGTGAGTCGGTGAGCTCAGGCAACGCGTCTCCTGGCCATTGACTGTTGGTCGGCCCAATCAGAGAGCCCCCATGCCTCGAGGCTATGTACGCCGCAACAGGGGTGGACAGCCTCGTGACTGTCAGAAATTAACTTTAGGAGATGAGAGAGTTGCGGAAGAGAGATGTTCAGACTGTTGCCCATGGAACATAACAGGAGCCGCGCCACTGATCATAATGCGGCAGCGGGCTTTGGTTTTCATCATGAATCCTCGATACAGCCGGCGCTCTCGACAGGTGATCAGGCTTACAGTATCGAACCCCAGCTCTACCTGGGCGACCGGCGGCATGAGCTTCTCCTGCCTTGGGAGGAGGCATGGGTCCCTCTAGACCAGTTCGTGAATCCGCACTCGCTCTTAGACGGTCGTCCCTCCAGTTGGTGTTATCCCTCCAGTTACCCGTCAGACAGTCTGGGTGTTTTGAACGATTGGCATCAGGCGGACCCCAGTTCTTTCAGTACTAGCCTTGGGGTTCGAGATCCAAGTACTGTTCCTCACTCGCATGTTGATAGTTCCGCATATCTGCCATCGTTCTTTCCTTTGGATTCTGAACCAAGGGCAAGGCTTCTTCATTCACGCACGACTTCCCACGCTGACGCAACCCAGACCAATGACGAATACTATACATCCTCAAGTCGTCGCTCAAGCAGCCCGCCTGCCTTCGACCATACCAAGCACAGCAATGGTAATGTGTCGTCTCATCCGGCTTTGATTGCGAAGCCAGTCATGACACATAAGCTTGCCGCGCGGCCGTCATCATTGTATGCCTCTCTTCCCTCTGTTTCCCTTTTTGTCCTGAATCCAGAAGAGCTGATAAGATTTGCTTCCGTGTCCCAGGCCGAGCCGGGAACTGTCACCATCACTGCCGGGCAAGCCCTACCGTTGTGACAAATGCCCTATGACCTTCTCCCACCGCAAGAGCCTCGATCGGCACAAGAGCACGATCCACGCGAACGGAGATCCAAGAAAGATCTGCCCTCATAACAGCTGCAAGAGAAGTTTCTCACGGCAAGACAACCTAGTTGAACATCGGCGGTGGTGTCATGGCGACCTCATTCCTCCTGCAAGGACCGCAACTTTCCCGAGCCTTGACTCTAGCTCGAGCTCATCGTCGCCTTCCAGAGAAATGGTGAATGTTCTGTCGTCGTCCACTCGACATAACACAAGCGCTGGATGTGACCGTGTCGACTGTCCAAGGCAGGGCAAGCCATTCCGAACCATCTCTGATCTTCGAAGACACCAACGGAGCGTCCATCGCAGCCCCACCGGCACGGACAGCGACAAAGGGTATGTCTGTGCGTCGAAGGACTGCCCAAGACCGGACAAGAAGTGGCCTCGTCTCGATAATCTCCGGAGCCACATACACAAAATGCACGGTAAGGAGGATATCGAGGACTTGATAGTACGGTCGGCCGCATCCAAGTTTGACCTCTTTGGTCGCGGCCAGCATGGCGCATCATCGCCAGAGCATGATTTTGTACCTTCGAAGTACCTTACATATGCGTGCAGCAGAGGGGTATAATACGTCAGAGCGATCCAATACACATACGTCTAGTCGCAGGTGTTGGAGACAGGTAGAGAGGATCAATATCGCCGAGAGACCATGGCAACCAATGTGTAGTCTTAAGCCGTTCAACAGATTGCATTTCCAGCAGTACAAAGCCAGAATCCGATAACCAAGAAAGATCATGAGAAAACCAGAGCAAAAGAATGAAATCGAGAAAAAAACAGGCAAGGAAGATAAAGACCAAGCAACAGGAGGGCGAGAACGACAATTCTCAATGGACAGGCTAAGCAGCCTCACGCTGAGTGAAATCTCTAAGTTCGTTCTCGAGCGCCTGACCTAGGGTTGAAAACAGCCTGTTAAACAAACAATGCTCCACCCGGTCCTCAACATCGCGCAAGATCTCTGCTCTCGATATCATAAAAGCCAAGCAAAGAGCAGGACTGTCGTTTTTCTCGAACCATACCCATAGCGCGTCGATGTTTTCCTGGTCATCGTTACTGAAAGGCCGATTGTGTGATGCAATGAGTTCATTGGGTTCCCATGAGCCCAACCAGTAGAGTCGCTTCACTTGCTCTCCGTCATTTGGTTGTCCCCGGGGCGAGAAGGGGATTTCCCAGTCTGTTGCAGGGAAGAAGTCAAAGAACCACAGCATTGTGCTCATGATGATCTTGAGCCTTGACTTGTAGCGTCTTTCTTCTCGATACCCGTCCCACCACTCCGGCCCGGGTCTGAAGAGGCCATCACGGTGCTTATTCACCAAATGATGCATAACGAAAACTGCGGGTCGTAGTCTCAGCTCACCAAAGTGCTGCTTCGCCAAAGCCATAGACCTGGATGAGCTCGGACGGAGTGTTTCTAGGAACTTGCCAAGTTGCTCTTGGCTGTTCAGACCGATTCTATCCACTACTTCAAGAAGCGCCGTCAGTGAGCCAAGGTCGTTTAGCTGGGCATCCGGGTAAGCCTTGATAAACCACTTGGCGAGGTAGCTTCCGAGTTCATATATATTTGCAAAAGGCTGCTTTTCCTCTTGCCGTCGCTCCTCGCGAATAGAGCTCAATTGATAGAGAAAACTCTCGCCGAGTTCCACCGTTCTCCCGAGAGCCTCAAGAGTGCTGACTTCGGCCGGAGACAGGTCCCCATTGAGGGGCTTGTAAGTGTAGTCGTGCTGTATTTGTGCCCAGGCGCTATGGAGAAGCGACATCACCTGAATCTCGACAGGGCGCTCAATGAAAGACCCATGGACAGCCGGATTTAGTCTCACAATCCAGTGCGTTGCTTTGTACCTTGGCCTTGTCAACTCGTACGTCGATGTTCTATCTTTCCTCCCCTCCAGAGGTGGTGGATAAACGTTGGTATCGATTTCTTTGATGACGAAGGCACAGTTCTTCTCTATGATATCCTTGACCTGCTGCTCTTGCTCTGGGCGATACAGAGAAATCCGGACGCCGGCAATATCGAAGACATCTTTCGCGATTTTGTCGGGCGACCACTCAAAGTCCTGTGGCTTCTCGAGTTTCGCCCTCAAGCTCTCTGGGTCCTTGACTCGGCAGGAAATAACGTGCGGGATATTCTCCTTTTTGAGGGCATCCCTGCAGATTTTCTCCACTTCCTGCGCAAGTCTCTCGTAGCTGTAGTACAAGTTGGTTCTGTAATCGCCCTTCACCCATTCCTTGACGTTAAACGGCATGATAGAGTCGCTGCAAGTAACGGATTGATAATAAAGGTGCAGTGGATGCTATCGTACTCGAGATGCCGGGCTTGTTTGCTACAAAGAGCTTCGTGTCAGCGCGAGCACGGACAAAGCAGGGATTAAATACCTGGTAGTACACCAAAGCTGAACTACGCCGGAGCCGCGCGAGAACACCTGGGCGCATGACAGCAGGAGAGCCTGGGGCAATACGGTAATGCAAGACAGCCCGGTCAAAGCCCAGTCGATAAGCCGCACCAATGCGCGAATCCGACGGATTGTAACGGCGTCGATTGGACCCCAGACGCAGGGAATTCCATGAGAATGCCCGATGCAGCCTCGAGGGCAACTGAGGCGGTGTTCGTATCGGACGCAAGGCTGGGAGGCGACGGTGTGTTCGTTGAAGCAGCCTTTTATGCTGGAGGTTCCCCTCCACCCCCCGGTTTCCTCGTCTTTCATCGTCTTTCATCGTCTTTCATCGAAACAGAAGGTGAGAGAAGAGAAAAAAGAAATATCACGCCATGGCGTATCACGAATTTGTGAAAGCGCGGCAAGATAACAACCCCTGTCTTGCTGGGCTCGATGAATTCCTTTCCGAACCCAACTCAGACCGGCGAAGATGTCGGATTCTGCAGCTGGACTTTCCGCCCGATACGGAAGGTGCTGACCCTGCACCTGCCTTCCAAGATGTCGGCCACGAAAACTTGCGACAGAGCGTCGACCCCGCCGGAGAAGTTGGGAGGCGTCGCATTCTGATCATCGAAGACTTACAACCAGAGATCATTTTAACGTTGGGAAATGCGCACCACATCGACCCTGTATTCTTTGCGTCGCACCTACACGCCCCATTTCGACAGATTAAAACCCAGACGCCGAACCTCGCGACGCTGCCCTCGCGCATACGGTACCAGAATTTCATCAACTTCCACTACCATCGAGCGGTCGAGCTCAGGGGTCCCATCGAGAATGAACACCGCTTAACGAGGGATATGAATGTCAATCGGAAGATTGCGGTGCTGGTCCCAACTGAGGATACTCGCATCGCGCTTGTGCAGCACGCATGCTCTGTGATTTTGCTCAATGATCGCACAGGTCCGGGGTGGTTATGTAGGTACTTCACATTCGCTCTGGACTCCGTGCTCAAGATTTGTTCTGATGGAGAGAAATCGATCTAGGTGTCATTCTTGTCGACAGCCCTATCTCCAAGGATTACATCCCCGTGGTATATGACAAACAGAGGGAAGACGGCAAGCCGGGCCGCATTGACTCGAGACTTTTCCTCGAAGGATACGAGGATTTTATGCCACCCTCACCTATACCCCTCGATTTCGAGAGCACCCTTTGGAGGCCGCAACTTTCGCGAGAAAGTCTTCTGGAGGACATCGGGTACTACTGGCGCCGAGAGGTACCAGAGCATTTCGATTCGACCAAGCCCACACTCTTCGCACTCACCTATTACCCTCTCAGGATTATCGCCGCGGAGTGGAACAACTATATGGCTGCCATGAGCTACCATATCAAGAGACACGAGTACGCCGTGGAGAAGTTTAATGAACCCGTCTCCGAGCTCGACAAACTATATGCGGATCTCCGCATCCTCCAAGTATGGCGCCGGCGAAGCCTAGCATCGCAACAGAAGATCGCGGCAATTGAGCATTTCGTAGCCTTGAACACACCATCGCAATCTAGCGATTCTGACGAGTCCCTCGAAAACGCGAATATCCTCCAGGAGGACTTTCGTCATCTCGCGTCAACTTTGAATGACCTTTCCCGCCGATTGAGGAATATGCTCCCCGTCGTGACGTCCTTGGTCCAAATATCCGACAGCCGTCGATCGCTCGCGGAGTCGGCCAATGTCAATAGGCTGACGTCCTTAGCAATTGTCTTTGCGCCGTTGTCATTTACGACCGGTTTATTCAGCATGGACGATAGCAACGGGCCAGGAGGCTCACACTTCTGGGTATTCTTCGCCGTTGCAATCCCCATCACGCTGGTCGTGTTCCTTGTCGCGAAACCGCCAAGATGGCTTTTGCGCTGGGCTCTGAAACCTAGCAGGGCATCAACTCGAAGCACTCAGATGCAAGTTTGAACAATCATATTGGTATTGGCTCGAATGCGGCGATGATACCCGTTCTGAGAAGAAGCGACGGAAGTCATCCAAAGGCAGAGGCCTCATACTGCAGCCTGAGGCACAAGGCGGGCCAAGAAGCACTTTTCCTAGAACAGCGTAGCCTATCTCCTCCCGTCACGTGCTAGCAGCGGATATCTTCAGCCTCCACCCGCAAACTCTTCCTTCTCTCTCCCATACATATATCATTCATCACGCGAGCCCCCTACAGCAGACGCTGCAACAAAGACCACAGTAAAGGCACCGAACTACGTATACGTTCTTTTCCCGGTCGTGGTCGTTCTCATGGCGTATGTGCGTTAGGCTGTCTAGCTTGGGAAACCTCGCTAGGCAGACCAGGGCTTGCAAGACCGATGCCAGCCGGTTTGAGGAGCCCATGACGATCCCTTGTGGATTGTTACTCGTGGGTGGGCTTCCATAGATGGTTGGGACAGATCTGTTTGCTTTCTAGCTCGGTTGTAGAGTTGATTTGAGATTTGAATATGATTTGTTGAATTTGTTCCATGCGGTTGTGGTCTGTAAGCAGCTTGCAGGTGGCCTGTCGCGGTTGTGGTCTGCTTGCTGTGTTAGCTAGGTAGTCCGTGTAAAGACGAGTTTTTGTAGCAAAGCAGCACGCCATGTGACATGTGCCATGCCATTCCATCAGGATCAGGAATCAGGAATCAGACTAAGAGCTTGCAATAATATCGTTTATTGAAATCAGATTATGCCCCGGGCCTAACCCTCGCTTACTCGTTTTGCTTCGCTTCTGACGCAAGACCAGACGAAAATGCGCTGCATTACTCGTAGTCCCTCAAACATCTCAAAATCAAACAGAACACCGTCCATGCCATACCATAGCCATAAATTAGATAATTGGAATATGTCAATAACCCCTCACCCACCCACCTCGCTCAAAATAACAAACAAATTAGAGGTATACGAAGACAAACATAAACGCAATACATCCCATCTAAAAATGCACCTCACCCTCATCCTTCACCCGATTAATGGGCATCTTCGTAAACACGCTCCGGCTCCACCCATCCGCATCAACAACCGTCTCCTTAACAAGGACATATCCGCCGAATCTTGGCATGGCCACCGCCCAAACAAGGTAGTAGATGGCGCCGAGAGCGAAGATGCCCAGGGCGACAACGCAGTGCAGATAATACGGCAGTTCCTCGTAGACGCTCTGGCCCGCTGAGGGGGGGATATACGGTGCGACGACGAGGTAGACGTTTGAAAGGCAGAAGAAGATTGTGACGGGGAGGGTGGCGCGGATTCCGGGGCGCCAGTTGGGGAAGTTTTTCTCTTTCGTGAGGTAGATGTAGATTAGGCCTGCGGAGACAAAGACGTTGACGATTGCGAGGGGGTAGGAGATTAGGCTGGGGTTTGTTAGTGGGGTTCAATATTGGGGATGGTGGAAGCGGCTTACTTGACGAGGAAGTTGTATGCATCGCCGGGAGGAGGCGCAAGCATGATGATGACGGAGACAACCCAGTGCTCGAAGAGGCCGGCGGCGGGGGACTTGAAGGGTTTGTTGGAGGCCCAGAACTTAGAGAAGGGGAGGACGCCCTCGCGGCCGAGTTCCTGGACGATTCGGCCCTGGGAGAAGATGACGGAGAGGACGTTTCCGAAGGCCGAGAGGGCGACGAAGACGGACATGACGCGCTCAGCGCGCGAGCCGAACATGTTGCCGAAGAAGGTCGCTGCGACGATGTTGCCGGACGCGAGGAACTGCTCTTTTGGGACGGCGGCGAAGTACGCGATGTTGCAGAGCATGTAGAGGATGCCGACGGAGCCGATGGCGATGGGGGCGGCAATCTTTAAAGTGCGCTCGGGGTTCTTGGTTTCGCTCAAGGCCTGGAGAGGTTAGAAGAGGAGCAGTTAAGAGAGGGAGGTATGGTACATACGTAGTTGGCGTTGGAGTAACCGATGAACGACCAGATGACATTGTACAACGCCATGACGATACCGTAGCCGCTTCCAGTGGTCCCCTCAAACGCATTGCTGAAGTTGTGAGGCGTCTCAATCTTTGTATGACCAGCCAACGCAACCCATCCGGTGACGATGACGAAGACGATGATGACGAGCTTGATGACACCAAGCAGGTTCTGAAGACGAAGACCCCATTTCAGGGCAAATCCGTGGATCAAGAAGGCAGCGGTGATACAGGCAAGGCCAATTCCACGCTGGTTCCATCGGTCGACCTCCACCTCGGCGGCGTTGAGGATATACTGGCCAAAGACGACACTGTTGCTCGCGGCCCATCCGAGCAGGACGGCATAGGCGGCGAACATGGCCGTGGCCAGGAACTTGGGTTTCTTGTAAACGTATTCGAGGTAGTTCTTCTCACCACCGTTCCTAGTCTGGTTAGCCTCAACCCTAACATCATATGACCATGGCGCGTAGAACATACTTCGGAATAGCAGTGCCCCATTCCAGGTAGACCGCAGTACCGGCAACGGCGATCAAAGTACCAGCAACCCACATGAACAGCGACAGGCCAACACTCCCGGACAACGACAGGATCGTGCTCGGCGTGGCGAAGATACCGGTTCCGATGACGCGGTTGAAGATGAGGAACGATGCGCTAATGACGCCGATCTGGCGACGGTCCTCGGGCGTCGCCTCGAAGATATTTCCTTCGTCTATGCCGGTTAGCGCAAGGAACAAGGCATCAGTATGCAAGGGCAAGACATACACAGCTGAGTGACGCCATCTGCGCGACGTGGGCCGTCTTCAACGGCTTTGGTGTCCGGCGTAATGTCATTCTTGGGGAGAGGCCCCGAAGTGATATCCATGGCTGACAGTGTCGAATTCTGCGCAGGAAAAGAACAGGAAGAAGCTGATGGCTGACGGACAACCCAGCGCAAACAGCGGCGAAGGTGCGTTGATATATGAGACGCCGGCGATGATGTGCTGGGATCAAGTTTGATGCAATCGAATCACGCTCACGCTAGGACCCTGAGGTCGTATAAGACGAAGGATAGTGGTCTCGGCGAGGCGGCGCTGAGAAGTCAAAAAGCTGGGCGTCAGGCAGAAGGAGGGTGCATCAAGGTGAAGAGAGCATGGTCAAGACTCGAGATGCCGTGGGAAACCGAGCAGACAGCAGGAGCTCGCACGCGATGAGAGGACTAACAGGGAGAAGAGTCGGCCGGGGGCGAAACGAAAGGAGGAAAGATCCGAACTCTAGAAGAAGCCTCGAAGGCCGGAAGGCCAGCCGTGCCTGGGCCATCATCATTTTTTGCTGTGAGGTTCGTGATGGCGGGCGAAAAAACTGCTCGGGCAGCTCCACCGGAACCACTCGAGCTCCCGGACTGAATCGCTGGCACGGCAAGAATGACACACAGAAACCGATCACGCAATTCGCTGCCTTCTGTACTCATCGCCGATGTAACTCTACGATGTCGCGACAATCATGAGAGCAAAGCCATAATCAAATTCTCGCTAGCAATAACAATGATATACCCGTATGTACATCCTAACAACTCCGTCCAAGACATGGCTCCAGATCCCTCGTCAAATGGTGGCAATTTGTGTCCGTCCAGATGGAACGCCATAGAAGATAATCCAGAAGAAAAGAATAACCCAATATCATGTCTCAATCGCAAAGCAAATGTTGTATGGAGCCCCGTAGATCCAGCCGGGGTGTAACCTTGTATAAAAGAACTCCGAAACGATTTGATGATTATAGAAGAAAAAGAAAGAAAAAGTGGCGGGAGAATGTAAGAACCATGCATAGTCTGACATGCAGGAAATGCAGTGCACTGCTCATCGAGAAGTAGCCACCCCCGTGGCAGGCGTGGCGTGTGCTAAATTCGAGGGAATCATTTTTCCGCTTGACGGCGGAGTTTGTCGCTTGGCCAAGACGGCCAGCTTCTGTCGCAAGGTTGCTAATCGCATGCGTATCTTCGACACCACTGGGAGCTAGTTAGAAGGGCGTATCATTAACATCCTTGACCGCAAACTTACGCTTCAACAAGACCTCACGCTCTTCCTCCTGCACGCCGTCCAGAGCTACCCTTCCCTGGCTTGAAGACTGCACCTCGTCGGTTTCCAAAACAGCCTCTAGCATCCTGATGGCCGTCACATAGGCAATTTCGCAACCGGGGAGGTCTTCGCCCGTGAGCTCGTTGATGGCCGCTGATCGACTCAACTCCAAGGCACGGTCGTACATCAACTTCTCGGCTGTGACACCAGGGCTAACCACGACATCCACCGAGGTGCCAGAACCGGCTGACTCGAGCGAGAGATTGTTGGGGTGGGAAGGATGATCTATCGGGAGTCGTCTCTGCGCTTCAAGCAGCTTTAACCGAACAAATTCGGCCTTTTCAAGCACCTCGTTGAATCGACTGCGAACCCATTGCACAACCTTGTTGATTCGTATCGACACCGGATCTAATCGACTGAAGACGGTTTCACCCAATGCTTCAGCTCGATTCTTACGCATCCACCAGGCGCCCGCAATGTCCATTGACTTGGCAAGTAGGGACAGTGCTTTAACGTAAAGGACCAAGGCTTCTTCCGAAAGAGTCACCGCGGCGTCGGCAGTGAGCTCGCTATCCCCGAAGTCGGTGCCCGGCGCATTGGAACCAGCGTAGCTTTGGGCAGAAGGGGCCAGTGGTATAAGCTGCTTGTATTTCACTTCGGCAAATCCGTATACGACATCGCTGCGAGTGGCGCACTCTTCAAGTTCTTTGACAGTTCCTGTATCCTCGTCCGGGCCCACCTGGGGCCTCGCACCATCTCCCATGGTCAGTAGGCCAGCGTGCTGGGCCGCCGGGTAAGCAGGGAAGGGGTTGTAGGCCAAAGGAGGCGAGCGGCCCCCTTTGGTGATGTTCAGAGGCGGGGAGAACCCCATGCCGAATAGACGCCCACTTGCCATGTTGAGAGCCTTGGAGATAGCTGACTGGGCGGAATTAGGGCTCTGGCCATAGCGCCGCTCGTAAGAGGCATGACGGTTGTGTGCCGAGTCCGCTCGAGATCGACCAGCTACTACCTGAACTGCTTTGCTTGGAGAGTTTTGCGGCGATGCTTGCGTTGTCGTCGGAAGAGCCGGTGTTGTTTGCCTTCGCGAGAGAGCACCAGTGTGTTTACCCTGGATCCTTGGGTCGTATGCCATTTGATCTGCGAAAGCATTAACTTCGACTGCGCGCTTCTCCACGACAACGTAGTCTCTCTCAAATGCGACATCCTGTGCAGCCAGTTCGCGTTCCTCCTTTATCTTTTCTACCGTCTTGGCCACTGGCGGGGTGCTGGGGGCCTGTTGGCCTGTTGACGGTCGACCTATGAGCTCCTGACGCCCGGGTGCGGTTGCATGAGAGACTGCCTCAGGTCGTAATGGGGCAGCAGCCACGGGTATGGGCTTCGCCGATGAAGGTCTGTCGCCACTCCTGCTTCTTCGCATGGGTGTGGTGGTCGTATGTGTTTGTGGTCTCTCATTGTGAGGTACATATCGATGGGGTGGCGGATAGCGGTCTTCTTTGTCGTTTCCAGCGTTGATGTTTTGAGGCTGCGTGGTTTCGGGAGAGGATTCAAGCTCTGCAAGTCCATGATGGTTAATTGCTAGTGGCCGGGATATTGAGATTGTAAAATACTGGATGGAAATGTGTGTTATCATGACGCCACCACGTACCTCTGCTGTCCTGGCTACTGCTTGCAGGAGCCAGCTCTGGTGATGGTTCAGGGACTGGAGCCGGGAGATCCTCGGCTGCGAGGCCAGGGATAGGGCCGGTAATAACATCATTGCCAAAAAAGTCTGTGAACGTCATCCGAATCACGGGGTTGAACTTCAATAAGCCACGGACCAGCGACTTGATTTCCCCCGAAACTGGGTTTTCTTCGGGGAACTTGATTTTGTCTTTGGCATTCTCGATCTTTCGGAGCAACTCGACGTGATTTGTTGCCCTAAAAGGCGGCTTTCCGACAACCATCTCGTATAGCACAGTACCGACAGACCACAAATCAGCCTTCGCATCGTACTTTTCGTATCGTAAAATCTCAGGTGCCATATATAAGGGGGAGCCACATAATGTCTCTGCAAGTGACGTAGCGGGAAGGGATCGGGCGAACCCAAAATCTGCTAGTTTGAGCAATGGCAATGTTTCTAAACCCACAGCAGGGGTAAATGAATTATCACAGCCTTTGAGCGGAGGGGTCTGGTTTTCAGCTTCTGCATATGCCGGTGCCGGGCAAAGCAGAAGATTCTGGGGCTTAATGTCGCGGTGAATGAGGTTCCTGTCACGAAGGAACTTGAGGGAGCTCGCCAGCTGCTTCAGGAAATGCCGGACAACGACCTCATTCAAAGCTCCCCCGGGGACGTTTGGATATTTCGAGATCATATGCCGAGTGTAGCTGTGGTCTTTGAGACTCTCCCTTCGCTTGATGAATTGCGATAGATCACCCAGAGCACAATATTCCATCACCAAGTGGATATGTGACGGCGTTTCCAGACAGTCGAGGAGTGCCACGATATGCGGGTGGAGGAGGTTCTTTAGAATGTCGATTTCCAGGGCGAGGTTGTCTTTGAGCTTCTTGTTGAGCTTTCCAAGATTGACTGATTTGATGGCCACGAACGTCCGTGATTTCTGAAATGCAAGACACACGTCAGTACGGGTACTTGTATCATCTGAACGCAACTGAACATGCAAAGAAAGGGAACCAACTTCGTTGCTACTCACCGTATGAACTCCCCGGTATACAGTGGCAAAGCTACCCTTTCCAATATGATCCATCCTCGTGTACCGCCCTATCGTCACCTCGCTATAAGCCTCCTTCGAGCTCCTTGAGCTCTTTGATGGCGTTGAAGCCATTATGACAACGCCGGGCAAGCCCCGGAGACAAGTTCCGACGGGGTCCCGAGCACAACCTCAACCAGCAGCCACCTCACAAACGGCTGCGGTAATGACGGAGGTTATAAGCCCATCCGCGTAGGGCGAGCAGAATATAAAGAATCGAATGAAGGGAAGTTGCTATCGATGGTGATGATAGCAGGCAGCAGCAAACGAGACGAAGCAAGAGAGCGAGAGCGAGAGTGATGAAATCAGGCCGGTCGAGTGATGGAAAGGATGGGACGGAGTTCGAGAACGATCTGGGGATGTCAGGTCGATCTAAGCGGTGAAACGGAACCAGGAGGAGCTGCAGGAGAAGATGAGCTCCCAAGGTCGTCGGTGGTTATGAGGAACCAAGGAAAGTGACGGGAAGTAGAAGGTTATCAGTCGGCGAGCAATAGAGAGGAATGTGAGTCGGAGCCGATAAGATAAAGGTGCTCGACTGTAAAAAGAGGGAGAGGGCGAGATCAGGAGACGGGAAGCTGCAGGGAGTGGTATCTCGATACCAGGTCGGAGAGAAAGGATGAAAAGGGACTCGGGGGATGAGGCAGAAGGTCCAGCAACCAGGTCGACGATGTTGTCGCTGGGGGGGAGCGGCGAGGAGCGTGACCTGCGATAACGGGCAGCAAGACGCAATCAGATGGCGATGATCAGAAAGGCGGTCAGGAGGGCGGCGCTAGCTGGAACCCGGGGAAGCAGATCGGACGGTGATACAGTGCCAGAACAAGTCTCACAGGGGAAGAAGTGAGGCATTCAGCTCAGTTCCAAGGCCCGTTCTAGGGTGTCCAAGATGAAGAAGACTAGAGAGCCCTGAGACGACGTCTATCAATCTTGAAGCAATCGTGGTCCAAAAGCCTGCGGCAAGAAACATCACGTTATCGATTAGATAAGAGTCGTCAGCCTTGACGATTCACGATACCAGTTTAGTACGGAAGTCCCGATCACCTGAGGGCCCATGGCTCCATATCGGACCTCTATCGCTCGCAAATCGCAATTGCATTCCACCCTGACTCATGCCATCATCGACTCGAGATATTTGCAGCAAAGTATCCCGCCAATCGATTTGCATGTGTCAAAACACCCCCTCATGAGTCAAACAACCCTAGGGCGCTTGCCACTTCACCCTGGAACTAAACCCAGCTGCACAGTGCACACACACCCCTGGATGCGGACTGTCAGTGGTCGCTCATCTAAACTGATAAGCTAGTGGACTCATGGTCTGCCCCAGCGCCGGCCAGCAAGTCAGAACTCATAAATTGGGTGCTCTGGCCTCCACTTCACGCACGATGGTACACTACATGGGGCGATCGACAGGCATAGCCGACTTCCAGTTCTTAGTTCTTACATCGAGAACAGGAGATCCGGATTGATACGGAGCTGCAGAAAGGTAGGCTTAGACCAGCAAAGGACACTGGGGGCAAAGACAACGAGCCGATCTCGGGATCTTCCAGGGCCCTCGTGCTCCTGAAAGCCACTGACCAGTGACTTGGTACGGAGTACATGAAACTTGGCCGGCAATATAAATAGCAAGTCACCAGCGCCTTGCATATGCCGAAGTCACTCGAGCGGCCCACGGTACTTGGTCTCGCTCGCGTTCTCCTTTCTCGTGGTACAGGGATACATGGGGATTCTTGGGGGCTCAAACAAAGTGATACAGTGAAACCATGGTTTCCAAACCTCGTGTTCAAGACATTGAGACAAAGGAAACCGACCAAGGGGTCTTGGTCTCTATGAGGGTAAATAGCACTTGTATCATTATCATCTCGGCCGTCATAACCATTCATAGCGTGGTACATAGCATAGCATCGCATCCATAAATCATCGACGTCATCATAAGCATCAGACATATCAAGACAAGGCAAAAAAGAAAATAAGCTTCCCAGCCGCTGAGATCATCCTCACCCCAAGTCAGACGGACGTAAGCAACGGATCACAACGGTCAACCCCCCTGCCCCAACCAGCCAATACCTAAACCACATAATGCGGCCTCCGACTGGCACTACTATGCCGTCTCGAGTGCGAACTATGCCCCCTCCGACTCCCATGGCTATGGCTCCTGCGACGCACAGTCGTCGTCTCCTTAACCACAACCCCCGTATCGCGATTCCGCCGATACAGCCAAAGCGCAATGATCGCCGTCCAGAAGAAGAAGACCACCTCCATAATCCCAATCGCAAAGCAAGCCTTGAGCATGCGACACGTCTTATCCAGATCATCCGCTAGATCGTTACCGGACTGGCGGCCGAATGCGCCGAAGGGTCCAAGGGAAACGTAGACGCTGCCGCCGTCCCAGCCGCTGCAGTCGGCGTTTGCGATGAAGCGCAGCTGGTAGACGCCTGCGATGAAGGCGCCGAAGAAGAGGAGGTCGACGAAGGAGACGAAGGAGGCGGAGCGCTTGGTGGTCGAGTGGCGGATTAGGGTGTCGATGCACCAGAATACGGCGATCACGGAGACGATGAACAGGACGAGGATGTAGGGGGGTGTGATCATGTTGGCTTTGAGGAAGCCGTCGACGAAGTAGGCCTGTTGACATTGGTTTTGTTAGTCTGGTGCAGTGGTAGGGCTGGGTGCATGGGGATAAGGACGCACCATCATGCCAATGATAGGGATGAGGAAGACGATCTCCACCAGACGGTTGAAGATGAAGAAGATGCTTCCAATCATGTTGGCGGTTTGTGTAGCCTTCGGGCTGTATACAGTAGGGCTGGATTGGGCTGGCTTGGGAATGCGGGACGGGACGAGGATTAAACGTGAGGATGTGGTCGCATCACAAGAATGCGATAGATCTCAGCGCGAGAGAAGTTGAGATGAAATTGATGTCGCAATGCGATCTCGACGTGATATTTCGATACCTCGAGCGCAAGGCAAGGCGCTGGATGGACCTGCAGATCAGCGACTCGATCGGATTCGACGCGATCACCAAGCCAACGCAACACGCAGATGCACGAAAGAATCTAACCCAGGTCTCAAAAGCAGAGATGCAGAGAATGCACCGCTGAGATGAATAAAAACGACAGAGACGGCTGCAGGATGAGGTTATGGCGGGCTGAAGCGAGGAGGCTGGGCGAGTGAGCGTCGCTGCGGGGGTGGCTGGGAAACAGATAATCCCCGTAGCACAGCGCAACATCCAACGGAAGTACCTACGAGTACCTAGTACCTACATGACACGCTTCTAGACTATCCGCTCTAATTAGCCGGTTTGCTGTCAGACAATAGAATAGCCTTCTGGCCCGGCGTGTGAGACGACAATGCCATTGGTTTCACAGCCGTGATCCTTGTTTATATTGGCCAGCCCTAACTCTGAACAGTCTATAGTACAAAATCCCGACGCCAAGTTCCCAACGCCTTGCAGAGGGCATGAAATACGTAACTGAATAGAACCATCACCATCCGCCCTTGCCGCCGAACCCAGAAGACTCCTCGATCTTCTTGCCCACGCCGCGCTGGGGTTTCGACTGAGCGGCTTCGTGCTTGCGCAGTTCCTCCGGCACCCGCGAGATGGGGGACTTGATGAGCATTTGCTTGAGGTCGTACCTGCAGTAATTAGCATATTCACATAGAAGTAGAGAATGGAAGACACATACATGACATCGGAATCCTCATTGCCCAGGAACGTGATAGCCACACCACTCTTTCCGGCACGACCAGTACGACCGATACGATGGGTGTAGCTCTCGATTGAGGTAGCCATGTTGAAGTTGATGACGAGACTGACGTCCGGCACATCGATACCACGACCAGCAAGATCCGTAGCCACCAGGACGTCTGTCGAGCCGTTGCGAACGGAAGCCAGCGCGGCCTCACGCTGCTCCTGTGTTTTGCTTCCGTGCAGCGTAACCGACGAGAAGCCCCATTGTTTGATTTCGCGCGCAATGGCATCACAGTTTCGCTTGATGTTGACGAACACGATGATGGGCGGGCGGAAATCGCCTGACGACAAGATCTCGCCAAGGCGCTTCTTGCGCTTGTCTTCGCCAGCGATCATTTCGACGCGCTGCTCGACGGTGTCGACAGCTTCACCGACGCCTCCGATTGTCACGATTGCCGGTCGCCGGAGATACTTACGTGCAATACGCTCTACTGCGGTAGGCATGGTGGCCGTGTACATCATGGTCTGGCGGTAGCGATCCTTTCCCCCGAGGTGTCGGCTCATGGCAGAGGAGTTTTCTGCTTCCTCTGTGTCGGGCTTTTCGTTGCTGACCGGAAGCGCGTCGAGGATCTTGTTGACGGGCTCTTCGAACCCAAGGTCGATCATGCGATCGGCTTCATCCATAATCACGTAGCAACACTGGCTGAGAACCAACATACGGCGCTCGATACAGTCGACAAGACGACCAGGTGTAGCGATGATAATCTCAGCACCGTTTCGCAAACTGTAAGCTTGCTCCTCGAGCGAGTGGCCACCGACAATACTGACAACATTGAATCCAAGCGGCTGTGTAAACTTCTTGGCCTCAATCTCAATCTGCTGAGCCAATTCACGAGTCGGCGCAAGGACAATCGCATATGGACCGTCATTCTTGCGCCACTCGAACTCGTCTAACCGCGGCAGCTCGGCGATATAGCATAGAAGCGGGAGCAGGAACGCCGCGGTCTTACCGGAACCTGTCACGGCAACACCGATAAGATCGCGGTTTTGCATGGCGATTGGAATAGCAGCCCGCTGGATAGGTGTCGGCTCCTTGTATCCAACCCGATCAATAAGCTCCATAAGCCGCTTCGGCAAGCCGGACTCATCCCACGATCGCATCGGATTCGGTACACTTCCACCTTTGGTCGCGATGTTGAAGTCTTCCTTGAAGATACGCCAGTCTCGCTCGCGCATGTGCTCCAGCTTCTTCTCGCTCCAGTGCTTGTCCAGCTGGTTCCGCGTACTCTCCTCCCTGCGCCGCCGCTCCATCTCCAGAATCTCTCTCGCCCGAATACTTCCCGCTTCGCGATCCCGGTCCTCCAAGGCACTGGCATACTTTTTCGCCATGGAATCCGCCACGTCGTCGCCGAAACCCGCCAGACGCCCGCGTCCGAAGAAATTGGCCTCGTGCCGGTTCTGATACAGCGGGTTATAGTCGCCACTCGTATCCTCCTCCGCATTCCACTCAAAGTTGAATTTCCGGTCCGTCGTGCGCTTGCGCTTTTTCTTCGCCGAGAAATTCGAGGTCTGGTCGGCGCCCATGTATTTCTGTTTGATGAGAGCTGCTTGCGCTGCAGCTTCGTCCTCTTCACTAAACCGCTTATCGCCTCTCTTATTCGACTTCGTAGGCGCCTCGTTCCTTGACCGCATAAACGCAGGACCTGTAGGAGGCGGGCCGTCACCGTTGCGCATAGCGCGGGGGCCCGTAGGAATCGACCGGGGATCTCTGTCCGGTGTATCGTAGCCAGAAGACGGAGTATCCAAGTCCATCCCATCTACCCCGTTAGGCGTGCCATTGGACTTCCGTCGCTGTGCTTCGACCTCTTTCGCGCGCTTCTCCATAGCTAATCGTTCTCGTTCCGCTTTAGATACGAATTTTGGCTACGTGTCCACAAATGAGATATTAGCTGTCAGACCATTCTTAAACGCTTTTTTAAAATAGGCAATAACGGAATAAATGTACCTTGGCCGCAGCCGCATCGGCCTCTCTCTTCTTCCGGACCAACTCCTCGACACTCAGCGGCGTTGCCGCCGGGCGTTTCGCTCCCCATCCCACCTTCTTCTTCTTCACTTGCGGCTCGGGAGGAGGTGGTGGGAGGTCTTCAGGCGGGGGTGGAGGCGCGGATACATCTGGCGGCGGCGGAGGAGCGGCGGAGTCTGCTGGAGGAGGTGGAGGGGCGCCATCCTCAGGAGGGGGTGGAGGAGGCAGGGTCGACGGTAATTCCATGGTCTCCTTCATGTTATACCGTGCACCGTCCGAATAGTGCAAGGCGTTTGTTCCTGAAGGAAATCAAGCTTGGTCGGGGAAGAGAGACCGCGGACGGGCGCGATTTTATACGGGTGGCAAAGGAACCATAAGCGCAATCACGTGTTCATTAGATTTCTACATTCAGCTCATATTTCAAGCTCACTCGAACCGCCGAAAGGATAAGAGCCTGTTACTTAGTTATAGGAATACAAGGAAGACAGTGTCCAAACCCATGATGCCCACCCAATCCAAATCACGCGTGGTCTCGTTTTTGAGCGGCGGTGAGGGGACGCAGGCCTGCACCACTTTGCTCAAACATGCGAAGTCGCTGGAAGGTGGTGAATAGTTCAAAAAAAAAAAAGTATGAAAAGCAAAAAGGGGAAGCTCTGGTGTTCTACACGGGTTCCGGACAAACCAAGACTTCAGCTGGGACAGATCTGTTCATATCGCCGGGTTCATGAACAGGTGTGATGTCTTGCGACTGCGATGGTATATCATGCCTAAGCGCTCGGAAAGCCACCGTTAACAGGAGTCTGCTGAGGATAGTAGTTGTAGGTGTTGGCTTCGGGTGTAGGGGCAACGGGCGGGGCCGGGGTGACTGTAGCAGGTGCAGCGGGCGCAGGCGTGGGTTCTGTGCCTCCTGTCTTCGCCTTGGAGACGGACGCGGGCCCGTGGACTTCCCTGTCAAGGGTCATGTACTCCTTTGCAGCATCCTTAGTACCACGCTCGAGAAGGTATACCATGTAGATCTGGACAAGCTCCCTCGCGACGCCTGAAGACAAAGCGCTCTTCGAACGGATATCCTCAACCACCTGCTTTATCCGCTCGTATTGGGCCTTCTCTGTGGCGGCGCTTGTAGGCTGGTCCAGCTCAAACGTAAGGTAGCTGTGCCAGAATGGCTGGCTGGCCAGGTAGTATTGCTGGTTCTTCTGGAAGACCTGGCGAGCCTCCTCGGTCGAGCCCTTGATCTTCCACAGCAACCGGGCCCACTCAGCCACAAGCGCGGCCTTGGTGCCTAGTTCACAAGCGGGAGAATCCAACTGTGACTTGTAGACTTCAATGGCGGCTTCAAGGCCGCCGTGACGACGGCACATGTTGGCCAGAGAGACGATAGTCTCGACGTGATTGGGGATGTTGATGAGGATAGCTTCGTGAATCTCCTTGGCCACGCTCACTCGCCCAGACATCTCCTCAAAGTAGGCATACTGGAGACGAGTCGCTGGGTTGGCAATGGGGACATAGAGATAGCTTGCGCGCTGGTAGATATTCCGCACGTCCTCTTCTTTCCCAGGTTGAGCGGACATCCACCTAGCATACCGCTGCCAGAACTCATCGTAATGAGCACATGTCACAAGACACCTCTCATACAAGAACTGAGTTCGAGAGTATGAACCTTCGGCCTCTTCAAAGTCGAGGTACTTTCGCCAGTTGACCAATTGGCCTTCATCCAGCTCAGTGACGTGGAAGTACGGGCGCTTGATCTCCGACTCGTATGTCCAGCGCTTCGTCGTCTCAGTCTGTGTCTTGGAAAATATCTCGAGGTGATATCCGTCCAGGCGGAGACGCAGATCGCGCTCAATCTCGGCATCGGCCTTTGCGCCAGGAGCGACAAGTCCCGCAGCGGCGTTCAGATCGGCGCGGAATTGGGACACGACATCGGCGGGTGCCAACTCCGTCACAGGACGTGTTTGCGCAAGCTGCCTGTAGCGCTCGAAGTAGCGGGCATACTGGTGCATCGGAATCTCAATGACACGGGCCAGGATTGCGAAGATCTTATCAAACCCCTCGACACGTTCCTCGTACTCAATGTACTTGTCCCAGAACGGGTGCGAGAGGAAGTCTAATCCGACACAGTTCGCTCCTCGTTCGAACAGTCTGCAGGTCACGAACGTTAGTCAATTCCAAACGGAAAGGGGTAAAGGAAAGAGGGGTGGAGGGAAAGGGAAGCGAAATGGCAAGGATAGCAAACATGAGCATTGAGATCTTTCAGTGTGCGCAGGCCCAAACAATTCAACGACTAGGAGGATCAGTTTGCGGAGAGGCTTCGATTCCCTGCACTACGTCGAGCGCAGACTGAGTATCATCGAAAAGGGTTCGTGGACCATGGTGCCGGTGCAAGGAAAACGGTGCTTGAGTTTAAATGACACTTCTTTTCTACGGGGAAAGGGAGCAGCCTGAAAACGCCATGGGTGAGAAGTAAACTCCAGTCGAGTTTGGGAAGGCGACGTCTCACCCAGCTTGAGGGAGGTGCTGTTACCGCACGTAGCGCCATGCGCATTCCGCCCATCATGATAATGTCGGTGCTGCATCGGTAGTGGTTATGGGGAAGGAAAGGAAACCAGCTCAAGTCCACTTACTCTCGAATGATATCTGTGTCGTGAGATGTCTCCGCTTTGAAGGTGCAGTAGTTGGTCCATAGGTCGACGGAGGAGGAAATGCTTGCGATACCTCGTTCGTAGACCTGAGTTCATATCAGCAACCTGTGCGTGTTACTGGACGTTGGATATGATTCATACCATATCCGCGGCCTCGGTTCCTGTGATGGAGAACTCCAGATCGGCATATTTCTTCCAGTATCCAAACAGCAGCGGGAACTTTGCGAGGAACCGGTCGTAAACGTTGCGCACTGTGGTGATCGCTTGCGGGTTGGAGTTCCGGTTGACACCTCCCTCGAGGGCCTCTGCAGCTCGGACGAGCCGCTCCCAAGTCTCGAAGCTATCCGGATCGTCGAGCTATGAGATCTCATGTTAGCTTCAGCAAAACTACATGCAGCGATACATCATACCAGCTCAGCTTCAAGCTTCTTGATCTCTGTGTTCTCCTCCTCCGAACCACCGTAGTTGTAGTCTGCCATGTTGGGTCAAGACTAGTTGCGACAGGCGCTCTGCGATCGCGAGTAACGAACAGTGGGGGATATAAAATAGGTCACTGAATGATAGCCTCAAGCAATTTGCGACCGAATGCAGAATCAAAGAGAAGCTGGAGTACTGTATCCGAATGAATGAAAGTTATGAAACAAGCACCTCGGCGCTCCCAGCCACGACCGAACTGAATCCGCGCGCCCTCGCCGCCCTTTTTTTCTTCCGGCCCCCGAAACGGCTTAGCGCGGCCTGGCCTTCAATTTCTCAACTCCAAAAGATATCCAGCAATCGAGACCCGTCGATTAACACAAATTCCCGCCGTACAATTCCAGCCAACTTGTACGGTCTCACAATGGCCGCCCTCCAACCAACATCATCCGGCCTAATCGCCAAACTCCCCATCCGCCTCCGCAACTTCTTCGCCCGCTACCCTCCCCAGCACTACTCCGCGGCCGCCGTACCACCCCTCGACCCAAATCTCCCTCCAGCACCAACACCCGACGCCCTTCCCTCCCCCTACACGCCAAACCGCGACGCCAAGGGCCACGAGCGCCCCGACCCCTCAGTGATCAGCCCCTCGCGCGCCCTCCTGACTTCCGCCAACCCCGAGTATCACAACCCGTTCCTCCCGCGCAAGAACTTCCGCACGGGGAAATGGGTCGGGCCACGGTTTGGCTTGCGCCAGCAGGCGGATCTCGTTAAGCTGGCGGCCAAGTATAATGTTGAGTCGCTGCTGCCGCCCGGGAAGAAGAGCACGGAATACAAGGAGACGAGGAGGGCGGAGCGCGGTCTCCAGGTCAAGGGTACGGGTATTGGGCAGAAGGTTAAGGGTCACAAGTGGGAGAGGACGATGGAGGGAAGGCTCGAGGACCGGAGGAAGGCGATGACGGAGATGCCGGAGATGATCCGGTTGTGGAAGCAGGTTAGTTTGACATCTCCTCGTTTGGTTCTGGACTGGTTATGGGTGGCTTGCTAACGGTTCTACTCTACAGAGAGGTCATGGTCGTGGTTGGAAGAAGTGGCCCAAGAGGTAAAGTGTTTTCGTACTTGCCTTTTGGATGGGTTGGGGGTTGTATGGTGTACTATCTACGGTGTGCTTTTCTGGTCCTAGCTTGATAAGAAAGCTTGGGATAGCATGGAACCGGGGTTTGCAATGTTTTATATTTTCTTTATCTGTCGCGCGTGTAATGTACCATTAGATATCTGCTTTGAATTTACATCGTGTGCAAGACACACCACGTCAAACTCGACTCTCCTGCAGTGCCTCTTACCAAGTTCCTCTGACGATAGGGTATGGTATTTGACCAAAGTGATTACAAAATTCAAAACCTCTGCAAAATGCTATATAACTGGGTATCTAAATATCCAAAACAACCAATCTAGCCACAGCCCAAACAGTCATGATTCATCATCATCCTCATAGCTCGGCACAACCACATCCCCAACCATAACCGTCCCCAAACACCCACCCTCACCATGAGCCCTTGCATCCCCAACAGGCGAAATATGCCTCCCAAACAAGATCTTCCTCTCAACCTTCCTCGTCTTCGCCAACGTCGCATACGGCTCATCGCCCCGCTGCCCGGTATACTGATCCACACAAACCATCTGGCACCGCTCGCACGAGCCCAGGACGTTGAAACGCAACTGCTCGGACCCGGACCCAGAGCCGATTCTCAGCGAGGCCCAAGTATCCTCGATGTAGGGCCGCTCAGCTGTCGGGATATTTTCGGCAACGACGATGTTAGCGCGGAAGACGTCTGCCGCGACTGCTTTGTTGCTGTTGGTGCCAGATCCTGGGAAGTTGTCGGAATCTAGGCTTGAGTTTGGGTTTGCGCGAGGAGTCGACTTGATGGATTCGTTGAGGCGGTTGACGGAAGAGCGGGATATAAGGAGGAGGGGGCTTTCATTGGAGAGGAGGATAGGTGTCTGTGTTGGTGATGGTGACGGTGAAGAGGGTGCTTGCGGGAATGAGCCTGGCATGCTGGGGCTTTGATTATGGCTCCGGCTTCTTGCAACCTTGCGAGGAGCGTAGGATCTAGTTGAGGACTGCGGCGGAAATCTTGCCAGCGTACAAGGTACACCGAGGAAATTGCTGAAGAAGCTCGATACCGCCGGGGACGTATATGCCTGGAGAACGACTTTATCTCCACAAACAGTCGATGGCTTCGACGCGTTCTGGCACAGTGATGTTGTCAGGGCATTCGTGCCCATGCGGTTAAGTGAGATCTCTAGTGTCTTCCCTTCTAGGGCATGAGCCTCCCCGCAAATTATACGCAGAATTCCACGTCCAAGGTCAAGAGTCGGCCGGATCAGCGCCATGCGAGGGTACCGTTTCTGGTTGAGCGTTACACCTGTCCCCTGGTGCACAAGACACCACTCGCGGTCCCAGGCTAGTCCCTCTCTCCTCACTTCCCAGCGCTGTCCGTCAGGTACTCGAAACGCCCCGCAGCTTTTGATTGGGTAGACTGATAGACTCTCGACGTAGAAGCTGGGCTGTTGCAGGCATACACCCCGCATCAGCGGCACCAATACCCCTTCTGGCAGTTTATCAACGTAGAACTCCTCAAGGAACGCGACGAACGCATCAACGTCTCGTTGACTGCTCATAGCGCCGAGGCTAACGCGCAGTATCCCAGTCGGCCGCTCGTCCATGATATCGTGCTCGTCTCCGCAGCGCATCCCCGCCGAGAAATGGCGGAGCATGTCAGCTCCGCTCCAGCCTAGACTCACTGCTGTACCACCCGGGTTACAGAGCGTTCCCGAGCGAATCTGGATGTTCTTTATGCTCGCTAGCCGTTCGACTTCTGATTTGCCGATCCACATGCCGCGGCTGTTGTGGAGGTTGAAGGCAAGGATGGGACCTTGTGTTGACGGGTCGTCGTAGCTTGAGTTCTGGGTTGTATAGAGCTGGCATGCTCTGGTCCCGTTGTAGTGTTTGAGCGCAACCATCCGGTCATGCAATCTCTTTGCAAGGAAACGCGTGTGGGAAGCGATATTCTCCATGGATCCATAAAGCCGACGATGCGTCTCAAAAGCAGACTCAAGGGCGATTATGCTGTGAAACGGAAGTGTCCCATCTTCCAACCTTTCATGGATAGAAGACTCCTTCTTCGCATGCCACGGCTCGTTCCCCGTCAAGACCATATTCACCGTGCCGCCGCCAAAGAACTTCCGGTGCCTAAACACATCCCCGGCGCTCTTGCGCACGATCAACGCACCAAGGTCAGGAAACCCGAAAATCTTGTAGAAGCTGAGAACCGTGAAGTCCGGGGCTGTCGAGGCATTGCTCAAATCCAGCGGAGACGTAGAGACAAAAGACGCCGCATCAAGTAGCGTATAGACCTTATTTTCTGCTTTTGAGCATCTCGCGCGTACCTGCTCACACCACCGCATCGGAAATCGCCGACCATTCATATTTGACTGCGCAGGGTACGCAAATAGCCCAAGCGATTCTCTTCCCTCGGATTCCAGGCCAAATGCCCACGCATCCACCTCGTCGTCACGCACGAAGCACCTCGATCCGGCCGCCGCAAGCTCCCGCACTCCAACAAGACTCGTATGAGCATCGACATGATATCCATACCAGAACCCTCTGGGTGAGTCCCGAAAAGCGTCCGCAATCAACTTGATCCCGGCAGTGGCATTCGCCACAAAAACAAGGTCAAACTCGTCCGGATCCGCATTGAAGAAGCGGAGTGCTCGCAGACGGATATCATCTACGCGCTGCGCCGAGAGCTGCGACGACGCAGACATGGAGTGAGGGTTTCCATATAGACTGCTGGTCAGATCACGGCTGAAGGAGTCAATCAGGGACTTGGCGTAGAGCGTAGTGCCTGCATGATCTAGATATGTTGTATCTGTATGTTCCGAGCTGGTTAGCGCGACGATTCTCTTTGTATGCGGAGGAGGCGAATGCTTACTGACCTTTTAGCAAGGGATACTCGCGCTCCCGGATACGATCGACATCCTCTGAGTACCCTGAGCAGTACGTCGCGGAGGTACTGGCGCTGCTCTTTGCTATGCTCATATTTGCAGGTGTGAGGGAATCTTTATACAATGTTGAAGCATTATCAAGGTTCGTTGTACATCATTGAGATCGCAGGTGGCGAGTGATCTGAGTAGATGAGGAACAGCTGTCGCTCGACCAATAGTGGGGAGGGCCAATGTCGGGGAAGCATGCACATCAACCACGGTTACTTGGGAATGTGCATTTCTCCAGTTACTGCTCAGATTCAGTAGAAATGATGACGCGACGAGGGTAGTTTCTTATCGGAGGTTGCCGACAGAGAGAAGCTGGACGGCGATGGATGAAGAGGACGGTCCCGACCGAGATCCGCGACAAAGATTGTTCCCAAACCAACGATTCAGGCATTCCTCCCTCGAGTGATACGCTGCCGATATTTATGGTCTTTCGTTCGATATCAACGTCTCCAACTACACATAGAGGTAAAGAGGCTCCCCACTCTTGTCCTCGTTGATAAGCCGATATACCTAGAGATGTCGTGGAAATAACAGCTGCTTATTACAAGAATTCCAAGTCTACGCGCTTTCTCTTAATGCCACGACCAGGTCGTTTGAAAGTGGTGATTTCATATATACTAGTATTTATGTGAGTGTATACCGAAATTTTCGCTATAGAAAGCTTTCGACCCCAACCTAGAGCTTGCCACCACCGGGAAGGTATCCCTTCGTCTTCAACCATGATCCAACGTCAGCACTGTCGCGCTGCACCCAGCTGACCTTGGCGCGGATAGCGTCAAGACTCTGCTCAATCGCTCGGTCGTAGCCCTAAAACTCGTCAGTCAAAAGTATACGAAGAAGGTAAATGCAATCCACTCACCTTGGTATCCTTGTTGGCGAAGAAGTCCTGCACGTCCTTGAGTTGCGCTTCCGTGCAGAAGCTGGCAGTGCAAATTTGAACGACAGTTCCGAGCATGCCAAGTCCAGGGGGCAGGCGCTGGTAGAGGGTGTCCCAGTTGGCCTTCACCCAGGCCCAGCGGGCATCGATACCGGGGGCGTGAGTGCGGAGGCCGCCAAGGGGCATGTAAATGTCTTGGTTCTTGACCTCGTCACCAAGAGCCAAGCCGAGAGTGCGCTGGATGAGCTCAGGGTCCTCGGCCGCACCCAGGCAGCGGAGAGCGGTGGTCTTCTCGTCAGACGTGGGAGCGTTACGGAAGCGGTCGTACACAACTTCATATTCCTTCTTACCGCCGTGCTTCAGGACGATCGAGAAGACGCTACCGCGAATGTTGGGGTGGATGGCGCTGACATCGCCGGCAGCGAAGCGCTGGAACATGTCTTGGGCAGCCTGGACTATCTTCTTGTCACCGGCGCTACCAGCGGCGCTGAACAGTAAAGCCTTGAACTGTTGAATGATGTGACCATCGTTCTCAGAGAACTCCCATCCCAGAGTGTGCGCCTTGTCGCTGACCAGAGAGCGCTGGAAAGCCTCGAGTGCATCCTTGGTCTGCTTATCTTCGAAGATCCAAGCAGCACGAAGAGCACCAATACGGGTCAGGATTTCATTCCAAACAACAAACTCGGGCTCGCTGTCGAATCCGGCCAGCAGTGACAACAAACCGGAAGTGCTTTGGTAACCAGAGGCAGCCAAGGCACCGGCGTCGGCGATCATGCCTGCGCGGTCCTCGACGGTGAGCAATCCCGCCTTGGCGGCCTCGCCTAGCTTGGTCAGACGCTCGGGAGTGTACGATGTGCGGTAGATGGCGGAGTGGTCGGCGTTGAGCTTGTAGAAATCAAGGTCGGGAACCTTGAACTCGCCCTCGCGCTCAGACAGAAGAGTGTCCTCGTCGATACCCTGCTTCGTGCGCAAGCCAAGCATGATCGGGAAGATAGTCTTGTCCTCCTCAGGACGAACGTCTCCTGTGCGAAGGAAGCGGTTCTGCTTGACTTTGATGGACGAAGACTGGGCATTTTCCGAGACGGTGACAACAGGGAATCCCACATTCTTAGTCCAGATGTCCATGACCTCCTCCACGGGCTTGCCACTGGCATTGGCAAGGGCGGACCAGAGATCACCGGTCTGTGTGTTGCCGTACGCGTGCTGCTTGATGTAGTTACGAACACCCTGGAGGAAGACATCTTCACCCAGATACTTGGAGATCATGCGCAGGACAGAAGATCCCTTGGAGTAAGAAATGGCATCAAAGATCTGGTTAATCTCATCTGCACGCTTCACGGGCACTTCGATGGGGTGACTGCTGCGAAGGGAGTCGAGCGAAAGGGCACTCTGCAGGTTGTCGATAACGTACGTCTGCCAGACCTTCCATTCGGGGTAGAAGCTGTTGCATGAGTACCAGGACATCCAGGTGGCGAAACCTTCATTAAGCCAAAGACCGTCCCAGAAGTCCATGGTGACCAAGTTTCCAAACCATTGGTGAGCAAGCTCGTGCTGAACAGTTTCAGCAATGCGCTCCTTTCGTGACGCACTGCTAGTCTTCTCATCCAGGAGCACATCGACGATACGGTAGGTAATTAGACCCCAGTTCTCCATGGCTCCGGCGCTGAAATCGGGCACCGCAACCATGTCCATCTTCGGGAGCGGGAACTCGTTATCGAAAGCCTTTTCGTAGAATGCGAGTGTCTTCGCCGCAAGCTCCAGAGAGAAGCGACCGTGCTCGATGTCCTGGTCAGGCGTAGCATAAACGCGGATGGGGACGCGGAAGTTCTTGGTCTCGATGTAGTTGAGATGACCAACAATGAAAGCCACCAGGTATGTAGACATGACTGGAGATGTGTTGAACTTGACGATCTTCCTTCCACCCTCAATATCCTGCTCCGAGGCGACGTCCATGTTGCCCAGGCAAGTCATGCTCTTGTCTGCAATGAGACTGACCGTGAACTTAGCTTTGAGCGCGGGCTCGTCGAAGCAGGGGAAAGCCCGGCGGGCATCAGTGGGTTCCATCTGCGTCGAGGCAATGTATTTGGTCTCGCCTTGCGGCGTCTTGTACGAAGAGCGGTAGAAACCAGCCATGTTGTCATTTAGCGTGCCGGTGAAGGTCAGCTTGAGCTGAGCTGTGGAACCGGCGGGGACAGTCTCGGGGAATTTGATAGTGGCTTCCTGCTTATCCTTGTTGAATAGGATCTCGGGAGAAGAATTGACTACTGATCCGTTGCTGGAAATGGTAGCTGTGTGGATGTCGATTTCGGTGGAATTGAGGGCGATGGACGTAGTGTCTTCGTTGACCTGTAGGCTAGATGGAGCTATCAGCTTCAAGCTCAATCTCGCAAAACCCCAGGGGATACGGTGCAACATACTCGATAACCACAGTTCCTTCATATTTGAAGGTCTCGAAGTTCGGTTCAAGCGTCAAGTCATAGTGGAGGGGCTTGACGTTGGTGGGCAAGACCTCACGGCCGGGGACATTAGTCGTACCGGCCGCCTGATCGCGTCGAGAGCCACACATCCTGCGATATGAACAATAACGTTTCGATGTCTGGGAAAGGGGGGAGCGGCGGGAAGAAGGTCGATTCAGGCGAGTTGGAGAAGGGGGGGCAGATAAGAGCAAACGAGAGGTGAGGGTGGGGAGCTGTCTGGGGAATCGAGAAAGCGGTGGCCGTGCTGGGTTCAGCAGTGGCAGCCGCGACGAAGAGAGGCGACGCATGAAACCGGAGCCCCACCCAGATAGACGGAGTAAGACAGAAGGTGCGAAGGTTATCTCGTAGTCGAGAGGGTAGGAAGTCTGGTTCTGAGCAAGATTAGCTTCAATGGGCCCAGACAATGAACATTGACACTGCAGGGGAGCAGAAATCAAAGAAGCTCAAACTCGATCCCCGGATGGCAGAACCGCAAGCCGCGGTCGGTTGATTATGGAAGGCGGTCTGCTGGACGATTGCTGCCTTGTTCTAGGGCAGCGATCTCTTGAGTCTGCGGAGATTACATTTCTCTGAGAACAGTATTAGTATCTAATATTGGGTGGTGATAAACCTGATACATTAGAAAGTGTAGACAGGGAGCCGCTAATTGCTGAGCTGTAGGTATGTGAGGGAGAAGAATACGAGCTAGCTATAACCGGCTGCAATATGTTACGGATCGCCTGAGCAAATATATAGATTTGGCCTGGACAGACGATAAGGAGTTATTGGTGATGGCCGACATATAGAACTATAGCACGATGACTCAAATATGGACCATCATAGTGCTTTATTTCTACCATTCAGCTTCTGAACCATAATACATTTGTTGGCTGGGAGTTGTGACACCCGCTCTCTTCACCGCGGAGGGGCTGATGACATATCGAGTCCGAAGCTGTCAACACCAACTCTCTTCCCAACTTCTTCCATTTCTTCCTAAACCACTCCCAATACAGTCAAAATGGGTTCGCCTATTAACATCACCTCCAAGGAGCAATTCAACAATCTCCTCAGCTCCTCCACCTTCGTGGTCGCAGACTGTAAGAGCCTCTTTGTTGATCCCCCGCCTTCCCTCCTCACCCCTCTTTGGCCAGGTTTCATCAGCTTAAGCACAAATACTGACATGCCGAACCCTGTTTAGTTCACGCCCAGTGGTGCGGACCATGCCATGCAATCGCCCCTGTCTACGAACAGCTATCCGCCCAGCTCTCGCGTCCGAACCGGATCGCGTTCACGAAGATCGATGTTGACCAGCAGCAAGAGATCGCCAAGGCATACGGCGTTACAGCGTACGTCTCCGTCGAACAATCTACATATAAATGGGTTACTGCGTCGTTTAAGGATGTCAAAGCTAATCCTGCTAGGATGCCCACATTCATCGTTTTCGAGCGCGGCCGTCCTACAAACACCATCCGCGGCGCCGACCCCTCGAAACTGAACCAAGTGATCCGAAAGCTCGCCACCGAAGCCAGCAAGAGCGAGGCCTCAGGAGGCTCCGCCGAAGGTTCTTCCTCTGGCGCCACATGGATCGGAGCCGCAACCCCGAAAGGCTACAGCGACATCACGGAGGAATATGACGTGAAGGGCCTGGAACTGCTCAACCGTGACAGCGACTTCGGTACGGCCAGGACACTACTCGAGCCGTCCAAGCCTTCTGCGCTCGGAAACGGCAAGGGCAAGGATGGCGGTTCGGACTGGGTTGAGAGTGACACCGACGAGCAGCTGATGCTCTTCATTCCGTTCAAGTCTACGCTCAAGGTCCACTCGCTGCAAATCACTTCCCTTCCGCCTTCTGAGGGTGAGGACGACGAGGTTCCGATGCGACCCAAGACGATTCACCTTTACACCAACCGCTCGCATGTGCTTGGGTTTGACGAGGCGGACGACATTCCTCCTGTGCAGGCGGTGACGCTCGAGGCTGGGGACTGGGATCCTAAGACGGGAACGGCCAAGATTGACTTGCGATTTGTGAAGTTCCAAAGTGTCTTCTCATTGAACATTTTCGTTGTGGACGGCGACGGCGATGGGGAGAAGACGCGTGTGGACAGGATCCGCATCTTTGGCGAGGCCGGCGAGAAGAGAGAGATGGGCAAGCTGGAGAAGATTGGCGATGATCAGGGCGAATAGATGCGACGGCGACAGTAATATAGCAGCGAGCTGGGAGTGGCGAGTAGCAGCGCATAAATAGACTACGATGGCAATGACCCATTGACATGAAAGGTTGTAAAAAAATCCTCATATTCATCACTCTTAACGATAAGTCGAGTAGAACTACTGAGTCAGAAGACTCAAAAGATCCTAAATCCCAAATCTACGAAATTCCCAACTTCTCATCAACATCAAGACTCGAAGTTAAGAGTGTAATGTCCGATCCCAAACCAAATGGTCTCATCCTCGAAGAAAAATCAGAAAGACCAATAAAGTAAGAACCGGCGTGCAATTCCTTTCTTCTGTGACACAACAGACACCTGTAATACATCACTGAGAGTAGATGTCCAGGCAACACGGGTGAATAGTTGCGTCGCCGCACGAAGAAAGGAAAGAAGAAAAAAGTCAAATGGTGCGGGTGTGAGCGAAGTATTTATGGCTGGCAATTCTCGGAGCGGATAAAGCTGTGCTTCCGCTTTTACGTACATTTTTTCGCTGCCGGTGGGTGATTACGTGAGCAAGCTCTGGAGAAGAAAATCTTTGATTTGAGATTTTCTGATCTTTTTCTTCTTCATAAACATAGGTCTATGATGAGATTATTGGATGTTAAACATATGATAGGAAGAGACTGACTCCCACAAAGTGAGGAGCTTGATCTTAAAACCATCCACTGAGGCCTTGTTCGTGCTTTGTTTTGTTTTCCCATGCCCAATTCGTCTGTCTTGACGCTCGACGCCTGGGTTGACTCCGGGTTTATCCTTGAGCTCGAGACTTGGCTTAGCCCTCTTTGTTTTCTTTCCCCCTGTCAATTCTTCTGTCGTAACATATCGGGTTGCTTGCCCTACTGCCCTTCTCTGTTGCCCCCTAAGGTGCTGCCCTAGCTGGGCTTCGAGACTCGCAATCGGTCTTCAGCTCCCTCGCGTTAGTTAGGTAGTTGATGTCCAATAATGATAAATTCATCCTTTGAGCTATGACCTGAAGTAGGACGAGGCGCGATGACAGCCTGAATGATTGATACCATGGCAACTCTTGAGAAATACCATGCTGCGTGCTCGGAGACAAGTAGGAAGAATCTTGCTGTCCTTACGGAGTACCTTGACCGCAATCCCTGACATGTTGATTCAATGTCGCTAACACGATGACAGGAGATATTGTTCGACATCTCTCGAGCGCTTTTGGACTTCCGTACGTAAGCAAGGGCCTCAACAGTGCGCTGCGCTGCGGTGCATACCCCCAATCCCAGGACACCGACCTCATCGTAAACTCCTAGGACGTCGAGCTCTTCCTCGGTCAGCATATGTTCCTCAACGGGACAGTGCAGGAAGTGGACAAGCAGTTCATCGTAATCAATCCAGAATATCGGCCCTGACAACAGCAGGAGCAAAGCGGCAGCCCTTGGAAAAGGCGATGTGATCGATAACCACTCATGCTTCGAAAGATGAGCCACCTGCGGTTCAAAGCGCATCGCAGACGATATTGAATATTTGCGACGCTCGGCCCGTCGACTTCTGGGCAGGTGATTTTGAAGGAAAGTGGCGTGTCATTGTTCGTCAAGACTGTGTTGAGGGGAGGAGAAAGGCCGTTGGTTCTTGCATACTTCTTTGGTGAAACTGCTCAGGGAGGCTATCAGAGAATGTACCCATGAAGTTCAAGCTCCACTGATTCAAAGGCCAGCCATGTTTTTGACTCTCTCATGAGAATTTGTGTTGGAAGGGTTATTCTGTGAAGCTCGGGCATGGCCAGAAAATGAGGTGCTAAACTATGGCAAAACCTGAATTAGTTATGGTCAATCCCTTGAGTGGTTTTCTGGCCTGCGTGTTGCTTGATGGGCCAGACAAGGCGACACCGCATCTGCGTTCATCGAAGCCACCTTCCTGACTTCCAATCCTCTTCCTCCCTCTTCCTCTCCCCAACCACACACAGGCAACTTTGCCCCGTCCCTCTCTTAGGTTTCTTCGCGCGAGATAGCTCGACCTTTTTTGGCAAGGAATATTGTTATTTTGCACAACCTCCTACCCATTCCTGAGCGAGTCAACATGGCTACCCCCGAGTTCCTCTGCGCCAGCAGCGACGGCACCGGCTGTGTGAATGAGGCAAAGTACACCTGCCAAAACTGCCGACTCGTGGCTGTGAGTCCTTCTAGTCAACTATGCTTCGTGTTCCTCTTTTGACAATGCGGTCATGTAGTACTGCGGTCCTTCCTGTCAGAAAGCGCATTGGTCCACACACAAGCGCGATTGCAAATCTCCTTTGAACAGTTTAGAGTGGCAGCCCCAGAATCTGATAAATGAGGCACCTACACCAGCCAAACTCGTCGATATTGACTTACTGGCCAAGGAAAACCCCGAGAATCAAACCAAGGGTGAAAAGTTCCTTTGGGGTAACACCCCGGCAATTGATGTGCTCAAGCTGGAATCAAACGAGGGCGTCAAGCATGACGAGGATCTCCGAATTCTCTTTGCTGGTACAATCACTAAATCCAATTCTGAGTACGGAACTAACTTGTGTGATTTTATGCTGCAGCTTCCGGGGACCTTCGAAATTTGGTTAAAACAATCGGCCAGCTTCCGGATACCTACCGCGGCTCACTGGAGATCACGCTCAATGATCGAGATATTGATGTGGTAGCTCGCAACCTCATCCTGATCTATATTGCCATAGCTGGAAATCATCTAGCCAGCAGCATAGATTCCATTATCCATATTTGGTATTCAGCTCTCGTACGAGAGTTGGAGTTAATTATACTCCATCATAAACTTCGCCCAATGGTCCAAGCAGCCTGCAGTGAGATCAAGAACAATCCCTATTACGACGAGCCCAGATCCACTTTTGCAAGGACCTGGGGTATTGGGAAGTATTCCCTCAAGCTTTGGCTCAACAAGCCTTCGTGGAACAGCCTTTTGTCACGCCTTGACGTACCCTTGGGCTTGACGGCAGAACGCGCGCAACAGATGCGCACAGCATCTCTGGTGAATCCGGCAGCCGTCGATTATTTTGAACGATTCATGTGCCTCCAGCCTCCTTCCCATCGGGTCGCCTCAAAGAAGTTCCAATACGACGGCTTGCTTCTCCCATTCGGATCATCCCGTCAAGAGTTTCAAGTCCCTAACCCGTTAGTTTAGCTGAATAGATGATCGTTGAGGCCAGAACCAAGACGCTGACATACGCACAGAACTCTCTTTGGACAGGATCACATGTGGCTGCCTTCCTATAGTGCGGATCCCTTGAACGGTTGGTCTGCAGACGATGTTTGTATCACCTCGAGTGGACCGGCGACGGCTGATCTCTATGGAAAACTCCACTTCCACCTTCGTGAAGAGCTTCGAAAATTCTTGACTCGTCTTTCCACATTAAACGTTTCGTTCATTCTGCTACAGACAGATGCTTGTAGTCTCCGCAACAATCTCAAGGAGGATGTTTACGACCGAGTGGACGTAAGTGTGTTGACATGATCCTCAGTTTAACCTGAACTGCTTGATACAGAGGCTGATATTCGTGAGAACGCAGGTCTCCAATATTTCGGATTTAGGGTTTCTGGGGATACCCAAGACACTGTATTACACAATGCCGTTGCTTCGGTCCCCTCGAAATAACCCACATGCAACCCTAATCACCAAATTTATGAACGCCGTTGACGAAATCTTGCATGACCCAAGCAAAAAGCCTGACCTGGCTTCGCAAAAGCGCGCAGCAGCCGAACGTATCAGCCAGTACCTCCCCCTCGACGAACATGCTCTAAGATCTCTACCTGGGGCACTGCAAAAATACGCCCTTGGCTTGACCATGTTGACTCATTACGATAACGCCTTCAATTGGTATGTCTGCAAACTGCATAGCTTTCACGTCTATAGCCCGCACTTGCACCATCTTAGAGGTATTATGTACTAATACTGCTTTTCTAGTTATGCCGAATACTACCAGCTCCAATCAGCGGCGGATCAAACAAATGCGGTCCGAAAGGAACCACACACTATCGTGGACAAATGGCCGACCAGATTGAAGCTACAGCCCGGCCAGCCAGGAGCGCAGGAAGAATTTGATCGGCACATCCTCAGATCGGTGAGGGGCACGCTTCGGTACGTTGAGTGGCAAAGACGAACATAGCGCACTCTAGCCATGCCCGAGTTCTTCATAACTGGGAGAAGTACCATCTTGGCGACCGTGACCGGGGCCGTGCGGCGACGTGTCGAAATTACAGTCTGCGCGGAAAAGGAGACCATAATTGAGCTTTTATCCGTGAAGGGAGGTTTGCAGTTGGGAAAGACAGGGCTTCAGACAACAATCAATGCATTCATGAGGACGCTACGGCGGCCGTGGCCGTGCCCTAGGTGGACTTTCTCTCTGGCGAAAGGGGTTCGCTCTACTAATCGGGCTTTTCACTGAGCCATGATGTACCTAGGTAGGGATAAGATACAGCGGAGTAATGTGTTTGTGGAAGGAGACATATTGACTTCTCATTACCTGGCTGCTGTAGAGATTCGTGGTTACATTCGTTCCAATCCATGATTTCTACAGACACAACCTTCCGCCCACTGCAGATTTGCATAGGAATACAGTATGCCTGGCGTCTCTGGGCCTCGCCTATGCCTATCTGAGGTTCAGTTGCTCATGCATGGCATATTGCTGCTGAGAGGGGCTCAAACCCCGCAGACTATTATACATCATTCCCAACTGCTTTCACTCGGATGGCCGTCACCTCTCGCTCATTTCCTCCAGGTTAGCTCAGAAAGAGTGAGCTTTGAGAGAAAGGCTGCTGGCTGCTCACACCGCATAGCACGGCCAGAAAAGCCCACTACTGCTGCTTGCATAGCGACATTGACGCTGAAGGCCTGCTCTGCTCTTGACCGATCTATAAATCTGGCGCCATGTGCGTCTACTCCCGAACACTGCAGCTGTACCCCGGTGCAAACTGCCCTTCGACGAAGACCATACCATCCCCGGTAGTCCGAAGACTCGAGACAATACAGCCAGGCATGATCCAAGACATTATCAATAAAATATCTTGTGTGAAGCAAAAGGGTGGCGATGGATTCTATGCGGAGGCTGTGCAATGGCCCCGGGCCACGAATAGGGATCAACGAGAGTGCCTGGCCTCTTTCCTATTTGCCAAGCACAAGGTCTCGATGAGTGCTGAATGACGGTCTTTTACCCGGGTGTCCATATACAGCTCATGACCGGGATGGTTAGGCTGAGGGGGTCCAGCAGGCTAGTCGGCTACTGCGAGCCCGCGGCAGAAAGCCATTGAATCCAATGGCATTCCACGACTTCCGCCACGCAAACCAAACGGTATATGTAGCAGCGAGGCCGATACCAAAACAAACGCTAACAAGACTGATGAGCACCTACCGCACAGCTGGCGCCGCGGACGCACCCTGCAGGCGCAAGTCGCGGACGACCTCCCCGGCGGATCCATACCCAGCCGACCAACATTTCCTAATAACCGAACGCAGCTCGCTAGGGATGCAGTCTAAGTCAGGAAACTCGTTCCTCTGCAGCAGCTGCCAAGCTTCTCTGCTGGGCTTATCGCCGTAGAGTGCATGCCCAACGCTAATCTCGTATACGAGCGTCCCAAGCGCGAAGAGGTCGTCAAGCTCGTCGGAGCCCTGAGCGCCTGGCCTGGCGTACCGGGTAGCGTACGCCACAGAGGGCGGCGAGCGATCAATGCTGGAGCCGCCAAAGTCCGCCAATACAAGGCTGCCGTCTTCCTGGATGAGGAGGTTGTGGCTGCCGAAATCGCAGTGGACCACGTCTCTGGCGTGGATGTGCTCCAGTGCTTCGGCGGCTTGCAGGGCCCATCTATTCGCCATTAGCGATCGTGGCAAAAGAGCTGGAGGTGAGAGCCTTACCCGTCTCGTGCCCCTGGGTATTCGTGGAGTTCGAGGTGATCCTTCAACATGCCGCCCGGCTGGTACTGGAAGACCAGGCCGGTCCGAAGACCATTGGCCCAGCGGTGCTCGCCGTAGTAGCGCAGGATGCGCGGGTGGGAGCCGAGGCGCTCGTAGACGCGTTTCTCGCTCGCCTGCAGGCAGCCTGTGACGGGGTGGTCGAACGATTCCTTGATGACGAGGTCGCAGTTGGGGATTCTGTAGACTTGCGAGAAGCAGCCGATGCCTGCGCCCATTAGGTGCTTTGGATCGGCGCGTTGGAGCTCTTCTGCTACATGGGTTGGTAGCATGTCTGGTGGCAACAGAGGCAGTCTCTGGAATGTTGCAGCGATGCAGATACAATCAGGGGCAGAAGCCACGCGAGGACGCCCAAGGCTCACGTGACTGCGCTCTCTTGCTTTCTGTGCCTGAGCTCTTCTCTTGCGACAGTTATTCGGAATAAAAAATAAATATGCTCGTAGAGACTCATGGCAGGTGCTGCTAGTAGGAATTTCTTATTAGGATGCTTAAAGTGCGAGCTTTTACAGTGTATACTTTTTTCTAGGCCATAATTTACTTACTATTATTGTTGAGTAGGCAAGGCAGATTAGCAGCTGCAGGAACTCTCGCTTGGATCTTTTTAATTAAATCCAATGCTTCTTATCGTTGCCGGCGGAATCCTTTTTGCGATTAGTTGAGCCATTTAGCGTATGGTGGTAGGTGTTTACTTCTTTACTACGCCGTTTCTTGTTAGTGTAGTTAGTTAGGGCTTTTCTCCAAGTTGAATACTAGTTATAGAGCCCTCCCAGCTGGAGAGGAGGAAAGCCGGAGCCTCCTGATTGAGCCCCGAATAAGGTTGAGGGATCTGACTGCACACCATCAGTGGCCGGTCAACGGAGCCGGGTGAAGATGTGGCATGCAACTGTCTCGCCCAATGAGACAGGTCAAGCAGAGCATGAACAATCATCTGGACCTGATTAATCCCCTGGATGACGCCGCATGTCTTCGGTCATGTTTCCGCGGGAAGCCCGCTTGCCCTAATAACATGGTATGGCGCCCTGTTCCTCTCCTACCGGTATTTACTTTACTAATGTAGGGCCTCCCACATGATAGGAGGCAAAAGGGCTTGTATGAGGACCATCTCCGACCCGCCCCGGATGCTGATGAGGACACTTACATTATACTTCTTGTCTAGGGATCCTGCTGGACCTGCTGTCTCCGCTCTGAAAACGAAAACGATAATGAAACCCACGCCTAGTCTCCGCTGGTTATTGAGGCCCAAAAGAACTCTAAAGACCATGGAGGCAGCTTCTGTACAGAGACAGAGGGTATGTACCTTGCATCTCGGCCTCTTCCCCTTTGCATCACTATATTGTACAGTAGTACTGAGGACACTGACGGTTACCATATACAGCCTGCGTCCCGTAACTGAGACACTGCTGTGACCGCTCCGAATGCGACCCCTGCTGTGCCGGACATTGCTGCTATACCGGTCGGCCCGGTGGAGAGGGGTACTGTGCTCAGAGGCCCTGAGCGGCTAGCGGTAGGTATGCGCTGTGCCTGGCAGATACTTAAAGGAACCTAGATGGTTTGATCTTGCCTTGGCCAAAAGTGCGTGAATAGTGGTTACCGAGGGGCTATTGTACCTTGCCAATAAAAATGAGTTTATTTAAGGGAAAGGAGAGCGTTGGGTATTGAAAGGGATAGACTAATGGGGGTACTAGGGCTCGGTGAGATAGCCTTGAGAAAAAAAGATAAGAAGTAAAATTAAGACACTACTATAATGGCTTAGGCTCACCATAAATAACAAGGGCTTTTTTTGACTTTTATCTAATAACCCCAACAGATGTATACGGGATATGTCACCATGATCGCTACCCTTAGTTAGTAGGGTAGGTACCTATGGTATACTTCAACGGCCGGGTCCGGGTGTCTGATGCCCGGTGTAACATATCTATTGCAGCTAAATATCACTGCTATCCCAGATCGGCAGAGGAAAGGTGGGAAAGGGGTTGAAGTCAAAGTCAAAGTCGGCACTAAATGCCCCCTGAAATTCAAATCCTGGGGAATCATGGGCATCGAGCAAGCCAGGGTCTGTATCCATCACCGCCGAGTGAGGTAGATCAAGGCTGGGATCTCTCATGCGGGTGTTCGTGGTGAAGGACAGGTCAGGAATCGGACACCCTGCAGCTTCACCCGCACCTGCACTCGCTTGACATGGAGGCTGCATCATGACATTAGGGTACTGGGCATTCTCCCGGTGCAGTGGCCCAGACCTAGACCTAGCCCTCCACTCTCCCAAACACGCCTGCACCCTCTCCAAATGCACCGCCAAATCATGCGCAACGAGACACCCCCCATCAACAAGACAGCCCAAGATCTCCGATGCCGTCTTGATGGACTCAGCGTCCTCGGGTATTCCTATTCCTATTCCTATTCCTGCGGGCAGAACACTCGACACCACCAGGACCAGCGCCGCCGTGAAGATGTACTGTGCAAAGGCGTACCCATAGACAGGGAGGGAGCCTTGAATCCATTCCTCAGAGCAGAGGGATATCGTGCGTCGGGCGGAGTGGATGCACGCTTCGGCGAGGGTTGTTAGGGCGGGGGGTACAGCCGTGGGTTGGGGATTCTGGGTTCGTGATGTTGATGTTGATGCCGACGTGGGTGTTAGGTGGTCGAGCATGCTGAGGAGGATTGGACGGGTGGCGAGGATCACGCACTTATATACCAGTGCAAGCAAGTCAGCCTTGTTATTTGATTGAGGGAGAAGAAAGGAAGACATACGTAGTTGAACTGAAGGTGGATGGACACCGTGGGTTTCGCAATATGCACATTCCCATTCCCAAGCCCGGTTGTCTCTGTCTGAGAACGCAGCTGCAAGTGCTCAGGCAGTCCCTTCAGCCACTGCCTCAAATCACTCAAAATCCCCTGTTCGCGCAGCAGAAAGCTCTCCGCAAAGACCGCGCGGCTGTAAATCCGACGCATGATCTTGCTCGCGATCCGGGCAAGTTCAATAAGAGCAACCTGGTACGAACAGTCCACGAACTCCTCGTGATGCCTTGCCACATCGGCGCCAGAGCCAGAGCCAGAGTTGGTGTTGGGGCCAGGGCTAGGGTCCGAAGGCAAGTCGACGCGGATATCGCAGTCGTCCACCTGAACCGGCAGCCCGAGCTTCATCCCCCAGAACCGATCGAAGTTGTAGATGGTCCACCAGACGCGGACGCGGTTCTCGCGCGCGATCGGGTCGGCGCATTGCTCGGGGGGGATGTTGTGGTTGAGGCCGACGGAGAGGCCGAGGCGCAGGGCGATCCCGAGGATCGTGTATGCGGAGTGCCATCTGTTGAGGAATTGACTGGTGAGGGACTGTACCATACACTCCGTTAGAATGGTATGAGTGGGCCAAATAGGTGGAGGGAGAATACCAGAATCACGAGAGCCTCGATGTGCGCCATGCTCGGCCGCTCGGGGAGAAGGGGGATGAGACTGACGGCGCGCGCATAGTACGCTGTACCAGAGACAGGAACGGCTGAATCTGAACCTGAACCTGAACCTGCACTGCGCACCACCGAACATACCTCGCCGAGCGCAAAGAGCGCAAAGTACTTGCAGACCAGGACCGGATCCCCAAAGGCCGCGGCCCCGGTGCGGTAGATGGTGTCAAGATAGTCGACTGTGCGCTTGCGCACCGTCAAGTGGAACAAGGGGCTCGCGTGGCCAAGCGCAGTCTGCACGAGTAAGCGGGCTCGAGGCAGACTCGGCCAGGGGGTTTCTGCTTGCGCGAGCAGGTCCAATGTTGCCTCGTTGGTATACTGCATCCGTGGGATGTGTGGAGGCGAGGTCGGGGTGTCGTCGCTGAGCCACTGGCATAGGCGCGTTGCGAAGGCCGTACATGCGACTTCACTTACGAAGATGGGGAGAGCAGATGCGATGTCGTTGTGGGATTGGAACCAGGCACGGTCTTTCATGATCGGATTGCCTGCATCGGGTCTGGGGGCGTGGACGCTATCTGGGCGTGGGCAAGATGTGGTAATGTTCGCTGGGCCATCGACAGTTCGAGTGAGGCTTAGCTTATATCGACGAAGCTCCTTGCTGTCTTGAATGAGCTGTTCCAGGTAGCTGTTTGAGTGTTAACCTGGATTCTGTATATACCCCTAGGTACAAGGGTACCAACCTTTCATCAACACGGATTTTCCGATCGCGCACAACATATTTGCATTGTTCCTCACAGCCAGCTAAGAGACACTTGGAGCATGGCCTGCCACCGGAACACTTGGTTTTCTGGACATGGCATCGCTGGCAACTAGCTATGGTGAGAAACGGATGATCCTGCCTACGAGAACAGCAACAAACTCACGCTACAGATCTTTTCTTCCCGACGGTATATTTAGAGGAACGAGAGCGCTCCCCTCGTCCTAGTGACTCTGAATCTGGGGCCTGCATAGGAATAATGATGGTGATCCTGCAGTGGCTCAGTCGGAGATTTTAACGTTGGCCGTAGTGCGCTCCACTTGAAGTGTTGGGACCAACCACCGCAGGAATCAGACTGGATTCTGTCCAATTACAATGCCTCGCTGGCCGGCGGAAGTTTGGCCGGCCGAAAAGAACGTTCCCGAATGCGCCCTTGCGGTGACTCCTGGCTGATACAATCATACAATATATGGCCGAGCCAAACCCTACCACAGACACTCCCAGGTGCAATTCAGTCCACAAGTTCTACTCCATTCAATCGTCTCACACATCTTATTCTGTTCTCATAACCATACACTATATCTTATTAAATCAGCCCAGCTACCAGCCGATCAACTCAAAAACCAACTACCACCGACACCATGACTTCGCCTCCCCCAGGCCCATATACACTCCGCCCCGCCCTCCCAAGCGACATGCCAACGATAGTCCACCGGCACGGAACCCTCTACAGCAAAGAACAAGGCTACAGAGCGGACCTCGCGGCCGGCGTGGCAAAAACAATCTTGGACGACTTCACGTCCAACCACGATCCCGCGTCCGAACGATGCTGGGTCGCTGAGAACAACAACAACAACAACAGCGACAACAACAGCGAAGACAGATTCATCGGGTGCGTTCTGCTCGTCCACGACAAGAGCGAAGAGTCCTACAAGTGCGCCAAACTCCGCCTTTTACTTGTTGAGCCGAGTGCGAGGGGGCTAGGGCTCGGTGGGGAGCTGATTAGGCAGTGTACGCGGTTTGCGAGGGGAGCTGGGTATGAGCGCATTCGGCTGTGGACGAATAGTGGCCTGACGGGGGCAAGGAGGCTTTATGTGAAGGAGGGGTATAGGATGGTTAGAGAGGAGGAGGATCAGACGTTTGGGGTTACGGTGCAGGCTGAGTTTTGGGAGTTGGTGCTCTAGATGGTATTGGCATTGGAGGGGGGAAGGGATGGAGGGGTCTTCGATGGCTCGGAGTATACTATATACTGCAGTGTAGCTTTGAAGTTATAGTGAATAATGGTAGTTAGTACCATATGGTTGCTCTTAGGTACCATGATTCATGGAACTTGGACTCGGTCTCAGTTCTCCCAGGTTGTAGGGAGAACAGGATATCAGGAACAGAGTTCAACAGAAGAAAATAGAAAAAGCTGGTAGACTTCCAAGGGTAGGTAGTGATTGGTAACTGAAAAGACAAGTAATGAGAACAAACAAGTAAATGTTCATTTTATCTTCCGTCCTCCTACCTAAAGCTTAGGGCCACTTAGGGTTTCAACTTGTTTTATAATATGTAAACGAATCCATCCAGAGAGCTCCCGCTACTAACAAAGGTACTGAAAGGCAAGCGCAAACATATACCTCGGCCACAGATGAGAAAAGACTCGCAATGAAAGAAAGAGCCACCAGGGCTTCGGCGCTATACATTAAACACAGATACACCCACCGATCTTATCAACTCACTCCCTACCCGGGAAGAAAAACCAAAGAGTCCCTTACCCAGCTCCACTCACGCCTAGTGAAGAGTACAGGATCCCGCAGCCGGCAGCTGACCTTGTATGCCATCTTGCCACCTTCGTGTAAGCTGAATTTGTAACATTAATGGTGCGGTATTGCCAATCTGAGACCTTTCTTCTTGTTTAGGCTGGCTTATGTGGGACGGGGTGAACTTCTCGAACTCGGCAAATAACATCCAACTGCACGGAACAGTGCTTAGCGCCGATCTTGAAAAACAAGGTGGAGGGTTTAGAGGGGGAATCGGGATTGAGCTGGATGACCGAGTCGAGAATGCAAATGGCCGACTGTCGGTTCTACGCTAAGACAGCGCACCTGGAGCCCCGACAGTTCCCTGTCTGGCTTACCAGTTAATAAGAAGCTTAAGGACGTATCCTACTCCTTTGGCTGAGCGTCAGCCAACAGTCTCAGCTCAATTTGCTGATGTATTTGGATGATGGGATTGCTGACATTGGCGGCAACTATGGGACGCAAGCGAAGACTGCTCATACGGTACCGCCAAAGACCTAGGCTCAGTGCAGAACATCCCGTCGCAAGTCCCACAAGCCAGAACGGTGTTGCAGTTACTCGCGGTGTCGTAGCAGATCAGCTGGGGGCACTGGGTAGTGACGCGAATAAATTAGTTAGATGATATGATTCAGCAGGTCTTAGGCTTGGGTATACGACATACCATTGACTGGCGTTTCTCGACGGCGTTGATGAGGATGCTTTTACCGGGGACCGGGGGGAGAGCTAGGGTTAGGGCTGAGGCGAGGAGGGCGAGGGGGACGAATCTGGGTTTCATGGTGCGGGCTTTGCGTTTACCCCTAGGGGCTTAGGTATATATTAGAGTAGTTGGAGCCAAGAGATATGGAATGGATAGCCCGGCTTGAAGAAATTGGCCGGTTATATACTGGGGGCAGGGATGGGAGAGGGGTAAGGTGTCACACAGGCTTAGGGTTACCCAGGTACCGGTCCATTATGAGGTATCCTCACGCATCTCACTATCTGGCGTATTTCTAGATCTATCGGTTCCAAGGCACGATTAAGTAGTATGTACGCTTTATGTTATCTTCGTCCCCCGGGACATCCATCAAACATTCTACCACTCTGCTTTCAAAGTAGTTAGCTCGGCGGCTCTAGCTGCACCACGAGACCGCGCCGCAGATCTTACTGCCTAGTCCGACATTCCAAGCTTAAATCTAGGCTTTGCTCCGTATAGCCGAGACTGCATCACTCTAATCCACCGGCACGCGGTGCCGTACATAGACTCGACGTCCTGTTACAGGCCCCGCAGCCATATCCCTCGCATTGAACCGGAGGGAAAGGGGCTGCGCAGAACTGGAACGCACACTATGGGATGTGTCAGCCACGTCTTAATATTACCTTGAAGGTAGGGATGATGGGGGGTGGGGCGTACTGAATCCTGGCGTTGATGGAGGTTGTGAATGAGGTGGCCGGTCGAGGATGAGTTGATAGGCGTGGTAGTCCGGGGTAATGATAAAGAGGAACCTCTCTCAGTTTCAATATGATGAACGTACGCGAGGCCTGGGCCGGCGTTTAGGATAGACGGCTGATGTGCCGAAGATTCAGTTAGTTTGCTTCGATTCACAAGGCTAAGAACAGGTAAGGCCTGAATGCCATATCACAAGTACTCACAGAAGGCTGCTTTCTCGTAAGATTTGTCTGAATGGGCGCCACTGGGACTGGAGCTGGCAAGGCCTGGGTCGCTCTGAGGAGAAGAAGAAGAGGAAGGGAGAGGAAAAGCTTCATCTTCAATTTCAAGGAAACAAAACTAGGACCGTTTATGAGGCACACCTAACTGTCTTGCTATGGTCTAACAAGAAGCAGGCGGGGAAGAGTGCATGTACTAGAGGAAACTGTTCACATTTAGACGGATTGAGGCGCATAGGAGTTGGGAGTCTCAATAAATCGACCCCTAAGTCGAACGGGGCTTTTCCTGGCTTTTGGGGATCCCTGTCCGGGTACCATGGTACCCTTGCATTTCGCAAAGAAAATCGCCGAGGACTGCCTGCTCACGTACGTATCTCTGTCTTCTCTCGAGGGCTGCGGCTGCGGCGAGCAGTGGAGGAGTTAGAAGTGGGAGGAGGTAGATGGGATTCATTGTTAATCGTGGTCAAAATATATGCAAACCTCGCCGAGCAGATAGGCGGGCTAAACGGGGCTACCTAGGAACATTGTCTACCCGACCTTTAGGTATCGAAAGCACATATCATGTGCTTTATAGTTTTTCTCTGTCAGGGCGAACCGGTCGGGTTCGATTGGACCTAGAGCTTGAGTACGATGCTACTTACGCGAGAGCGCCGAAGTAGGGTTTAACGGCAGAATTTAGGTGCTCGGAAGTTGAAGGATTGATATTAGAAGCTTAAGGTACCATTGTAATTAACAAACTTGCAGAGACCGAATTGTGGACATGGTTCATGAACCTCAAATAACACATTACTTTTTAAGAACCATTATCAAGAACAAGTCATCAGGTACGTAACATGCATCACCCACTACCGTCAGACAATTCATGGCGAGCCAATCAAGCATTCTCAAAGCCAAGGTATTAGTGACAGCAGCGGAGTCAACTTACTCCCGCTCCCTATCCTATCATAATCCGAATCATCCGAACCAAGATCATCAGTCAGTGCAGTGGAAGCCTCGAAACCAGAAGAACCAGTAGATCCAAAGGGATTATTGAAAGAAGCAAGATCAACGGAACCAGAAGAGCCGGTGGAATCGGTTAGATCGCCCAGGTATTCTGAGCCTGAGGAATCATTTGTACCAATTTCATTGGTTGACGCAGTTGGAAGAGTTGAAGGAATTGGAAGAGCTGACGAAGTTGGAAGAGTTGAAGCCGTTGGAAGAGCTGACGAAGCTGGAACAGATGAAGCATTTGGAAGAGTTGGAACAGAAGCAGTTGAAACAATTGGAACAGAAGCAGTTGAAACAATTGGAACAGAAGCAGTTGAAGCAATTGGAACAGAAGCAGTTGACACAATTGGAACAGAAGCAGTCGAAGCAGTCAAAGTAGGATAAAAAGTAGAAGAACCACCTGCACCACCCGTCAAACCAGTAGAAGCAGCAGACGCAAGACCAGGAACCAAACCACAAAGACTATCGAAATCAATAGGAACAGAAGAGGAAATCGAGTCCACAAGACCAGCCAGGTCAATAGAGCCAGTCGACCCAACCAAACTCGTCAACTTGGTCAGGTCAATACTGAGGATGTCCGGAAGCAAGCCCACCAAAGCAGCGGAGTCAAGAGAGCCGGTGGAAGAAGAGCCAGCGGCAGTCGAACCAACCCCTGGCCCGGCCCAATCGTCAGGAGCAGCGGACTCGGAGGCGACGGATGGAGTTGGGGCGGAAGCGTACGCATCTTTTTGGTCCTCGGCGTGCTGTAGTATGGGTATATTTGTTAATGGGCCGTACATTAGAGAGACTGGAAAGGTATTTGCATGGGTGGGCACTGTGGCCAGAGGTAAGGTACTCACATCCCCGCGTTTTTCGAGAACAAGGTCGATGTCAGCTGCAACCTTGGGAACAGCTAGGGCTGAAGCTGGTGCAAGGAAGGGTGCAAGGAGAAGTGGGAGTTGGAGAAGGGCGGGCTTCATTGCGAATGCTTTGAATAGAACCGGTGGGAGTACTCCTGTAGTAAGTCCTTGATACGGCGTGAAGAAACCAAAGCAGTAACGTAGCTGGGCGGTTGTGATGTGGTATGCGATTGCAAAGCTTACTATTTAAGAAAAAGACCAGACCAGGCAGAAGCGTTCGTATCATGTTCGTCGCAGGAGAGTACACATCGTAAAGCACAGCCACGTCGCAGCTACGCCGGGTACGGGGTTGCTTGGGGTCAAGGTATGTCTCCGGGATTTTCCAATTCGCTGAATGCATGAACCAACCCCGGAGGCCGACGTAATTGCGGGGCTGCTTTTGTACCTACCTATAGGTAGGTCCTACGGCTGTGAGGGCAATGAAACAGGGTCGATTGGGAAGGAACTGTAAGCCTTTAGCCCTTGTAGCCCTGAAATAGCTAGATCTATACTTTCTAGAGTCTAGGTAAAGGTTGAGTGTATATGTAGCTAAGCGAAGATCGACGCGTGGTCAGCGCATAACCCGGGGTAATCCCTCAGCCCTAATTCCAACATTATCCGCACCAGTGACGCACATAGTGATCAGGTGGGCATACAACAATACGTGTCAGAAGAACCTGAAACAAATATCTGTGCATGTATAAGGTCTTTTTGGGCCGGAATTACTGGAACATGAATCCTGCAAGCTTGGAGGGCCGTGTTAGGGGCTATATGGACCCGGTGGACTTAAAACGCCGAGTGCTTTGACAATGAAAAAGACACTGTTGCCTACAGAAACGTTCGGGAGAAAAGAAAGCTTAGAAGAATGGACATAAAGAAATCATTCAGACAACCCTCGGAAGAAACCTGGAGATCATACACGTAGCGACCAGGTGTCCTCCTACTTGAGTCTGAAACGCGGCCAGGGTTAGTTAGGGCTAGGTACTAGCCCTGTTCTCTTACAGTACAAGCCGATGATAGAAAAAACCAATCCAGATTGATAAAAAAAACTAACTAATCACATCCCATTCCCCTTTCCATCACCCAACCCCATCTTCCCCATCATCTCCTGAATCGACTCCTCCGCCTCCCGAGGGTCCTCCAAATCCAACCTCTCCACCAGCTCATCCAGACTCTCTTTCGCACTCAACGACATCTGCGCCACCAACTCATCCAGTCCATCCGCAGTCCGCGGCTCGCAGTGCCGCATATACCAGTCCGCCGTTCCCCGCTGCACATAGTCCGCCTCCTCCAGCTTCTCCACGAACGTGCGGGGCCACGGCTGCGTCTCGTTGGCGACGTCCGTTACGGTGGCGTCCACAATGCGCAAGACATCGACCCGGTTGAAGCGCGGGACTGTGCCTAGCCTGTATGGAGTCGCGAGCTTCGTTGAGAGCGGCGGGTGGTCGAAGGGTAGGTGGTGTATCCTGCATATGACTTTGTATACGACCCTGGATCCGTCCTTGATTGCCGCGGTGTGGTAGAACGAGCAGTCCTTCACATCGGGCGGAGTGTTGGAGGGCGCTAGCATTACCCACCACCGTGCGAGGGGCTTGCCCAGGCGCGTGTTCGATGGAGCCAGGTAGATATCCAGGGTGCCGGAGCTGAAGAGGTCGTTGGTTGATTGTGGGACGGTGTTTTGGTCGGCGTGAGACATTTTGATCGGAGTATTCAGTCTGCTTGGTTTTGTGTAAAGGGGTAGGTATACTTATCAGGGTATGCGCTTAACGCATTCGATTACGGCAAGTGGTGTTTTTGTTCTTGATGTGCTGCTGGCCATGGTTACTTCCTGTGCTTTTATAGACTTCAAGAGCAGACTTGATTAGGAGTGATCTTATCGAGTACATAAAAGCAATAAGTGCCGGCTTTGTGGAAATGTGCAAGCGCTTTGTAGAGAGAGCACACATTTGCATTCAGTCAAGGCTAAGAGGGTAGGGCTGTGCAGAAAGCATACATGACTTCAAAGCGAACCATCACAGCTGGACAAAAGGCAATTGTAGGCTGGAACAAAGAGTACCGGAGCAGCTGGCTCTTTCACTGGGAGTTTTTTCTCCATTCACACTGCCATAATGTGAAGAATGCTCTTTCACCAGAAGTAGGGTACTTCTCTATTCACACTGCCATTCAGTGAAAGAACAATGGAACCCACAACCACATGGCGTGGATCTCGAGGCCTCAGTGGCTCTTTCCTTCCGACAGCAGTCGTTCTCCTTGTGGTCCTTTCCTTTTCTTTCATTTGCAATGACTAGGCAATTACTCAGATACGTACGCACAGGTGAACTTCACAATCAGTCAGGTTGAGCTTACCCCCCTTCAACCCCGCAGTTCGAGCGCAACTATACTAAGGCAACTATCGACAAGGATGCCCCTCTTTTGTGACGAAGCAGCTGAACAGTTTCCTAGCCCGGTTTCTCTCTACCAATAAGACATTAACCCACTACACTAGACTATCATCAACTGTCTCACTGCAGGAAGCCACCGGGAACACCGGACGAACCGTTACCCCATCGGACCGCACACTGCTGCCCACTGACACTACCCAAGGATGTCCGAGCCCGAGGATCCTGCAAACTAACTGGATGCGTCGACGCTACTGTCCAAAGAGGGGTTCGTTGCAAGGGATCTTGCTGCAGTGGCTGGCTGGGCCTCATCTGCCATCACACGGCCATGCCGAAGAGTAAAGGTTGCCTAGCCAGCCACCTCAACCCAGTGTGATGGAGGGTCGCGTTGCGATATTTATTCAACGTCTCTCGCCCTAGAGAAACAGATTATCGTTCAGTGTTGCAGTCGACCCTCTTTCTATTCACTCACACTCTACCACCATGCCTTCGATCGAATGGAGCCGGGTCAACGAGACCGACCCCAGCCCCTATGACCAGGTCTTTGTCATGAGCCAGGGGTTCATCAATAACAACTTCAAGCTCATGTACCCAAGACCTGTGGCGTGGGAACGAAAGGACCGCGAGGCAGTCAATACGAATCAGGCGTCGGGCCAGTGGATTGAACAGGCGAAGGTTGAAGCTCCCTACGTCTCGATCCATGTCGAGGAGCGCAACCCAGCCTACCAGATCCTGTTCACCCTGCCTTTCCAACAAGGGCGCCTCCATCTGCGCACTTCGCGCCCAGGGGCACCAGACAGTTATCATGTTTTTAACATGAAACGCTGGAAGCTTGTGTTTAAGACCAGAATTGGTGAGTTGGCTGCAGCACAAAGAGCACAGTGCTAACTTATATGAAGCTAGCAAGGTGCTTAGTAGGGACGACCCCAAGTATGCCGTCTACAAGAGCTCGGTCGGCTTCCGTGACACGGTTTTTGAACTGGCCCAGCTGTATCTTGATGCCTCGGGTGGGTGATCTCTGTTGTTCGGTTTGCAACGCTGACCAGCGTAGACGTTGGTGCCGGCAGTGGCTTTGATGCGAGCAAGAGCGACTTTGACGGTCGAACTCTCGATGCAGATACACTGTACAACTTGAATCTTTTCGCCAGAGAGTGGCTCAATACCGCTGACGACCGAAAGGTGAACGTCATTGGCTTGTCGCTGACAAGTCAAAAGACGTCGTCACGTAGGTTCCTTCAATCCGTCTTTGGGTACAGTAACTGATGGCCATCAGCTCGGAACTGGGTGGGCACCTTTGCTCCAGCAGTCATTGACTACGCGCCCTACCCTTGGATCGACCCTCGCCGCCCTACAGTTGAAACGGATGGACAGGATCAGAATGCATTGGCCATAATGACCTTTACTGACAACAGCCGCCGGGGCTACGCAAGTCTCTCGAGCCGCGGTGTCTTTACAGATGGCGATGCGGCGTTTTGCATGAACCAAGATCTGTTCTGGAGGCGCTACTTACTACCAGTCCTGCAGGAAGTCAACCAGAAGACCGAAGTTTTCCCGCAAAAGACGCCGCCGCCGCACCAAGCCAGGATTGCCAATGTTCAGCCCAAGTATGTGCTCGGCAAGCATCCTAACCACGCGCGGGCTACAGACAGCTACTTCTCGTGGAAGCAGCAGACCACAAACGGGCGAACTCATTGGACCTGGAAAGGAAACAAGCACAAGGTGCAGAGCGTTAGCAATCAGCACCAACCTCGGTGGCTTTTCTCGCAGGAAGGTATAGTAGGCTGTGCAGGATGACCCAGTGAAGTATCTCTGCTGACGACTGATTTCTTCTGTCTGCAGCAACATCATCAACAGACTTGTCCTTTGCCGCCGGTGGGAAGGAGATCCATCTCAAGGGCACGATTGCGTATAAAATCGTGTTGGATGTAAGCGGGGGACAACCGCAAGCACCCCCTGCCATTTCTGAGCTCATCAAAGACTAACCGCGTTTAGATACTTCATCCACCAAAGCGTAACCGAGTGGCATCTCCCCTTGACCCTTGAAGCCGTCCGCAGTGGCGGCCTTCAGGTACAGACCCAGAGTCCCACTGTAACCTCGAAGACCGTCAAGGTCGGCCCCGCACGCAGCTACAACGATACCGTGCAGCCGATTCTCAATTCCTACAAACAGAGAATCAAGAAAATGCTGAGCACGCAGCTTCGCCCCATCTCCCAGAAGCTCGGAAGCTCGCTTGCAGAACTGCACAAGCTGTTCCTCCCCGGCGAAGGAGTATTCCGCTTCGGCACGCCGCTGTTCAACAAGCGCGGCGATGTTCTTGTTGATCTCCAGTATTCGAAGTACGTGCCCAAGCGTTTTTCTTCATCTTTACTGACAAGGAGCAGCGTCCACGCGCCAACCGGCCGCTACGTAGTCAACAGGCTGCAAGTACCCAGAGATCCTTCCGATGAGACCTCTGACGCGGCCCAAGTCGAAGAGCAAGACCTCGCCGCTCAATTTGAACACATTGCTCTCCGCTCAGAGAACTACCCCGAAGATCGGTCCGGTGAAGAAGACGACCACGAGCATGAGCACGATCACGAGCATGCGCATGAATCAGATACGTTGATCGACGTCGACCATCCGGGCGAGCATCACTATCACGGCACCGGCGAGGACCATGACTGGGACCATGTCCAGCATACCGAGCGGCCGTGGCAGGAGGGCGATTCTGAGTTTGAGGACGACGAGCACTCCCCTACTAAGCCGGATAAGGGACGTACGACTAGTGATGACTTTGACGACGAGGTTCCCCCTAGTAAGCCGGATAAGGGACGTACGACTAGTGATGACTTTGACGACGAGGTTGCCCCTAGTAAGCCGGATAAGGGACGGACGACTAGCGATGACTTTGATGACGAGCATTCACCTATTAAGCCCCGGCCCGATAAGGGACCCGGACGCACAACGAGTGATGACTTTGATGATGACTATCCCCCGCGCAGGCCGGGTTATGGAAACACGACGAGTGATGACTTTGGGGGTCCTCCTCCCTTGGCGTTGGATGGGTAGGTTTTTGATAGAGGCTGGGTGGCTGCTCATTCAACATGGGAGCCAATATTGCTGGTGCAGTTCGCAGTGTCTATTTTCTATATCCCTTTTGTGAATTTATGGCAGTACTTTCAGCTCCTCTTTCTGGATTCAGCTCAATGCTTATAATGCAAGTGCTATGTAACAAATGATATGTAACCAATACTCTCTTAAAACTACCATACCCAATGAATGCCTGAAAATTAAAGGATGGCCCCTCCTCTCAGCTTGCCCTAACTCCTGGTGCCATGATCGCATTTTGCCCTGGCCATCACATCGTGGCACATTGGATATATCCTCGAATTTTATCAGTAAAAGCCAGCCGAGGAATCTTTCTCGAAACGACTAAGAATTGCACCAATCCGAATGAGGTATGGCCTACCTAAACCTGGGCACTGCATATATGGTAGGTGTGAAACGGGACTCTCGCTCGGTTCAATGTTACCTAGCACTAGGTATACTGAGCCTAGGGCTCTAGGAATGGCGAGATACTGATATTGCAGAGCTTAAAATTCCAAATGAATCGCCGTGTATCTGCTTTACTATGCCGGGCCTCAGAGCCTAGGTAGAGCCTTATGCCTACCATACCATTATTCATTAGCCTGAGATGAGCCTTCAAGCGTCAATCAAAGGGGTCTTCTTACTATATTGCTTTACCTAACTGGAGAATGATACCTCTGCATCCAGTGAGGACCAAAATGGCACAATCTCACTAACCTTCCTCGTGGCATGATCGGCTGAAAGGCTGGACCCGGCAGCCTTAGGAAAGCAGCTGGGAGGGTAACCAAGTCCACCAACCCACAAGCGGCAATTCTGCCGGACTACAGAACACAGTCCTCCAAGCTCCTACAAGATAAATGGTGCAGGAAATTCTGTCTGACTCGTGGTAAGCCCCCCTGTCGAATGAGCGCTACCGAGCGTCCTTCCAAGGTTGGCCCCCAAGGCCGGTGCAACCCTGCCCAGACATCCATGAATTCGAGACCTCTTTTCCCGGCAGGATATTAAGCGATAGAGCATGCGTCTTGCCACTAGTCATCTTATCTGATCTTTTGCTCCAGTCACAACCGTCTTGCCCAGCCCGCTCGGCGCGACGGCGCCACTTGGCTTGCCTTGGCGGTTTTTGACCACCTGCAGACCCTGAGGGACCTGAGGGTGGGATGAGGAGGAAACCGGGCTTGTATTTATTCTTGCCGGATCTCCTTTCCTGCTTTGCTTTCTCTACACCCGACCTTTCGTTCTGTGCCGGAGCCTCGAGGTCTTGCCAGCTATAGCCCGGTAACATGGCCGTCAATTGCCCTAACGAGGTGCATGGCAGCGCCCAGCAGTCCCAGACCACCAACCAGGTGGACGGGGACATCGAGAAAAGCACCGTGGACACCCAGGCCATTCCAGCCCGCAGCAGCGACGAGGGAGCCTTTGACTCCGACGCGAACAGCAGCTTCCAGGAGGGCGTGCAGCGGGCCAGGGCAATCACGACCATCTGGTCGAAATGGACGCTCGTTAGCTTGTTCTGCTTGTAATTCCCCTCCAAATATCCCACTGCTGATACTTTCTATGGTAACTAACCCTTTCATTACCGTACGGTAGGCTATACATAATCTCCTTCGTCGACTACCTCCAGAACTCCATCGACGCAACCCTGAACCCGTACATCACGTCCTCCTTCGGCCGCCACGGCCTCCTCAACGTCGGCAGCGTGCTCTCGTCCATAATCGGCGGCGTTGCGCCGCTGGCCCTCTCAGAGGTAATTGACATCTGGGGCCGCGTGGAGGGCTTCGTCGTCATGATCACCGTGTGCGTCGTCGGCATGATCCTCAAAGCCACCTGCCACACGGTTGAGCAGTACGTTGCCGCGCACGTCCTCTACTGGACCGGGCACATCGGCATGCTCTACGTCATTGAGGTGATGATCTCCGATATGACGAGCCTCAGAAACCGCATGATCTACTTTGGGATTATCGGGACGCCGCGGATCGCGAGTACATTTGCGGGCCCGGCGATCGCGGATCTGTTCTATGTGCATCTGAACTTCCGCTGGGCGTTTGGGGCGTTTGCGATTATTCTTGTTGCGTGCAGCGCGCCTGCTATGGGGCTGATGGTGTATATGGCGCGGAAAGCGAAGAGGCAAGGTCTTATTAGACCACGGGCGCGAAGTACACGGACCTGGCTCGAATCGCTAAAGCACTACGCCATCGAATTCGACCTCCCAGGTATCCTGCTGATAACAGCAGCACTAGCCCTCCTCCTCCTCCCATTCAGTCTAAACGCCTACGCCCCAAACGGGTGGAAAACACCGTACATCATCGCGATGCTCGTGCTCGGCGTCATTCTCTTCCCCGTCTTCTACGCCTACGAGGCCCTCCTTGCCCCTGTGCAATTCCTGCCCTTCAAGTACCTCAAACAAGGCACGATCATCGGCTCCGCCCTCCTCTACGGCCTGATGTTCCTGTCCACCTTCACCTGGAACGGGTACTATGGTTCCTACCTGCAAGTCGTGCACAGACTGAGCATCACGAACGCAAACTACGTGCTTAACGCGTACAGCCTTACATCCACCGTCTTTGCGCCCCTCATTGGCGCCTGGATAAGTTACTCAGGGAACTTCAAGTATACAGCCTACGTCGGCGTGCCCATCATGCTCCTCGGCACGGCGCTGATCATCCCCTTCCGCACCCCCTCCACGAACCCGGGCGTGCTCGCACTCACGCAAATCCTGGTCGGTCTAGGAAGCGGCTTCTTCACCGTGGCCAGCGGGCTCGCGATCATGGCGCCCGTGACGCACCAGTACATCGCGGTAGTCAACGCGCTAGGCGGGCTCTTCGGCGGCGTGGGGTCAGGCATTGGCCTCGCGATCGCCGGCGCGCTGTGGAATAACCTCCTCCCACAAGAGATGTATAATCGGCTCCCCGAGAGCCAGAAGGAGAACGCGCGCGCGATCTTCGGGGATATGGTCCTTCAGATGTCGTTTGCGGATGGGTCGGACGAGAGAACGGCGATTGTGGATTCGTATGCGCATGTTATGCGCTTGATGGTTATTGCGGGGGCGGCGCTGATGCCGCTTTGCTTGCTGAGTATTGTTGTTTGGAGGGATATTAATGTGAGGAAGATTGAGGAGGAGAGGGGGAGGCAGACGAAGGGGGTGGTTTTTTAGGCTGGTGTCATAGCATGTACCATATACCCGGCCCCAGGGTAGCAGAACATTTCCAACGAGGGTGTTAGACAAGGGCAAGCCAGCGTACAACCTCTGCTCGTATTCCACCTCAACTATACTAGATTAGCGGTGGCTGGGCAATGCGCGTCCAATCATGTTTCTGTGGAAGCGCTTAAGCCCTCGGCCCCAATCTCCAACCTCAACCTCGCTCTTACCTGCTGCTCGTTCTTTGCTTCACCGTGACAAGAGCATCTCATCCCAAGGGCTTGCGTCTTTTTGATTAATCATGGACCACATCCCACGAGTCCGTGACTCCGAACTCAAAACCGCCCACCTCACTGTCCCCTACTTGGCGGGTGACAGTCCTTGGGAATATGGGAGCCGGATGCGAGGTTTTGATAGCTTTCGAGCGTTCCCCAAGAAGCACGGGTTTAGCTCTCTCCTAGACCAAGGGTGCAGCGGCAATGACCTGCCAGTCCCATCGATTGGCTTCCTCCAGGCATGGCTGTACTTCGGTCTGCTGGCTGAGGCATTTGGCACGCCGGAGATGAAGTTCCAACCAGACCATTTCATCGGAAAATCAGGCAATGAGATGGTAATCACGACCAAAGAGCTCAATCGGTATATCTGGTACTGGGCCGCTGCCGTGGCACACGGAGTCCGCGACGAGATTGACGAGCACTCTGCGAACTTGGACAGATGTCTTGAGCTTGCGAATGCCGTTGTGAATGGGTTCTATCGCCGCTCGTCAGAACCAAAAGGATCAGAGAAGGTAGATTCAAAGTGGTCAACGACGAATACCGTGCTCTTCTCCATCATCACACTGGTTGACTACCTCCGTCGGGCACGCATCGACATCAACATGTACAGCTTCGAAGTCAATCTCCCTCCCTTGGTCTGGGACTTTCCACCGCTTGATCGGGCTTTAGCCGAGGCAGGATGGTGCGCGGCGGAGATTAGCAGGTTGAACGATCAGACCGACTGCTCGACTCGGTTCTACCTTGCGCAGGTTGACCGCTGGGCGCAGGGGAAGGACCATAGTCGGTGTATAGCCGGGCAAGGGTGCCAGGCGCACCAGATCGATGAGCCGACCTACAGAACGCGGCATCGGCCGGACTGTAAGGGCGAGATGTGCTGGGACATGGGGCCGGTAGTGGAGGATGTCGTGAAGATCCTCGATGAGGGGGGATACCCGCTCGTTAATCTGTCGGACAATAGTAGAGACGTCGAAGTCCATCCAGCTAAGCAGGGAGAGGTCTACGTGACCATTTCGCACGTCTGGTCAGACGGCCTGGGTAATCCGCACGATAATACGCTACCACACTGCCAACTCGCCTACATCCAAAACCTTGTCAACGCGCTCTACGCAGACTCGCCTCACCCAGTGAGATTCTGGCTCGACACCCTCTGCATCCCAGTGGGGGACAGACACTCGCCCTTCCGACGCATCGCCATAAACCGCATGCACGAGACATTCAGAGCCTCAGACAAAACGCTGGCACTAGACAACTCGCTCATGGCCCAGCGCACCGACGCAGAAATGGACTGGGTCGAGATGAACATGCGCATCAAGTACTGTCCCTGGGTGACGCGCGCCTGGACGCTCCTCGAAGGCCGCGTCGGCAAAGAACTGCTCTTCCAGTTTCACGACAAGGCGGTTTCATCGAACTTCGTTTTTGATCGCTCTTACGCTGAGCGCAATATCCTCGCTGTATCTGCTATGCTCGAGAAACGAGGCGTGGAAAATGTCCTCAGCGAGCCGAATGCGCTCCGTCTCGCTCGTGCACTGACGCTTCTCCCGGAGACTCTGGGCTCGACTGCCCAGGTCTACGATACCTGGATGCCCATTCTCCAAAGCGCAGGTGTATTCTCCGACCTTTCCGACATTGACGACGACATGAGCGTCAACATCCAAACGCGCGTCTTCTGCCCTGTAACAAAACACTCGAACGCCGGGACACGAAACATCCGCGACGAATTCTGGCTTGAGAATATCGTATCTACCCGCGAGGACGCAAAAGCCGAGGGGACGCAGTACGCCGCTTATGCGTTTTTCGAAGGCGTCTCCCTTGGGTTCCGTGGACGGACTGCAAGTAAAGCCGAAGACGAGACGATCTGCTTCGGCCAGATGCTGGGAATCGATACGGCGCCGTTGACGGCTATCAAGCCTTTGAGGCCGAGGGAGAGGTACTGGCTTAGCCTGATAGATTCGAACCCGCTGCTAAGCGTGCTTGCTCGGGCATTTGGGATTGATGCGGGAGGTAGATTGGCCGAATGCCAGGAGAAACGGATCCAGACGCTCCTGACGCATATTGAACGGCTGCCTCTGACTATCCTGCTCTGGGAGGTCTCGCGCATGCGGAGTCCAGGCTGGAAATGGGCGCCGCTGTCGCTGCTGGATGTCCGTCCTGGCTCGGAGGGCGAGGGGACATGGGCGAGCAGTGAGCGGGGAATTGTTGGGTCTGATGGGCTAACTGTCTCTCTGCCGGCATTGCAGCTGCGCACAACAGATAGAACAAGGGCAGCGGACGTGAATGTACCTCTTTCACATCCCATACACCTTAAAGTCGCCACGGAGGACGACGGCATCGGCCCCGTTGGCGGCGGCGAGGTCACCTTCATACTCCAGCTTGATAGCAAGTCCATACCGCCTGAATGGAAGAGGTATAAGACGTGGTCGGCGTTCATCGGTGCGGGCGTGTTAGATAGTCTTTGCATTCTGACGAGGCGCCGCGCGTCGATCCATGATCCGTTTAAGAATAGGGGTGTTTTGGTGGAGGTTTGTGGGCGTGAGAGACGGGTTGGGAGTGCAGGTGAGGCTATGATGGCGCAGTATCGCGTCGTCGTTGAGAGGCCGCATGAGGGTGAAATGGCTGGAGCTAAACTGCCTGTTCCTGTTGTTTGTGTTGGTGGGAGGTGGGATATGCAGTCGAGGTGGTGTATTGGATAGTAAACTTGGGACCACCACCTACAGACAACACAAGCCTCTTGCGACAGCGCGCTAGCGCTGTTAGAAAGGGGCTTACTCAAGTTAGATATAACCAAAATTTACTACGTGCTACGCTTACCTTAAGGCCTAATTTTTAAGCTATTTAATTTTTATAATTAGGTTTTTATTAAGTTACTTAATATACTAGGGGCTTAAAGGGGACTATTATAGGTATATTAAAAATTAAAATATAAAATAAAAATAATAAATTTTTAAAGCCGCACGCATATTATATTAAATATTATTAAAAAAAGTTTATATAAATTAACTATTAATATTAAAACACCCGCACTAAATTAATTTTATTATTATATTAATTTTACTATTAGTAATAAAATAACCTATTAAATACTAAAAATATTAATTAAGTAAACTATATTTTAATTAAACTAATAATAACTAGCGTAAAAAAGCTATTAATAATACCTAGATGTGATAACGCTAGCGCTGGAGATTACCCGGCCGGTGAGGCCGGGCAATTAAGAGAAAATATATAAAAAAAATTAAATATAAAATTATTTAAAGGTTTTTTATTAAGGCCTTTAAGCACTTTATATAACTTTTATTTAGGGTGGTAAGGCCTAAATATTATTTTTTAAGATTATTAATATTTCTAGGCCTTAGTATTACCATAACTAATAAAATAACCTAAGGTATTAATACTATTAATAAAATTATATTTTTTTTACTTAAATAAAATAATACCCTTAATATTAACCCCTATTTTTAAATATATTTTAATAAAAAATATAAAAAATCAAAAACTTTTATTAAAGCCCCTAATATATTATAAATAAAAAAAATATATTATAATATATAAAAAATATTATTATTTCTTATAATAAAAAAATTTATAAATTATAAAATAACTTTTTTAAGTATAAAACTAAAAAAATTTAGCTTGCTAATACTAATAAAAATTACTTAATATATTTTTAACTTAATATTATTAATTATAATAGCCTTTATTTATACTTTATTTTTAAAAACTTTACCAGGCATAACTTACCCTGGCTTGCTTTTTATTTTTTTAAAATAAAATAAAGTAAAAAATAAAAAAAGTTTAAAAAAAAGGTTAAAACTATAAGTTATTAACTTTTTAAAAAGGCTAGCCCTTTTAAAAAACTAATAATAAAAGTTTATTATAAATTTTAATAAAAATTTAACTTTAAAATAAGGTTAACCCCGCGCCTATATAAAACTCCCTTTTTTTTAACTTTTTTATTTTTTTTTTATATTTTTTTTTATAATTACCCTATAACTTTTTTTTTTTAGTTCTTGCCTTGTTATATTAAATTATAATATATAATAATATTTTTTTTTTATTTAAGGCGCTTGCTTTTAATATATTTTTTATAAATAATAATCTTAGCCTTTATAGCTAGTGGTATTAAGTATTTTTTATTTTAAATTTTATAATAGTAATTATTTGCTATTTATTTAAAAAAAAGCTTTTTAATAAAATATTTAAAGTGTTTAAAATAAGGTTTTATTATTATAATAATTATAAAGGCCTTTATTAATAACTTACTTATTACTAGTAATACCCCCACCATAATATTATTTTTTTATTAATAAATAATATTTTTTTACTTATTTTTTTTTATTTTTCTAAAACTTCCTATAAATTTTTTAAATATTCTAGCTTTCTTTCTTACTTTTTTTTTATTAAAATCCTTAATTATAGCTTTTAAAAAGTTTAGTATATTACTTTTTAAGCGCAAGTAAAATACTATAGTAACTTCTTTTTTTTTAAAAAAAGGTAAAAACTAGCCGTACTAGTAGTAAAATAGTAAATAGTTTTTTTATAACTTTTTTTAGTAAGTATTCCCTTTTTTTTAACTTAGTTAATAATAGTAAAAGCTAATATATTATTATACTTATAAAACCTTATAGGTTATTAAAGCTATTTAAAGCTTTTTTTTTAAATATAAGAATCTAAATTAGGTGTTTATTAGGCTTAGTAAGTATAAAGTTTATACTATTAAAAACTAATATTAATAGTTTATTATAGCCCTGTAATAATAAGGTATTATTATTAAAAAAAAGTAGCTTATAATAGTTATAAAATATTATTTAAAATAATTTTTATTACTTATATTTAAGCCCCCAAGCTTAAAGGTTAGGCGCTTTTTTAAAAAGTATATATTTACTATATTTTTATATATTAATAAACCTAGTGCTTTTTTTAAACTATAATAGCCCCTTAATTTATTAAATAAAATAATAAGTTAATAATATAAGTTTTTTTTCTTACCTTATAATACTTAATTATTAATATTTTATAAATTTATTAAAAAGCATGGGACCTTTAATATAATAATTTATATAATAAAAATAAATAAGATTCGCGTGATAAAAAAGCAAGTAATATTATTATTAAAGCAGGCTTTAAAAAAGCAAGTAAATTTTAATAAAATATTTAAGTATAATTATTAACTACTAGGTAAAAGCAAGGGCAAGAAGCCTATATAATTTATTATTTTAAAAACTAACCCTAGTAATAATAAAAAAATAGATTTTAAAAATTCTAGTAATATAATTAATAATATTAATAAATTTAATATAACCCCTAAATTTTTTTAAAAATATTATACTATTTTTAAGCTAGCACCTACTTTTTACTTTTTTTTTTTAAGTTTTTTAATAAAGTTTTAAATTTTATACGGGAGTTTACTATCCTACCCTATAATTTTTTAAATAAAAAGCTTTTATTATAATCCTTTTTAATTATTATATAAAAAAGCCTGGAAGCACTTTTAATAAGCCTTAATAATTTTAAGGCTTTTTAATTAATAATATATTTTTACTTGCTTTATTTTAGGGTTAATCCTAGTAATTTAAGTTAAAATTTAACTTATTAATATAATTAAGCTTTTATACTAGGGCTTTCCCCTATTATTATTTTTTTTTAGCTTTTTATTTTTTTTTACCCTGCTGCCGGCCCTTTAGGCTTGTTAATATATTTTAAAAATATTAATAAAATTTTTAATTTAGTTAAACCTTGCCCTAAAGCAAAGGTTTAAGTAGCTTAATTTTTTTTAAAATAATTTTAAGTTTTAAACTTAATAAGTGTTGGTAAGCGCCCTTTTACCTTTAACTATTTTTTTTAAAAAAAATTTTTAATATAGGGATTAGTGCTATTAATATTAAAATATATACTAACTTAATTTATTTAAATCCCTTTTTTAATTTTAGTTTTTTTTTTAATATTCTTTTTTAAAGGTAAGTTTTTCTTTTTTAAGTTAGTTAATAATATCCCTAATTATTAATATTAGGTATTCCAGGCTTGTAAATAGTACTTAATAAAATAGTAAAAAAAAAATCTTATTTTTAAAATTTAAAAAAAAATTAGTTACTTTCGCAAAGTCCTAGGTAGTAATTTAGGTTTTAATAAAAATATAAATATAAATATAAATATTAATAATAAAATAATTATAAATAAGGAGCTTGCTAAGTTTAGCAAGGTAGATTTAAATATAAAATAGCAGGCGGCTTTTACTTTAAGCAAGTTAAAAAACTTAAATATAGTTAAGGCTGGTAATAAAATAGTTTATAATAGTAATAAAGCGTAAGTTAGTTTTAATTTTTCTTAAATAAAATAAATAAAATATTAGCAAGTTACCTACCAGGTTTTTTTTAGCATGGGCGCTACGCTTTTTTTTTTATAAAATACTTTTTTTTTAAATATAATAATTTAAAATAATAATAGTAAAGTTATGCTTAATACCAGTCTCTTTAGTATTTTATAAAGGTTAGTATTTTTAGTATTTATTAATAGTTTTCTTTACTAAACTATTAATTAGGATTAATAAGTCTTTAAAGTTTATTTTTTATTTAGTTTTAAATTTAAAAATATATATTAAATAAGATTATAAGTTCTTATTTATAACATTTTTATTACTAAAGTGTTACTAGCCTTAAAAGCTCTTGCCTTTTTAACATACTTTTTATTTTTAATAGTAAGCTTATTAATAGCGGTACCTTTTTTTACTTAATTTAAAAATAGTCCCTTGTTCTTATGCTTATTTTATTCCGCTTTTATTTATATTAATAAGTTAAAATAAAAGGGGGTTAAAGGCTTAATAGTATTAATAATTTACTATACCTTAATTAGTTTTATAATTTTTTAGCCTTACTTTTTAAAAACTTTTTATAATTATATACTTACCCAAAGCTTTTTTAAATTATTAACTTTTATATAAATAAGGTATTATTTATTAATAAGATTATAAATAACGTGTTTATTTAGTTTAGTAATAATATATATACTAAGTAAGTATAATTTTAATATTTTATAAGGTTTAAACCACTTGGCATTAAATTTTTATAGGTTTTTATTTTTAATTAAAACTTAATTATTTTTTTAAAATAAGTAATACTTTACTTTATAATTATAAATATGCTATTACTTAATAGCATAAGCTAATAAATATTTTTTAATAATAATTTAAGTATATTATAACTTAAAAATATAATCCTCCGCGGTAATAGTTTTTATAAATATATTATTTATAAAAAGGCATAATTAAATATTATATAAAAATTTAAAGAAACTTATACTAGTAATATTATATAATTTAATATATATAATAAATAATACCTAATTTAAGTACTAATTTTATAATTTTATTAGTTTTTTAAGTAATATTTTTATAAGTATTAAGCTAAAAATTTTATTTAATTATTTAATATACTTATTTATTTTAGGGTAATATAATATAGTAACACGGTGCTTTATTTTTAGTAATTATATAAAATAAGTAATAACCTTAAATAGCAGGTTTAAATTATTATTTAATATTAACTTTGTTATAGCCCTATAATAAATAAAAAATTTTTTATATAAAAATCTTACTATTATTTTATTTTTAGTATTAAAAATAGCTTTAGTAACTAGCTAGCTTGTTATATAATTAATAATTATAATAATTTATTTATTATTATTAGGTGTTACTAGC